ATGCTGGTTGATCCGTACGAAATGCCAAACAAATTGGCTATCTATCTCTATACATCTCAATATCTATCTATTAATTCAATATCTATCAATATTATTCAATATTTTAATATCTATCATTATCTATCTATGTCTATATCTATCTATATCTATCTATGTCACCCTATATCTCCCCTTGTCATTCGCATCCAAGCGGCAGCAGCGAATGGATACCACTGCTCAGGGCCCAGTTTCCTGACGGAATGCAGAAAGAATCCGAAGTTCAAATATTCAAACAGTTTCCAACAACATTCATAGATTATTTCCTAGACATTCATAGATTATTTTTAGACATTTTCCATTCATAGTTTATTCAAATGGATAAACGGATATATAATGATATATACATTGAATGGGATTTACGCATTGAATGTTGGGATAATCTATGAATATCTATGAATGATGGGATATTCAAATGGATAATCTATGAATGTCTAAATTTGGATAATCTAAATGGAACAAAGAATCCAATCTCCAAATGCAGCTGTTCCATCCCTCAACTAATCCACCACGCGACCCTTGACCAGTGCTCTCGTGAATCAGGCTGGCCACCCTGGGCCTTGGATTCCAAGGATCCGATCAGAATTCTTGGGCTTTCGGCAGCAAAGTAGCAAACATGATCCAAACACGTGGCTTTCTCCGACATTTGAGGAGGAAAACATAGGAAAACCACCCCTATTCCATTCACTATATTCACTGGATTTCACTGGCATCTTATCATATCCCCTAGTTTTCATGGCCATTGGCCATTGGCTACTTCTATGGGGCTAAAAAAATATGGCTGGTTCAATCCTCCACGGCTTCATGCCCCAGTGCTGGGTCAACCGACCCATCCATCCTCATCATCCAAATCCTCGGCTCGGATGGGAAGCTAACATGGGATTGGACTGTCTAGTGACCCCCAAAAAGATAGAAAGTAAAAACCTACCCAAATAGTGAAGAATTCCTTTTCTATCTTTTTGGGGTTACTACAATCTATCCTGATTCAAAATACTCTAGAACATGGGAAGTCGACATTGGGTACCCAGGACTTGGACATGTTTTCAAGTATGTTCAAAATACAGTTGAATATGGGATGGGTCAAAATTGGGTACCCAACAACCTGAAAATGAGCAAGATCTGTCACCCCCTTCATCTTTTTATAGATCATCCACAAGTAAATGCTGGATTTTTGCAGCCTGCCAGGTTAGACTACAGAGTATGCTTGTGTATACGGGTTTTATATGGTTTCACCAAATCGGCAAGGGATCCCACAATCATCCTATTGTAATCCTATTGTCGTGTTGAAACCCATGGGTACTGGGGTACTCCGCATCTTGGCAAAGATCTGAGGAAAACCAGGTGTTTTGTTCAAAACCACAGCAATCTGAGATGCTGGCAAGCACTTCAATGATAGGAGGCCTCCTCCACGGAAATCAGTGCGAGGATCCTGACATCAAAAGATGAGGCAGTTCTGGAGCTAACTTGGGTAAGCCCCCCAAAAATTGGTGGTCAAATAGTGAGATACTCCAGAAAAGAAAAGACCAAACATATCAAAAATCCATGGTTTCAGAAAATCCATGGTTTCAGGGGAGTACAAAATGATCCATATGTAAATCTCATCCATCTCATAGAATGTCAACAGCTGAAACTGAATTGTGCACCACAGCAAAGTCCTCATCTTGAAAACCCAGCAACTTCCAGCGTTTATCACGGCGTCCTGCCATCCACTTGGAAAGGAATTTGCCATGTTTCCGGAGGTACACTGCCAAAATCCTCCAAAATGCATGGGAACTGAACTAGAAAATCTGTTTGGAATCTAAGTCCAGCGCCTGCAGGCACTGTCTGATGATCAGAACCAGTAACGGCCGGAATCGCCTCCTGCCCGCCACAAAAAGCATGGCTGACAGCTGTGAAAGGACCATCGGATCAATCTGCTGGCGTTTTTGCAGGGTTCCCAGCCTTGAAGTAACTGTACAACAAGGCCTGCTGGCTAGCCCGTCCCCGCTGGCGCCACATCCGTGGAAAAATATCACGATGGTTCATGGGGCAAAATGAAACTGGACTGGACAATGGGTCTGTCTCAAAGTCGGGTACTCCGAAATCCCATGCTTTATCATCCTTTTCCATCCTTTTCCCCATTATTGAAGGGCAACATATTAGGGGCCCATCGCCCAAACTCAAACGGCATGCGGCATGTCCAGTTTCATCACAAAGCCAACAGGCTTTTGCAACTCACGCCGCCTCGTGTTCCTCAGTCATTGGCTCATTAAAGAAGACAATCAGCATGTCAAGCGATGCTTTGAAAATTTGGAATTCATACACAAGCAGTGTTCGAAACTGTTCAAACCTTGAAATGTCATTCCATCGTGCTGTCTGTTTCATAAATTTTCGTAACTGATGATGCTGATGATGCTGATGATGCTGATGATGACGACGAGGATGATGATGATGATGATGACGATGATGATGATGATGATGAATGATGAATGATGAATGATGAATGATGAATGATGAATGATGATGGATGATGATGCTCACCAAACATATTATAGCAGGGGGTATAATTCTATGATAACGAACCAACAGAGTTTGGGTCACTGCTCATGTGTGTATCATGTACCAAGGCACTTTTGAAGTCGCTTGGAAAGTTGTCGCAACCTGCCAATGACAGGTCCATCATCCTTCAAAGGTCCCACATATTGCAACTCTTCTGCCTGTAGAAGTCCAAATGTGACTCCTGCCTCTTGCTGCAAATGGCCAATCACTACTTCTTCCTTCTGTCGAAGACGGTAGTCCTGAAGCATCGTGCACAAACCAGTCGGATTTCAATTCAATAAATAGTTGCAACTCTGCATCCGCTCAGCATTGGCAAACAGAGTATGGCTCATAACTCAGGGTACCCAAATTCAACAACAACTTTCGCCACCTTTGGAAATTTCACATCACATTTCTCTACAGGTTTTCCAACACCGGGGAGATACACAATTTCACTGGCCATTCAATAATGTACACGAAAACAAAGTTCAAAGTCATATCGAGCATCATTTTGGTCAGTTTTCCCAACATTTGCGGATATATATGTATATACATATTGACCATTTCCCCAGCATGTTCCTGTCATTCGGTCATTTTCCTATCATTTTCCCAACATGTCATTTTCCCATGCGGATGTCCATAGCCCTCCTCGGTCCCCCAACCCGGCCTGGTCGCCCACAGGCTTCTCCACGCAACATGTTTGCAGCCAGTTCTGAGGAGCGATAACTGGTCATTTTTAGACACATCATGACACATCACATGGGGAAACCAAGAGTTTTGGAGTACCGGCGTAGCACCATTTGCTCATTTCAAGAAACATCTATGTTATATAATCCGTATTAGTATGTACTAATGTACTAGTATTAGTCATAAAACAAAATCCAAAAACATATAAAAACATTATATAATATTATATAATGGGTGAGACGCTACGCAAAATGGAGGTGCAGTGTAAAACCAACAAAACATGCAGGGCAAAGATCCCAGAACCGAAAAGCACTGAAAACGACAACATTTTGTCAACTTGCCAGTTGAAGACATACAATCCAGGACCGGGACGTAAACCAACAATAGTGAGGCTACGATCCAATTCTTTCCAAGGATCATGAAGGACACTTCACTGTATGAAAGGTTCTCGACATATAGCCCATTTTGCCACCAGTCTTAGGGTGATATTCACCACCAGATGGGTCACAGTTATGGCCAAGTTTCGAAGAAGGAAAATTGTGGCTTCGGAGGTTCCGGGGCCAAGTAGGTGTTCACCGCATCGGCTTGGAACGCATGGATCCTGCTGCATCGACTGCTGGGGGACTGCTGGGGGGATAGGATTAACAAATCAAAACACAAATCAAATGAGGAACAGTTCTGGAATGGAGAAAGTCAGAAGAAACAAGACTCAACGATGGTTGCATCAGTCTTTGGGGTTGTTCCTACCACGTGCAGGTGATTTAGGATAGCCAAACTAACAAGTCGGCCGAGCGGCAGAAAGCTTGGCATGGCTCCGAACGACATCTATGAACCCGTGTGATTATCAGCGTTCCGTTCCGTTTCAGCAAGAGAACCAGACCAATATGTGGAAGCCATGTTATACCATCAATGTTATACCTTCAGACATGAACTCTTGTTCAAGCAAAGCTCTGACTTGAGCAAGCTTGTTGCGGTCCGATTCAAAGAGGATGGAGAAGTTACAGCTGGCAGCTCCTCGTTGGTACATTATCAACCAATACATTATCGTTGTGGTTTCGGTTTGAAATGGTGCAAAAGTATGGGTGTATTATGGTGTATTGTTTTCTAAAATATTCCCCCAGATCATCCATGTTAGTAGGATTTTCCATGAAATAAACCATCCAGCTATTGGAGTACTCCCATTTGTGGAAACTCCAATATTGGTGGATGCCCAAATCCAGCAGGGCACCTTTTTGTAGCTTCCCTCGCACGACTTGACTCTCGAAAGGCTTGGCCTTCTCTGAGCCATGGCCGCACGGATGAACCTGCTGCTGACCCCAGGTTTCATAGCGAAACATGGCGCACCTGGCTCATACCCAAGCATCTTGATGTTTTTCATCAATTCTTATCTTGAAAGCCCACGAAATGATTGCAGAGACAGGTTCAGGCACAGAAAAGCATGAAGGGTAGCCAGCAATGAGGCTCAAAATAGAACAACTGCCAACCATATTTCTTTGGATTGGCACTAACAACTCAGCCATGCTGATCACCACTGACTTCCCGAAAAAAAAACCATGTATATACATGCAATGAGACAAAGGGGTGATGCCACTTACCAGTTCGCACCAGAAGCAATACTTGAGATTTGAGATTCAAATACCCCGCAATTTGAAGACTGGCAGGTCAGAAAAAAATATCGAGTTCGAACTGTCGTGAGAACTGGACATATCGGAGGCACAGCTGCCAACGGCAGTTCGTGCCGACAAACCAACACCTAGCTGTCATAGTGGCATTGCGATGAAATCCTGACAGGTGGATCGAAAAAGACAAAAAAACATGATGAACATTGATGAACATTGTGTACCTCCAAATGTAGGTTTGGCACCTCAAAATCTTTGGGAGACTCCCCCAAAATTTGATTGTTTAGAAAATATGTCCTCTTTTCCATGGCGAAAAGTGGGGGGGGGAATCCCCCAGTTTCAGACCTATCCAATCATTCATGGCCTGACAGGACTCCTTGGAAGGCTGAAGCTTGGGCATGGCATCCTGCAAGAGCCAAAACAGGTTAAAAGTCAACTCGACCTTTGATCCGCAAACATGAGGATTTGACGTATATGCGCCTACATAGACATATTAAATATGTATACAATATCATATCATCCATAGCGATATGTGATTATGTGTATTTGTCTTTGTAAATCACAGGGATACCAGAGTTTTGACTACAGTAAGGGTTTCAACTAGCTTATACGTTGCAGTAACGAACGTTCCGAAAAACAAAAACAAAAAAAAACGAAAAAATACACCAAAAACAGAAAACACAAAAGTTTTTTCCTGTGTCCATGTTGTTCTTCCGGCTTTGTTTTTGTTTGTGAATCAGTCATTGTCCCATTCGCTTTTTTTTGTTGGTTCATTTCTGACAAGCTTGCCGTTTTTTATTCAATTAGTGTGTGCGTTTTCCAGTCGGGGTTTCTTCAGCTTCACCTGAAAAAAGGAAACATAAGAAGCAAACAGCAAGAACAAGCGAAGAAAGGATCACTTGTTTTTGCGCGTTTCTTTTTGCTTCTTCTCTCTAGTCGATCTCGTTTTTCCCCCTTTGTTTAACTATTTTCCAAATATCTAGTCATCTAGTCGACCCTCAGGCCTTCAGTTTTAAGCGTACAATGCTTATGCACCCCATTTGTGGGTCAGCAATGGAGCCACACATATGGCCGTACCCAAATCTCATCCCAAATACACCACTGGTTGGTGGTTTCAACACCCTGAAAAAAAAGGCATTGGGGATCATCGTCACAAATATGATTGAAACATGTTGAAACACACATATTTGAAACAACTTGATGATATTGTTGGTGATATATCATGATATATCCCCACTATATATAATGATATCCCTATCCCAATGTCAATTCCACCAACTAGTCACAGCTAGAGCTGCAGCGGGGTCCCGAATGAGTTGCTTCTCGCTGGCCGGCGCATTCTTGGCAATGGCCACCCACCTTCGCTGATTCCCTTTCAGATGGGATCAAAAAACTACAGGTACCCTAGGGTAAACAAAAAAAGATGTGGAAAACCCATGGTTTCCCTAGGAAAATTATCTGCAAACGGAGGGTTTTCCACATCAGAGTTGACAGGATGGTATGTCAGAGGTTTTGAATGGCGTTAAACCATCCAGAAAGAGCAGTTGAGTGAGTCCAACAAATGTTCGGAAATTTTGAGTACTGTGATGACCCTTCACTAGAGGTACCACACATCCTTCAACCAAGAAAACACTGATCAGCTGAGTGGTGCCTTCCTCTGGCTTGACCAGATCCCTTAAAGCCCATCCTCGGGACATCCAGAAACGTCATGAAACGGTCGAGATCGGTTGTCCGCTGGCGACAGGTTGTCCGCTGTCCAGGCTACAGACTTTGTGGATGGGTTGGATTTCGGCAAGACCACATCTGACCTTAGGACCCGCAGGGCGAGGGGGTCTGAAAGATATGGAAACCCAGCGTTCAGGAACTATAGTCACTGTCACTATATAGATCTATATAGTCACTATAACTCGATACATCACCATTCATAGAATCTATCCCCATCTATACCCTATCATGGAGTTCCCAGCTTTCAGTGGAACACCCAAACCTTTGAGGTCGTTGCGCACTCCTTTGGAGCACGTTGCTCTGCAGCCTGGCACTGCAGTTTTGCGACCCGCGGTTTCGCATGGGAACCCACGAAAGTATGTGTGTCTGGAAATGGGATACCCAAAATTGCTATGTCATAGGGAAAATGATGACAACTATTATAGTGGATTTTGGAGTAGCCTGCTTCCAGACAAACCCATGTGTGTTGTAAGTTGTAACATCGAATTCTAGTTGCATGGTAACCCATTGGGAAGCCATTCTGTCTAGCGTACAACAGCCAATGTAGCTGTATGCGAATTCTTTGCTGCGGATCAAAAATTATTGACCCTTCAAATTGGATAGAAGAAAAGTGAAAATCCTGGAGATCAGCCAATCCCGTTTTAACCGACCCACTTTCAACTCCTGGATGGCTCAGAAAACCCAAGTCCCTGAAGTTCAACTCCATCGCTCACAACTGAGCAGACAGACCCTTGCGGGCGACTCTTCTTGAAGGTGGAATTGCTTGGGCGGAGCAAAGTCGACGCCTCAAGGCAAACTCACAGCATCTCACAGCGCAGGAATCTGATTCGCAGAATGGATGATCATCCCCAATATTGGACCTCCAATCATCAACCAACATGCACTACTCACTTGACCCTTGATTTGCTTTGCCGTTCAACCAACTGCTAAATCCTGTACAACATGCAGAAACAGTCACGCTCTGTGCCTTGTGCGATCTTTGTAGTACTTGAGTACTCCCGCCAGGATCTGACACACAGCAGCAGTCCATCAAGTCATCAGTTCTATGGCTATGCGCATAACAAAGTATGAGTGCACCAACAAATGGCTGTTTATTCTTGAAAACCAAACCAATGTCAATCAATTTCAGCATTCCATCGACTTTATTTTGGTCAATGACTCAATGATTTCGAGTCCCATTATCATAGAATTGGATTATGGGAAAATTTACAGGAAAGCCCTATATTTGATGGTAAAAACCATGGTTTCCTGTAAATTTCCCCTTAAACCAATCCAGTGACATTAACCCCGTTAAACCCCGTTAAACCAACCGCCTTCATCGGCTCTGAGGCCAACATGGTCCTCATCTTGGACCGTCGTGGTGGGATCCTGGCCGGTGCTTTTTATCCCATCCCATCATCTTGCCATCATTGTCCCATTGAAGTCCTGTTATGAAAATATGTACTATTATGTAATAAATATTATGTATTATTATGTACTATGATGATGTAAATATTATGTACATTTATGTACTATAATCATAACAGGACTTAAATGTACTATTATCCATTTATGTACTATGATTATGTGATATTATTATGTAATAATGTATAAGAATGAACTAATGGACATGTTTTATATTAAGGAAATGCAAGCACCAAACCGACTAGCATTCTGTGAATTGACCCAGCTTTGCACACAACAGGCAAGGTGACATGCAAGAGCGATGTCCTCTCTATCACGACCAAGCCTTGGTGGGACCAAGGTTCCAAGATGTTCCAAGCCATTCCAGTGGAAAGGTGGAAGATCTTTGCTTCTCCCCAGCCAAAAGAGCTGGGATGAGCTGGGTAAGATTCAAGGAGGGAGAAACAACACCCATGGGACCATGGGATGCTTCTGAACACAGGCTCTGGGGCTCCAGCAATTGTCGCTCACGCTGCCCGAGCCAACCACCAATCTCCATGGGCCCTCGTTGGATGGCAGTGATCCTGACCTCAGCAGTTCCGTTGTCAAGCGACCGGGCAGGACTTGTCGCCGCACCGCCCTGCAAAAACGCCAAGGCACATCCGAAAAATGGACATCGTCCCGGTCGCTCTGAGTGGAGTTGTAGAATGCAATGGAGCCTGCAAAGGCAACAAGGAAATGTGTCGACATCTTTCCAACTGGATGCGGATCAGGAAACTGCTGCAACTGGTAACTGGGGACCGGCCTTTGTTGCGCCTGCATTTAAACTTCAACTGCACTTTGCGATTTTGAACCTTGGCCCCGGCGCCAGCAGAAGCATTCTTGCAGTATTGTAGGAAAACTTGCGTTGGTCGGAAAATAGGGTACCCAAACATTCCTGTGGTTTATCATCATTTTTCACAATTTAACCATATTTAAAATTGGTGGTTTTGGGGTATCTCAGGATACACCCCCATGTCCAGACACACCCGGAATGGGAGCTGAGTTGGATGCCATAATCACGCCATTGTAACCTGGCCCGGTGCAACACAACGCAAGTGAGGTGATTTAAGGTCAGGCATAGGTAGACGGTAGGGTGTATAATATGTATTTTATTGTATTTGTATATAATGTGTGTGTGTGGTATCTATATGTGTCTATATATCATTCTACACATCTGTATCTCATTGTATATCGATATGTTAGCAGCCAATAGCGCTCCCCATTTTTGGTGAATCTCCCGGACTGTCCTGTCCCATGGCCCCATTGCATCCCCATTGCCTTGCATCAAGACTTCGATCTCCTCTTTGCTGTCGGAGTCCGTGTCTTCATACTGGCGCGTCACGATGGGCCTCGAGCAAGGATCGTCCCAGGGACGGAACTCGTTTTAGGAAAAAACAAAATAACCTGAGAGTAAATAGTTTGGTTTGGAAGTTCAATAGTCACTTCTTTCCACTGAGAGTAAATCCTTTCCTGTTTCTGAGGTTGTCAATTTTCCTTTGGCTTTCGAAATCGTTTCATGATTTTTATATTATATTTCTATTGGTGACACCGTTGCTTCCGACCAAGACCATCACGGGCCTGGAGTCTAATCCTTCACCCGAGAGCAAGTACCTTTTGATGGCTTGTCCATCCTCGGATTTCCTGCCGATGCCATGTCGCCATGTCGAGTGTGGGTTCACCTTCGCTGCCAGTAGATATTGGATGGGCAGAGCACCATCATTCTCCAATAGAGGGGTAAAGCATGGTAAAGCCAGTCCTGCGTTCCACCCAAAAGGAAGCGCCATCGGTGCCGCCGAAGTCTGCCTGTGAGAAGGGGGACAAAGTCGTCAGTTGCTGAATTGTGCGCTCTCATCGCTTCCAAATCTCAGACCATATAGACCTCTTGTTGTCTTACCAAATCAATAAATCACGTTACACAACACCTGGGCGGGTTGAGAATCTCTCCCAGGCAACAATCGCAACGCCTCGGCATGGAGGACAATGCCACTAGTACATGGGCACGGAAAGTGCATCGTAAACTTCATGAGGTACCTGGCAATTCAGAGCCGTGATCGCTTGGGTCCCCATGTATTGATGGATCATAGATCATATTCTATGCATGTATACCCACATCATCTATAAATGAATACAGACAAAGGTTTACTATAAGTCCCCAAAGTTCCCAAATGATCCCAAATGCACATGTCTTTCAACCTTCCGTTGAACACTTCTATGCTACGTCCATTGGTGTCCCAAAAGCCCTCACACTAGACACAACTGACTTGGCTCACTTGTCCAATCTGCCACAGCGAAGCCAGTACAACGGTGTGTCAGCTTGGAGAGTGAAGTTCCAGGCACCCAAAACCTTCAGACCAAAGTGCTTGGCCAATAGGAATTCCATGGAATTCCCATATTGGATGATGATATATGATGACAACCTCCAACATATTGGGTAGCATTGTCCCCAAAGTAATCATCACCCAACAGGGGTTTAGTGGCCACTGCTCAAAAGTGGTGAACTCGGCACCTGCACATCATCAAGAGCTCCTGATGGTGTCGATGTGCTTGGTGCCATTAGCAACGGGCTGATGCTCGGCTCGCGTGCGGTTACGGCCAGATGTGGAGAATCCATGAGAATCCGTCTTGAACTACTCAGCTATAGCAGCTACATAGTTCTCCAAGTGGAAACATACCACATTTGTCACAAAAGCAAGTGATGCAACTCACAGAAGCCTGGCCTTTTGCCAACTTGTGTGGTCCAAGTTGCATTTGACTCTACAAGTTGGCCAATGCCTACTGTGCTGCAAGACAATATCCAAAGATTGGCCATGTGAGCCTTTCTCGGGGGTTGACCTTGGGGTTGAAGCCACTTACAAGTACGGCAAGTTTAGATCTTCTGCATAGCTCGTTGATGACTCCCAACCTCAACGTAGTCTTGGTGCACCTATGTACATCTCTTGGAACCATGTTACCCATTCTGCAAAAGTATGCTTGAGCCCAAAACCCGCCACGGTGTGTGGTGTGTGCATTGGTTCCTTCCGCATTGCTAGCTGCGGGAGTCCGGAGTCTGCTCATGGATTGCATCGTTCAGTTGAGCTGACGTCGTCTGAGTGGACTGCATAGTTGCCAGAAGCACCCAAACAGGTCACTTTCCTGCAAAGTGGCAAGCTGAAAGACCATGAAAGAAATGCCATAAGGAGGATGTTCTCATCCATTGCTATGATACATTATAAATTATAAATCAATATAAATCATTGTGATACATTTGTAATGTACCTTGGCATGGTGGCATAGAACCATTGCTGTGCTGAATCCCCTGGAATTCATCTGAAAAAGGGAGTCCTCGGCCATGTGATGGTGTTCTTCTGAGACGGCCTTGGCGCAAGAGTTCTTCGGAATGCGGGGAATATGGGCGATTACTATAGGTTACCCGAAATGGATCTGGATGGTGAATTTAACATGGAAATTATAGGTAATTAACATTACCATAGGTAATTATGTGGATTATAAGTTACCATTATCATTATTCAGGATGTTGAACTTCCTTTTTTTGCACCCGTGTCTTGACTCATGTCCCAGGTTTCTTGGACCAGTGCTGCCGTGTGCTGAGGTTGTAGACAAGACCAACACTTTCCTGGAGGAGAACGAGGAGGTACAATGCCCCACTCACCCCAAAAAGTGGCCAAAATTACTTGGAGCAATCCTGAAAACAAACCGGCATTGCATGTTTATAATACATATATATATATTATATATAAATATAGAGTGTATATATAATATAAATATATAGTATATATATATATAAAGTATATATATAGTATATATACATACAGTATATATATATATACGTAGTACATATACACATCGTGTATATATATATATATTACATTGTATATATATAATATGTATATATATATATGTATATATCCCATGATATCCCAATATATCCTATAAGATCCCATATATCCCCGTTAAACTCTGGCTATGTCCAGCATGTTGCGCCTGAATCAGGAGCAACAGCTCGTTTCCTTGGGCAGATGTCCGAAACAACCAGCCCTTGGAGATCAACCGCCATCATCTCCTTAGGAGATATTCACCAACAAAAAATGCTATATGTATGAATATGTATGTATGCTATGATATATGATATATGCATATATTATATGATGTATTGGGAAGTCATGGGATACATTAAACAAATCCATACTAATCCAATTTCTGCTCGGTGTTTCACGTGCCCATCCCAAAAATCTGCTTTGAACTTGGGGCTCATGCTCGCCCGCCTACGGCCAAGTACTATAGACGATCGCCCAGCCCAGAGGCTTTCACAAACAAAGGCATACAAAGGCAATGTTCGCAAACCATCATGGGGAAATTGAGCAATAATGGTGGGTACAATCTTGGGATATTGGTGGTCATTGAGGGATATTGACCACCAACGGTACGAGACAGTGCGTTTTTCTGCCTGATAAACAAGACGAGCATCCAGGGAGCACCGCAATTCGCGGCACATGCTTTCCGTCCAGCGGACAAACATCTTCAAAGGAGAGCCCAGTCCTGCACAAGGTCTTTGAATCGTCAACTAGGATCATCGTCCCATGCAAATCAAAAAATCAAAGTGTGATTCAAACTGCACTAACAATAAGAAGGCTGCAACTGAAGGATAGGGTACAGTACATCTACAGTAAAACCATTGGTGCATCATCATTTTCCCTATTAAAAGTACCATTTGGGGGTATACATCATTTCCAGGCAGACCCTGAAGAGAACCCTTCCATCGCGTCTTTTCGCCAGACTGGCTTCCCCCTACTCACTTCAGTAGCGCCACCACGCAGGTCACATTGTCTTGCCTCAAATCGCAGCGGGTTCACGGGTCATCGATCCCCCCACCCACCTGGGCTGCGCTGATTTTGTTGGTGATCTTATTCAGGCCATCTAAATCCATCAATCTTCAATCTTGACCAACTTGGTACATCTACACATTATATGAATATATATATATATACATACGTGTACATATATATATATATATATACATACGTGTACATATATATATATATATGTATACATATATATATACATATGTATACATACATATACATACATATTTACGTGTATATACATATATTATATATATACGCTATACACATACGTACAATGATGTATAATGTAACATACATATTAGTATATAGAATATAGTAGAACCATGCCCCACCTCAGACAGATTAAATCCCTGGTTGAAGGCAATTCCTGTGTGGCCTGTATTGAAATTTGCTGGGTTACCCCCTCCCACACATTTTGACTGGTCAACTATATGTTCCATCGATTTTCTCGAGATGTTCCCTTCAAAAGAAACCCATTCCCCACTAAAATGGAAGGCAAAACTTACTGATGGTTGCCTCTCTAGAATTTTTCCAGTTGGACGATCATCCTACTTGGTAAGTGGTTTATAACGCAGTAGTATCCCCTGGGATCGTCCTTGAATCCGTGGGCTCCACCAAAAATTGCTGCAGAATTTCATGGTGTTCCATCGATTTTTGCAACCCAGTGAATCTATGGGATCGTCCAAGGTAAACATAGACTTCCCTGACTTCCCTGAAAAATATGAGAGTTGGTGGTTGATGGTGGTTGACCAACCCCTCTGAAAAATATGAGTTCGTCAGTTGGGATGATTATTCCCAATATATGGAGAAATAAAAAATGTTCCAAACCACCAACCAGTTCTGATAAGCTTTTGTCCTTGAATCCCAAGGAACTGCCTTGGATCATCCAAGGCCGCTTTCACAATGGATTTGGCCGCTGCCTCTGCTGCTTCGCTGGAAGAGACCTCCGCACTCACCAGCCTTGGCAGAACAAAATCTCTAATGGAAATTTGGGGAATTGGACCCAGCACAAGTTACAGGGCTTTCCATGGTTTTCTTGGCATTTCTGAAGGGGGGGTTCCTGGCATTTCTAGGGTTTTCCATGGTTTTCTTGGCATTTCTCAGGAGATTCCTGGCGTTCCTTTTAGAGTTCTCTTGATATTTCAGCTGCAACCCCAACTGAATCCAATTGATAGTGCAGGCCAAAACACATCGCCACCTGATCAAGCACTGCGCTCTGCAGATCTCTGAAGGCTACGGGATACCACTGATGTATATCTGTCTACGGAAAATACGAGAAAAGGATTGACGATTTTTATGATAACCATGACGAATCTGGGGAACTCCATTTGCCACGCCTTGCTGCTGCTGAGCACATCGAAAACTCCATCGCAAGCCAATACGATTGCATCTCCACTTTCACACTCAAATTCCTGGAGTTTGCAGTGGTAATATCACAGGCAGCGAGTAACCCTTGGGGTGGCACATGGCATCACATGGCAAGGCGGAAGAATGCTGCTAAGGATCATAGACCTCTGGCACGGCTGAGACCTTCACAAGATCTGACAAGTTCGTTAGTTCGATGTCTGGATTCTTTCCAGCAAAGCAACCCACACAGCTGACAGAGATGTTTCATGATGTTCCTGTAAACATCCATAAACAGTTTTGCCATGTCACGCACACGAAACACACACGAAACACATCAAGCTCAACAAAATATCGAGGTATACACGGCATTGCCTTCTGCTGTTCGGGCAGCAATGCAGCATCCTCCTGGCTGTGCAGCTTATCCAAAATATCTTCAGGTCCAGACTTGGCAGGTGCCTTGAATCGGAAGTCTCCCAAGGCTCTGGAACAACCAAGGAAACCTGAGCTGTAAGCAGCAGTTGATTCTTGCGTCTCGGAAACGGTGATTAAAAGATCTGCTAAGGTTCCCACCATCTACTCTGAGCACTGGAACCCGACTTCCCGGAAAGACTTCCACCTGAGCGGTGCACAGACAGCTGGTGAACACTGACGATGCTGCACCAGCAGTGCGCCTTCCCGCCCGCGGCTTTGATGCGCTTCTCTTCTTCGGGCGCATTGGGGGTATGGTCCTTCGTCTCTCCTGCAACCTCGAAGCCCTTGCCGTTGGATTTCCTTGGTCCCCATGTGGGGAAGTCAAACGTTGGATGCCGCCATGGTTGGATGGTTCAGTTCTCCAAACCCCTAAACTCTTCATGGAACGTCTTCAACTTTGACCCTTTCCCACACTGTTGCAGCTGTGTCTCAGAACCAAAGCACGCCTCAGATGGAAGTTGGGCAGGCTGGACAGCAGTGGCAATGGTTTCATCTGAGTATTGGCGGCCAGAGGTGCACAAAGGGACCACAACACAATGACGGCCCGTGTATAATTCTTGGTATCACAGCATCCAAGTTCCCGGCTCAATCATTTTTTGAGGCACAAGCAGGTCATCAGAATATGGTGTACCAATATAATATATTGGATATTAGATATATAATGTATTAGTATTGTATGCAGTATATTGTAACTATCCACCGAACCTTCCATTCCACCCTTTGAGCCACTGCGTGTCGGTCAGGCTCTACAGCACCACCAGGCTTTAAACTCGGCAACCAAGGTGCGAATCACCCAAGTTCGCGAGAAGAACACCAATTTTGGCAGGGTTCTCCTCAAAACGTGTAGATTCGACAAGTGTGTTACAACTGTTTGTAGCTTCACTTACCGGGGGTGAAGAGAAAATGTGCACTCGCAGATTCACAGCAGTTCTCGAAACAGCAGGACTATGCATGACTAACAATCCTAAGATCAAGCCAATGAATGCCCCATAGATGGTCCTCTTGCTTCCAGGCATAGGCAAACACGCAGGTGGTCCCACCTTGGTCCAAGATTTGGGTGTCCATGATCCGCTCCATGGATCGGTGGATGAATTGAATCAGGCGGCACTCTCTGGCTGCGGGTCCAAGTTTGATTCTCAAATGCCGGTCTAAGGCCTCAGGGATGCGAGTTCATGAAACAAATCACTTTGGAAAGTTGACAACTGCTGGAAACATGATGATCTGCATGTGACTTCGGAAGATGTGAACTGTTAATTGACTTCATTTAACTTCCAAGCTGGAAACAAATCAAAATCTGGGTGGACCATGGATCGATGCAACTGAGGGACCAAGTACGTCCCCTGCACTGCTACACGTCTGGACTCTGCTGAGTCGCGGCCAGCGGCATCTAGTTCCTGCGATGATGGATGATTTCCGAAGTCAATGGGATTCCCCAACCATTGAAGTCAACATATCCATGACTTCAATTGCTTTCACATTTTTTTGGGGGGATATCCAGTTTGAAGTCAACCATCCACTGTCCTCAATGAACATATTTTGAAGTCAACATATCAACAAAAAAAAAATAAAAATGTGGGGATGTCCTTTCAAAATTGTCTAAAAACAAACACATAAACATATTATTGGCAGTTATTAGTTTTCCAGATCGCTTTGTCCAAAAAAATCAAATACCCCAAATGGTTGTCTTATGGGGAAGATGATCAGCCATCAAATCTTGGGGTGCCCTTGTTTCAAACAAACCCATTTGGCCTATCACGACTGGCCATAAGCTGGGGTATGTACCACATGATTGGACAAAGCCTAATCCAATGAGATCCATTCCGCATTTTGCGGTCGTTAAATCACCATTTTTCACTTGTAACACCATGTTGGCCGGATAAGTCCAAATTTCTGCTGGTCAAATCCACAGTTCTGTTGGTGAAATTTCCATCTTTGCTAGTCGAATATAATTTTCACCAATTGTTCACTATATATGCTTGACCGCAAAATCAAATGAAGCCACAACTTTGACTGGGTAAATCCAAATTCGAATCCGATCCAAACCCCAGCCTCATCTTTCCATCCGCCCTGTCCTCCCGGATTTCGGTTGGAAACCGTTCTGCACAGGCTCTGGCCGCGGAGGCCCCACCGTGGCCATCAAAGACAGCGAACAAACACCTGCGACCATGGCCACTTAGGTTCTACGAGGTGGTGAAAAAGTTCGGAGTGGCTAAGTGTGTCTAGTTCACTAATATTTCACAAGGGTTGATGATGATGATGATGATGATGATGATGGTGATGGTGGTGATGATGATGGTGATGGTGGTGATGATGATGTTGATGGTGGTGATGATGATGATGAAGAATACTTATAGTTAGATGGGGTGATGGTCACGGTAAAAATTTTGGTATACAACTACAACTCCATCCACCGCGGTTGGACTAAGGAGCAAGTGGATGGTAATGATGCGTGAGTGTGTGTGTGTGTTTTCTAGGGAATGATGACGTGTTAACGATTATGAACGCCTATGGATGATTGAAAAACAACATGTGAATGATATGCTGATGGTCATGATTGTAGTGAATGTTGATCGCCAAATATACTATAATTGACTGATATTGACTGGCATCCAGTACATATGCTTGGTCATACTTATTCTATATAACGTGGCGACAACCACACATACCATCAACCAGCTATGTTCATTATACCAACAACACTTGATTAATCTACCAGACAGTACTATACCTTAGTGCTTGATGAGGTAAGTGGCTTGTAACTACCAGGCCGCGGGCTGAAAAACCGCCACCATGGGCCGACACTTACTAGTAACTAGTACCTGGTTATATAACTACAGGTCATTCACGAGTCACTAGCGGGGGGGCAAGGTAGAAATGGAAACATCAACCGACCCTCAGGGATGGATAACCAGCATCATCATCATCATCATCATCATCATCATCATCCCAGTTGCCATTGAATTTTGAAAAAACATGAACATCCTGAAACCACCACCCAGCCACTCAGGACATCGTTCGCTGTGATCCGACACCTTTTCAGGTAAGGATGGTCCACTGACCATCTCTGGGAGGTCATCAAACAAGCCCGGCAGGCCGGCGGCTTTGATATTGGGAGCTGGACCCTCAGGTAGACCACTGCAGAGCATCACATGGACGTCCTCGTTTTGGGGTCGCGGCCCTTGAGCGCTGCAAGCAGCGCACTCGGCCCATGGACCCTTGGAGCTCTCCACAGAGACATTTCCATTGGAGGCCTTTCCGTTGGCGACCCTTCCATTGGAGGCCTTTCCATCGGCGACCTTTCCATTGGCGACCTTTCCATCGGCAACCTTTCCATTGGCGGCCATTGTTGCAAAGTATTCTCTTTCATGGGAACTGGATCTCAACTGATCTAACGGCCTAGTCTCGGTTTGTGACATGTTTTTCTAAGTCTATGTGGACTTCAAAATGTGAAGGAAACACCGTTGGGGTTTCCAGCGAGCTCACAAATGTGCAACACCTACTTGTACCAGGTACTACAAGCTGTAGCAAGAGGCCAGAATTTACATCATATCATCAAGTAGTCTATTCATCTTTACCAAAAGCTCGAGCAACTTTAGCTGCGGACCAACAACCCGTTCAGAAGGAAAAGGGCAAATGACGTGCCGCCGCATGGCGAAAGAGAGCTCGCAGCAAACTTCCAGCAGTCTGGGCATGGCATGATATGCCTCGAAATAATTGACCAGTTGCACCCATTGAAACATGTTTTTGATGATGAAGTTTACAATTTATTGATTGGTACCATTTTGGGTTGATTAGTTGACATTAGTTGACATTAGTTGACATTAGTTGACATTAGTTGACATTAGTTGACATTAGTTGTATAGTGTAGATACAAGAAACAAATGTGTGCTTCCGTTGGTACCATTCGGCCAAGGTCGTTCCAAATCCCCGTCCTTTCAGAAAAGAGTTTGTACTCCCGACCTCAGCTCTGAGCAGCTCTGAGCTATGGACCCCCCAGGCCATGCTGGTATTTTGCTGGTCACTAACTGCAGCCAGGAAACGGAAACCAGCACAAATCAAGGACTGATGCCAAACCAAAGCTGAGGCTGCCTGCTCAGAGTACAAGTTCTAGCAATGTCCAAGTTTTGATATGTTTTGATGACATGTCTGTTGTGCTGAGGACTGCAGCTTGGGGCTGCCGTTTTGATTATATGGCATCGCGCTTTTTCTCCGCTGGAAATATCTGGAATACACAGATGTCCTCACACGCATAGTCATTCTCAGCCGGCGGTCTGACCTCGTGGATGCTCCAACCTTGCGTCAAAACTCCCACACGGATGCGTGATGGAGAACAAACATACAATTCACATACATCTTCAACTGGTGTCGAATGTTCCCTGAACATATCCGAAAAGCAGTTTTGGAGATGGGCCAAAGCCTCACATTTGGTGCTTTTTTTGGGATAATTAACATCCATAAATACCATCTATTTTGGTGACCTCACTGTTGTGTCAATATGATTCTGGCATCGGTTTGTCTTTAAATGGTGGGAAGAGCCGGGACAAATCCAGTGGTTCACCTATTGAAATAGCATGAAATAGCTATTTCGGGGAGGGTTAACAGCACGCATTTAGCCTCAAACAAGGTGCCACTGTCACGGAGAAGCTCTTTGAAGTCCTGGAGGATTTGGTTCTGCATGGTATCTTCGTGGTAAAACCGCCACAGAGATTCGGTCAACATAGGGATTAAACCTGATTCAAGAAACGCAAACGGAGGTTTAACTAACAGAATTTGGGATTCAACCAACATAAAGGTTGGATTTTAACAAACGAAATTTCCTATTGAGCAACAGAAATATCAAGCTTTACGCACCAACAATGTGCTTTCACCCATGGATCAGTCCTCTTCAATGCCCCGCATTTCTTGGGCCCAGATAATTTGGTCCGGCGCCAAGGCATTCAAGGTTTCCAGCAGAAGGGGACAAGCTTCCCGAAGATACACGCAATCCTGAGGGATTAAACCAAGCATGTAAAATCGAGGGGGTGGCACTTATCCAATAGGGACCAAACCAACACGCTTGATATTGTTGTTATGGATATGGGGATGAAACGATGTGAAACGTATGAAATACCAGCTTTGGAGGAGATGAACATACGTACATTGGTGAGCTTCACCAGGGTACCTGGGTCTAGCTTCATGAGGCCCTCACCGACTTGAAACAAGTTGCGGACATAATCACCGTATTGATGCCAGAGATCGCCGGAGCATCTCCCCAGTCCAATTCAATGGCATCAGCATGATCCTGACGCTGGGAAATCCCCAAACTAAATGAGTATCTCAATGGGAAAATGTGGGAAAATCATCTGAGAATCTTGGGGCCTTCCAATGCAGGGGTCGGGGCCTTGCAATGCAAGGGTTGGGTCCCAATGGTGGTTTCAGGAGGGGTCATGACCGCATGGGATATGTAGGCATTGGGCCCGGGGGGTCTTATGTGGCGATGCGGTTTGGTTGCCAAGAGGTATCAACGCACCAACTCATGGATTGTCATTTCATATCACATCACATCACATCATATGGTTCTGTTGCGTTATTTTGTTGACTATCCGACAGCTATCCGACTATCCGACGACTATTCCGATGGCTATCTGACGCCAGACCAGGAAACCACATTTCTAAAGCAACTGGACCTTGACGGATTTCTTAACAACTTAGGAATTTAGCCCCATTGTCTGGAAAAAGGCTACGGCAGTGTTTTTATTCAATCCCCCCAGCCCCGGTGGATCACAACAAAACGCGAGAAATGCATATGTTGGAAACCACCCGCGAAACCCAGCTACAGCTTCGTTGTTGGTCTTCTTTGTGAAAAGAGCTTTATATGAGAAGTGTCCCCCGTTCATAGAAGCACAGGTTCCACGCGTGTTGCCGAATGGGTCCTTGCTAGATTTGATTTGTTTAGTCAACACTTGTAAGATCATCTGATGCTCCAACAAAAATTGCATGTCACGTCAGGACATCCATATCAAACCCAGTGGCCCCTGAGTACGAGGGGTCGAGTCGTGACATGCGGCCCTGCAGGGATTGCAAACTTCTCCTGCAGGCCATTTGACTCGATGTTGGCTTGTAGCAGAGGCACCATTGGACATCTGTCCTCGGATGATTTGCTTCCCATCTGAGCAGCACACTTTTATTGTTTTACTAAGTTTTACTAAGTTACTAAGTTTACTGTTGGTCAGTTTATCACCATTTACCCATGGGCTGATTCACTGAATTCACTGATCAGCCCTCTATTAACCAATGGGAAAAGGACATCGATGTCTGAAACCAGGCTACCCCATTTCATCCACTGGGTCATCATCATTGTCCTCATTAAAATTGCCATGTATCGCGGGTAAATTCCGAATTTTCAGGTGCTACATCCAAATATCATGTTGTTGGTGTTACGTCCCATTCTATCCCCACGATGTTTCCCACATGGCTTTACACCCCCGATTTTTGCTGGTTAAACAAACATCAATGGTTGCATGTCCCAATGGTTTATGTATCATTGTATCCAATTGCATACAATTGCCATATAGAATGATTTTAGTCCAACCCCGTACAACCATTAGCCAACACTTGAAGCCATGCAACCAACAAGAATGGGAATGCATTTTAGCACCCCAAATGGGGAACCAACTGAGTACAGGGGATGTAACTCTACGATACTTTATGGAACTGGAGATATTGACTCCCTATAGTCATAAAGGGTGACTTTCTCATGACCTTGGTGCCCAGAATCGATAGGCAGCCAGTCATTGGTTCACGGACCCAAAAGTCACCCAAATGCTGCTCAGGCACTGCTCCTTGATCAGCATCTCTCCCAAACAGAGAGCCGAATCCCAAACACAAACTCCAGATTCATTGGCTATGCCCATGTCCACATCAATCACAAGCTCCTCGGCTGCACATCAATCACACTCAGATCACAGAGTTGAAGGGTTATAATTATAAGTTATGAAGAAAACAAAGTGAGACTCGAACTCCAAAGCAGAGCTGCTTTCTCATCTTCTTCAAGGCTGGCAGGAATTGTCACCCGACGCATCAGCTTGAGGATGGAATCAAGAAGACCCTGCTCTGCTTCCTCTTGAGCCAAATGCGGTCAGCAGTGCAACATGGCAACATATGGCAACCCTTTCCTGAGGCACCATGGGCAGGAACCACTCTCATGGGTCTCAGCTTTCATGCGTGTCAAACATGATGCGGTTGCTGACGAGGAAGCAGGTAGGTAGCCCACAAACCTTTCAGCAGAAAATGATTTCAAGCCCTCAACTCCAATCTCCAGCCTCGCTGGTGGGAATTTCCTGCCACACCGGGAAGGAAGTGTCAGCTCTCCAGAAAAGTTTTGGGACCAAGACCCCACAAAATGGTTCAATTTCAGTTTCAGCACGATAAATCATGAGCTTTGGGGGTGGCTAGATAAGATTGGGCACGAGATTAGTTGTACCCATGAAATAAACCAATCAACCATCATGTATCAGCACTTATCAACTATATACCAATAGAATCCCATAGAGCCTATGGTTAAATACGTTTAAGCAATGTTAACCCCAAAAAAACGCAATAAATGATGCTGAAATCTCCATGACACCAGTCCATGCTTGACCGCACCTGTCTCTGCTCAAAGGTGGTCCCTTTGTTTGCGAAGATGATCAACTTCTTCCGCGTCGCCACACAGATCTGCGTTCACCGGGGGTTAAAAATGGCAGGGTCAACCTGTGCATAAAATGCTATAAAACTGACGTATGTACAGTCAATATACACCTAACAACAACAACAACAACATCAACAACAACAACAGCAACAACAACAACAAAATAATAATCACCACCACCACCATCATCAGCATCACCACCAACATCAGCATCAGCATCAGCATCATCATCATCATCATCACCACTGTTATTCTCAATTTCACTGACTATTTTATTCTATTTGTCCTATATTTATACCGGTATATATAGAGTTATCATTATATTATTTCATAGTCAATTAATGTCAATGATAAATAAATAGGCATACATGCACATAAATCTCACATGGTCATATAGTTTTGGATGAATTCAGGGTACCCCCCATTTGGGAAACCTCCAACTGGGTATGGGTGTTACACCCCAACGATTTCACGGGCCTCTCCGCTGACCTCTTCACCCGAGCTGCCGCTGTGAAGGCAGATTTGCTTCACCTCGGACCATGGAACTCAGGGGTTTCCCCTTCCACCAAATGGTCCAAAATGGTCCAAATATGTAGTTCATGAAGGTGGTATAAACCCCCAAATAAATCCAAATGGCAATTTGGATTGAGCATGATGTATCATGATGTTACTTCATCCCAGTTGGCCAACTTGTTGGAAAACATCTGATCCGCCCAAGAGACATCCTTGCAAAGCTCCACTGCTGCGGCAGACTGGATATCAGCTGGCAACACATTCAGAACTCCATCCAGCAAAGTGAAGACAAAGCGCTCGGTGGCGCAAACCTGCCAAGAGACCAGTCAACCAATCTTGACTGATTGGTCATTGTCCAAAAATAGCGTCCAAAGTATTCAAGAGTCTAAGTCTATGGAGATATTTTGTGATAGTTCCTTTCTTTCTGCTCAACCATTCTCAACCATGAAATATGGTGCGCTTATATTCTTTGCACTTCGAGGACCGTTCTACTCTCTGCGTTTCGATGACCGGGAAAAAAGCGCAACTGTGAAGCGCCCCGCCTGTTCCACCGGTCTCCTGGTGGAGAGACGTACAACTCCAACTTGAACAGCTCTCAGGTCCTCAAACAGCTCAAGAGTTCCCGTTTGATCTATACCCCTAATATACCAGCAATATACCATCTGCAGCTTATTGACATAGGCAAATCACAGTGAATCCAAAACGAAAGTAGATCATGTTGGAGGGAAACAATGGGCTTTCTGTCTTAATTTAGTGGAGGGTAGCTCTTCAAGCGATGGGCTAGTGTAGGCGTCTCGTGCTAATCCAGATCACAAACAGAAGTGAATGTGGAGCCTGGCATGTCAGCACATATTACCCTCCGGTAATCAATGGACAATCCCCGATTTAAGATGATGCTCCCATGAAAAGCTCCATTTCTAGGGCATTTTCCGCCTTGTCCTCAGAATCAACGTGTGAGGGAAGTCCAAACCTGCCACAGACCGATCAACCATTGATCGGTTGCGCAATCCAGACTGGCTGCTGGGATAGCTGAGTTCAGGACTGGAACAGGTTTCCAACGGCCGTCCCAACGTACACCTGATTTCCTCTTGCCATCGAGCATCTCAAAGACATCCACGGTGCAAAGTCCGGTGAACAACATCACGAACAAAACCAGCAAAAAAGGCACCAAAGCAAAGCATGTTGGGATTGACGGTAGCCGTCAAACTCGAAATATAACCCCCAGTAGTACCAAGAGATCAGACTATACATCCAATTGTATCCCAATCTCCATGTCGTCCGGCGCAGCGGGGCCCAGCGGGTCCGGTCCTGAAAAGCAAAGACTTTCGATCTTCTCTTGAATTTCCAGCACCTGCACCTTGGTTTTTGCGGTGCAAAAAGGTTGCCTCAGGTATTGGTCAAAACTGAGACTCCTCCATTTCTACCAGGTAATCAAACATGGCTGGGAAATCCCCTATAAATGGAAATTTCAAATGGAAAATTCATTCATAAATGAAGGCCGTATGGTTGAAAGTTAAAACTTTGTGATCGCCTTGGCCTGCAGTGTTGGCCCGTGCTCGACCTTCCATGACTGCACACATACTACGTTCGGAACGTAGGAGGCCCTGAGGGCGGTGCAGACCGGAAAGGATTCATCAGCACGATCTGCTTGTGTGGCAAGCCCCATGACCCAATGTGCCCCAATGGAGCCCTGCCAATTGCTGAGCGGAGTTGCAAACCTTGCTAGGTTTGATCAACAGACTGTAGGTCTGCAGTTTTCTCTTGACAAGTGTAATACTGGATCATGTTGGACCAGTGATGCCGCAATGCTAAAAGACACCAAAAGATCTGTCACTGTGAGTATTTGGGTCTCGAGATCAGCTGCATGCTGGATGAGAAGCTTTGCTTCTGTGCCCTCAACTCGGCGTAAACACTGGCGAGCCAAACAATTGCACATAAAATTAAAATAAATTAGAAATATTGCGCATCCCTGTGTCACAGCCTTTCCCTTCTCCATGCATGCAAAATCATGCAATATAACATTGTGGGAATTTGTGGGGTATTATAGGGCCATGTTGGCCATGCCCTACTTCCACTCTTCCAATCTCTTCCAATCTCTTCCATAGTCAACGTTTAAACAAGGCTGGTTTGCACCAGGTGATCCTTCCGCAAATGCACTACGTTCCTTTTTACTCGCTAGCTTCGCTGGGTTCGTTCGCATCGATCTCCAAATTGGCAGCGTTCAACTGCTCCGGTGTGATCATCACGTCGAGCTGGAAAGGCATCTGGGGATATTCCAGGTGATGCTGAACTTCCAAGAGGTTGAGGATAGCAACGACCTGTCCGAAGAGCGTTTTTGCTGATCAAACCCTGGAACTTTTGCAACGAAAAATGCGTTTCACAAGAAGACAACCAGCTGCCTCTAGGTGAAATCGACTGGATTCAGGCTCCCAAGAATTCGTTCTCGTGCCTGGCAGCACCAAGATTCAGCTGCATCTGACCTGAAAGCACTACTGTTTTTGACCCATCTGTGGCCTGTCCGGTCCAGATAGCTCTGAAGTTTATCGAAGGTCGCCTGACGTCAACCCTGGTGCAATGATAGGCGGAATACTAACCTTCATCCATAAGGGAGGCTCCACATGGGGACAAAAATGACTCCACATTTTTTCCACTCCTGGCGTCATAGGAGTTGCAGGTTGCAATGATTGCATTCATATTTCCCCATTATGATGTATTTCAAATACCCTCTGGTAAACTAACATAACGATGGGAAATCACAATTTTTAATGGGAAAATCAACTATAAATGGCAATTTTCAATAGCTATGTTAAATTACCCGAGGGTAACTGAACTAGCGGAATCGAACCATTCATGAACTTAACCGTTACCGAACCGTGCTCCGTGAATCGGAAACATGAACCGACATGAATCAAACCGATGCGATACTGGTATAGACATTTGTATCCCAATACCCTAATACAAATGGGGTTGTCAAGAGTATCAGTATCAGCAACTATAGGGACAACTAGGGTTACAGGTACAGTTGTGTACATATATATATAATATATATATATAATGTGTATATATATATATGATTATATATGTATGTACAATTATATATATATACATAATCATACATATATATATATATACATGCATGCATGTGTAGCCCATCTTAGGCTGGTCATGGCTCAGCCAACAGCGACATGTGGCCTGCACTATTCGCAGTTGAGCCAAGTCCCAGGCTTCCCTGGCGAGCAGGGGATGCATCTCCGGTCATGGAGAGAAATGATCCAATATATCCAATATTATTATATATTATATAATATAGATATTATGATCATCATTATTATTACTATTATTACTATTACTATTTCTAAGTATCCAATGGGATCATCATTGGATATTATCAAGGATCCTAGTTAGATATCCAATAATGATCCAATAATGATTAATTTAGAACTATTAATGATATATGAATGATCCAATATATTGGGTATGTCCTTAGTGGTGATGGATATATCCATGTATAAATCATATATTGGATATACCCTGGATGGTGATAGGGAGATGAATAAGCCATACAGTGGCCACATCCCTTAATGATCAATGACCGTCACGGTCCGCAGGAATGCGATTGCCCTATGGCAATCTAACATGGCAATGGGAAAGAAACTGCCAACTTAATGAGTTAGTACCATTTGATCATGTACTGATTGAGATTGAAATTGAAACTTACCCCCCTGCTATATCCTGCCATATTGGAATACCAAGACGTACTTCTTTTGCTTACCTGTTTCTTCAGGTCAACAGAAATCGGCAGCACCACCCTTCCCTTTGCTACCTCTTTGGCACGCCAAATGCGGCACAAAGCCCGGTGAGGATGACTCGTCGCTGAAGCATCGCTACCTCTGCCACGATTGCCATGACAGCTTGTGTTGTGGGGGAATTACTGTATCGACATATTCACGCAAGAAGTCGAACACAAGGTCGATCGATACACCAGTCCCATGTTTTTCCTCATGGTGGCCCCGCCTCCTTTCTCGACCAATTGGCTTTCACAGGCAAGCTGGAGAAGCTCTCCAGTAACGTTAGCAGCAACAGCCTTCGAGGCATCACAAGCCACTACTCTCTGCAAGCTCTGCTTGCTCGGGTTTGGCCTCGATCCACTCGAAGTTTGCATGACCTGGCAGTTGACACATGGGCCATCCAACCAGTTTCCATCAATGGTACCCCAATAGCTGGATGGTTTATCATGGAAACTCCAATTGAAATGGATGATTTCAGGGTACCCCCATTTTAGGAAACCCCCGACTGAGACATACTGAGACTGTACGAAATCTATTGCTCCACTTATCTCCACACCATTGTGGAGATGGTGGGGGTAACATGGGGTGACAGGACAGCTGCCGTCCTCTCAGCCAAGGATTCAGGGAAACCAGCCCGGTTGACCCATGCACCCCACCGCTGAAGATACCCAACTCAGGGATCAAAAAATCAAAAACTGTTGGATGATGCAAAAAAAATGCTAGCTGCTAGACCAGCCATTGGCCGATGGTCCCTTCCAGATTTGATCGGCCATCGCAGAATTGCTGCAAGGAAAATGTTCGGGAAGCTGAAACCACTGATTCAGTGGTAAAAAAACACACACAAAAAAACATCTAAAGACCATGGGGTTTAAACCCATTAACAACTTTTAATCATTCAATTTTCCGCAAGAAACGGTGGATTTTCCCTTCCACCCCCCATCCCCGCCGTTGCCAAGGCTAAACCCATGGCAAGGTCCGAGGCCCCTTGGGCCTTGGGTGATGGAGATAACCATGGGATACCCCCATAAGGTGGGATATAAGCCATATACTGCAACTATTGTGGTTATATATATATACAGATATGTATATAATATATATATAATTATATATACACAGCATCATGAGATATCATGAAGATTCATTAAGTATGATATGATATAACCCCTATAACTATGATTCGATATCCAATATTATCCAATTCTATCTGGAACTGCACCCCCAAGTATGGCTACAAGAAATGGTGGTTATTAGGCATAAACTGGGGATATTTAGTCATCATGTGGTCAACTGGAGACAACTGGGGATATTGTTAATCATAATGTTACGTAATCATATAGCGGATTTGATATAACTGGGGACATTATTTAATCTAGTGGTTATGGTTATGGCCTTACGGCTATCATAAATGTGACTATTGATTAACCATTAAGCATGATATCTGGTGCATAGCTGGGGATAGCAATATTATGACAAACATGGATTAGTCTCATATATAATATCTGGGTTGCAATACTATCACCAACCATATCCGCAGCTTGTGCCTCCAAATGGTTGCTTTGATGGACAAAAGTGATTGTGAAATATTGTAAACCATCAAATTGAGGGAAACCCCATTTCCCAACAAACCCATGGTCGATAGCCCTGTATCATGATGTATGATGATTTATGACAGCATGGGCATATTGGTAGACAGTTGCCAACAACGCTCCATCTGTGATTGCTGTATTTCGACATGTTTCCATCCTAGTGCTGCCATATCATGTAAAACTGTCTTCTTGATTCTTCTTGGTGATACAATCACCTTCGCTTAGTCCGACACGGCGTGTAAGTCCTGACATGTTGGGATAGGCAGATTGAAGAATGACTGAAACCAAGGGTTTGCACACACTTTCCCACATTGAGTTTAGAAAAGCTCAACTCTCACCGCAACACCTGGACAGTTGACAGGCTAGCATTCGGATATGGCTCCCTTCCAAAGGAATTGGTTTCTGACTTCTCCATCTGACGAAACAAACCAAGATAAACCAAGGGCTTCACACTTCCACGCCTTCCACGGTCTGGATGCCAACAACCTGCAGCATGACACAGAGTCAAAGCTTCGCCTCGGCCAATGACATGCAGTTGCGGTAGGAGTTGGCGCAAAGCATTTCTGATGGAGACACATACACCTAATGGGTGTGTCTGAAAATAGGGTACCCCCAAATCCTAATTCATTACAGTATCTTCTCTATTTCGAGTTGGCATTTTGGGGGATCATCCCCAAGTTTTGGATAAAAACCATAATTATTTCATATATTATCCATTATTATCCTCTCGGCTGCATGGACTGACCATTTCAACTTGGTCTCCGCACCAGTCCAACATGCCCGCAGCTGTGATGACAGCCCCAAGCGCGGCACCATCTAACGCTGACACAGACGCATGGTCCTGCATTGAGATCGAGCTGACAAAAATTCCTTCAGTCAAAATTCATTGCGAATTTTGGCTCCAGCTTTGTAAAGTTTTATGATGTTTATGAGATTTTATGAGGCTTTAATCCCTTCTTCCTATTAATAAAACTCCCCCAACTACAAAAAAATAGGATTGGTGTGGCACTTCCTTTTTTTTTGGTTGGGCACAATTGGATTCTGAATTGTGGTAATTGAAAATCAATAGGAGAACAGGATGGTGAAACAATGGGTTCAACCCCCTATTAATGAAAGTAGATTGCCACCTGGAGATTTTTTATTAGTGTCCCATCTCACAAGTTTGATTTCTTATTTTTATTATTAAGGTTTTCATTGGAATATTGGGGGAAAGCTTCGAAATCCAGTTTCTGGCAATATGTATATGTATATATATATATACGTATATAGATTTTAATAAGGGATTTAATCAAATTTGAATTCATTTTATTTTTATTTTTAGTATTAAGGTTGTTATTGGAATATTGGGGAAAAGCTTCGAAATCCATTTAGATTTTAATAAGAGATTTAAGCACATGTGAAATCGAGTTTTTTATTTTTATTATTAGGATGGTTTTTCATCAGATGAAAGCAAATACTCTCTCCCAAGTACTATTTACCATTTGGGGGGGTTTTAGCAATAGGGAGAGAGGATTATAAAGTCTTGTCATTCCAGGAACCATCGATAGGATTCTTTAAAGGCTGACAAATGGATAATTAACGCGCTCCTGGAACAGCGGAAAGGCATCGGCGCAAAGCTCCTGCAGATTAACCAATTTAGTGGTGCGGCGTGCAGCAACTGCCACATGATCCGTTCCATGTCCGGCCTGGTGAAGAAATCGAACACGTGCGCAGGAGAAGAGAAACTGAGCCAGTTGGGGCAAAGTGAATTCCGCCAGACGTCGATGCACACTGGAACACAGAGCATCGAAAAATTCCTCATCCTCCAAATTCTTCCAGGCGTAACATCGGGCGATAGTCACAATCTGGGAGGGACTGAACCTGTCTGACGTATCTTGAATCTGCTTGGCCATCATAAACAGCCAGAATTCATCCATTGGCAAGGCAGGGGATGTCAAAGCCTCAATAAAACAAGTGATCTCACTCGGTTCCAAACTTGGAATCTGATGGCAAACAAAGTTTGTGAACAATTGCACGATCAGTGTCCCCAGTGGTATTGAAGCTTCATCAGGATTCCCCAAAACTCTCGCATTCAGGCTGGCTGTTCGAAGTGCTGTGACAGAGCGACAGCGGTCAAACAGCCACACAATTTCTTGAATGGAAAAGGCCTCTTTCTCATGAAGCTCTTTGATTCGTTCCCAGTTGCTGCTAATAGCAGCTCTTGGACCTTCACTCTTGATCTCCTGCAAGATCTGTTGCACCTCTGAAGTCGAGTCAAACTGAGACAAATCAGGTCGAACTATCATCTGCGGTGATGGTAGAGCGCTACCTGGTGGAGGTGGCGGCACCGCGGCCGCTGGTGTTGCTGAAGCCGGTGCCAACGGTGGCGGTGGGGGAATTCGTTCAGCTGGTGGCGGTGGTGGAGCACCAAAGCTCAGCGGTGGCGGAGGGAGTGGCACCACCAACTGCTGATGCTGGCGGCGCTGGCGGCACTCGCGCCCAGTGCGCCAAGTGCTTTGTCGGACTCGGAAGAGCCGAAGCCATCTGGATCCATGGTCCATGGCCAGGACATGTCAGGTCCCGAGCTGGAAGCCATGGGGCAGGTTGATCAAAACAAGCTGAGGTAACAAGGCTGGCAGTACGATAGTTCGGTTTTACATGTGGTGCAAGAAAAGGAATCTGTACGGCTACTAGTTAGAATGACAAAGCAAGCCATGAAGTTGAGTGTTCGTGAGTCGTAGTGCCATGGGATGATGAACAAGGCTCTGTGGAAGCTTGTCAACAGTATTGGAGCCAATGCTAAGCTTGGTACAGTGAAGTAGATCAGTAGATCCAAATGGTTCAATTGCGAAGCAGGTTGATATGGGTTTGTCTGAAAATAGGGTACCCATGGGTACCCAAAGTCCAATGGCTTATCTTATCCATTGAAATGGCCAGTTTGGCATTTCCCCGTTTCTAGACAACCCATATAGAAGGATCCATCAGTTCTATTCAGATGTCCAAGCAGCACTGCTATGATTGTGCCCTTTTTTCCATCGGCTTCGGTCAGACGCGAAATGTCAGCGCTTCAGGCAAGTCTTCCGTTCCGCTTCCATTCTTGAAAGGACAAGATGGTGTCGTCCATTTCTTCATCCACCTGTCGGCTCATACTCGCAGCGTCTGTCAACTTGGATGACCATTCCAGGTTGCGTGCAACTGCGCACGGCAAGCCGCATCTCTCATTGTAAGTCCAAAGAATTCCTGGCCTTTTCTCATTTGGTGGGTCATCATCAATTGGTGTATCATTGATACATTGTTATTTATATGGTGTATATCAATGATACACCCATCATTTATATATATATATATGTTCATACATTTATACATGCTTTTCCCATTGAAAATGCCATCCTTCACTGGGATTTCCCAGCTTGCCATGGAGGTCTGGTCAAGGCATCAACCAACATAGGCGGCAGCACCTGCAACATGGGTCCATCGCGCCCCACGATCGCCCCTGCAACCAGGGACTCTCTGACCTGGGGTTCCATCATGTTCCATCCAACCCGAGTCCCCGAGAAACGAAAGGAAGCCTTGCCATATCTTGCCATTGTGAAACTGGGAGACTGGCATCCCATGGCATCCCATTTGACATGAAACTCTTTGCCATCGTGAAATAATGTGAAGTATCTGGATTACTTCCTGCCTGCAGTTCTTCACCATCGCTCAAGTTCGCCTTCGGAAGATCTGGTGCACTTCAATATTGGCCATGATCCAAATAAAAGTAAATAAATCACTTGCTGAAGAGCAATCCGCCAAACGGGCTTTACATACTCATCTTCCTGGCCTGAAGAAAGCTATCGGCTGTCCACAAGGCAAAGACATTGAGAACAACTGGCATCAGAACCTCAACAGATGACATCCGGATGGCAATGGTAACAGCGAGACGCGCAGTGGCGACAGCGCAAGCGACTTGGGAACCCTGGCTATAACTACTACCAGCTTCGCTCGTGGAAAGCTGTCAAGCCACCTCAGACTGTCAAGATCTGAATCCATGTAATGTGGGTAAAAGCATGTCATAAACCACCCGTTTGGGAATGGTTTATACATGCCACCTATTTATGCTGATTAGGGGGATGGTTGATTTTTGTTTTACCGCATGAATCTCTCAGATTCTTCCAGCACCCACCCGGCTATATCTAAGACTTTCGCCCAAGAAGGGCGGAGGCAAACGCTGCAAGACCAGCTCGAAAGTTAATTACCAGCCTGTCATATCTTCCATAAACTTTAGCTTCAATGCACAGCATCCAGCTACAAATCTTATACCCTCTGGTAAACTAACATAGCTATTGAAAATGGCCATTTATAGTGGATTTACCCATTAAAAATAGTGATTTTCCATAGCTATGTTAGTTTACCAGAGGGTAAATTGGGATGTGAACAGCGGGTTCCAAGACAGCCGGCCCGACGCGGCCAGCAAAAGCTTCTGTACAATGACCAAGGCCTGCGGAGGTCGATCGGGCTGATGTGTGGATCATGAAAAAACCATGCCTTTGGCACATTTATCATCTATAACTATACAACTACACTGATACACATACTATATATCACTATATATATATATATATGTATATATATATAATTGTATATATATATATATGTATATATTGCATCCAGGTATATCCATGTAAAAATCTGTCTGGATCTCCAAACAATCATCATGAGAAAGCCACGAGCATGGAGTCATCTTTTTTTCTGCGTCTGCTAGGACAGGAGAGGAGTTCCAACTTTCCGAATGTTCAGAGGACTCTGAGAAGGCCGATCTTTCCTCGGAGTCACCTTGTTTCTGGTGTGTCAATAGTAAACAGAAATCATTTCGGAGCTCCTCACTGTACACGTACTAGCGACAGTTGTGCTACACGGCCACCAGCAGCAAGAAATCAACGGTTTTAATTTTAATCATATGCTGCTGTGAATGGATCAGGCTGCTTGGTGGCGTGTTAGCTTGCAAGATTGAATTGCAAAAGCGATGCCAATCCTTTCCTCGAACGCGACCCCCATGCCTGATTCATTTTGCGTGTAGTCATGAGTATTTCATCCAACTACTCCATGAAGGACGTGTGCAAAACTTTTGCCAGTGAGACTGAGGCTGCCAGCTGCATCGACAAAATGGCACTCCAGATTTGTTGTGGGAACAAATGGCCATAAGAGGCTGTGCAGCATCTGGAAAGTCAGAAGGTGCAGCACCAGCTACAGCCTGTCAAATTTAAGATCCTTTAGGCCCAATAACCATAGATTTGAGCAGTTCTACAAGAAGACCGAATCGGCGATTCATGGCAATTTGTCCACGTCCCCGTCCGACCAAAAAGACCCCTCTGAGGTTCAGGCACTTTGTAAGTAGCCTCCATCCCATCTTTTGGCCATAAGGGATGTAGGACAGAGTGTACCAGACCAAGGACATCCTCATTTTCCACAATCCGAGCATGGGACTATGGGAAAAATCACAAAAAAAAACATGATTTATGGCAAAATAAAATGATTTCCTGTAGATTTTCCCTTAAAGCAATCCATCCTTCACAAGCCATCAGGAGCTTCTGCTATGTATCGCACTGTGGCCCTGACCACTGCAAGATCACCAGAGCTAGAATCAGCAATGCGCGTCCATGGAATCGGGGAGCCTGCATGCGATGTGTCTGGTTTAGCAACAGGTACATACGCGCACATATATATATGTATTATATTATATTATATATATAATATTAATATATTTATATATAATATAATATTCATATATATATAATATTAATACATATATACAATATTAATATATATATATATATGATACTAATATACATACATATTCATATACATATATAATATTAATATTATATATATATGCAGATCACTATATATATATGTATATATACATACGCAAATCACATATACTACATCTGTAGATCATTGTATATATATATACATAAATAGACGGATGTCAATGTATGTATGTATCCATCTATCGATCTATCTATATAGCTATCTATCTAAGTCTCTATGTATCTATGTATCTATGTATCTATGTATCCACGTATCTACGTATTGTATGTATTGTATGTATTGTATGCATTGATATGCATTGTATGTATTGTATGTATTGTATTGTACTGTATAATACTGCATTGTACTGTATTGTACTGCATTGTAATGTATGTATTTATGTATTAATTATAGTTTATTGACATATGACTCAAGGGTGGGTGTGACCCCTTGGTACAGGCCTCGACTGCGACCAGCGTCAACACCATGGCGCTCACAAAGATCGCAGATGCATGCGCCTTGGAATGATTCTGCCGTAAAACTGTTCACCCACACTACCCATCCAACGAATCAAACAGCGACGTGAGCCAGGCGCCCGATTCTTGTCCGCCATCTTTCGCACTTGCTTTCTGGGACCAGCCTAAGAGCTGCCAAAGATCACTGGACTTTTACCTTTCAGCTGCAGAGCACCGAAGCTGGGCGATCGAGCCAAAAAGAAGGTGCCAACCAGCGCTACAATGTTCCTCGGGCAGCAGATGCGGACTATGCGGACACCAAACCATCTCAAATTCTGCTGAGTCGTCCACCCTAAGGTGTAGGTCAGGGCAAATCTTCCCGGATGGCCCAATAAAGCACGTGTCCTGAGCATCGCTTTGCTCCAAAGGCACCTGCTGATCATTTTGGCTGAAATTGACAAGCTGATATATAATTGATAATAAAGAATGATACAGACCCACATATGACGTATGAATTACTGGTATGATGCACCGTTGTGTTCAAACGCGTCTCCCGTTTTCTGGATCTACACAGTGCCACGTCATGCCAAGTCACAATGAACCGAAACTTGAAGCTTGGAGCAATAAACCAAGGCCTTAGACTTTGGACCATAACTGGACCATAACTGGACCATAACATCAACAGGTCGATGGTGGACATGGCGCCAGGTCGCTGGGGACAGGGCAAAAGCAACATAACCAGCCTGTGACTCTCTGGCGCCAGGTGATGTGTGGACAGCAAGAGGTCAAAAACTCGTCTTCATCCTGCAGCAAAGTGGCACGAAAACTGGGTGTGTTTAACAAAAAATGGGATTTATACCCTTGAAACATCTTGAAACATTGGCCATGTGAATCGGGAAATTGCTAATCGTTGCTAATCAACCATCAAAGGTTGGGATTCGTTCATATACCTTGTTTTCAGACAAACGCAAATTCAAGCTCATGTCATCTCATGTCACTCAGCAATTCAAAGAACCGATTTTGTTGACATGAAACTTGTTGACATGAAACTTGCCTCCTCTTTTCGGAGAAAGCTGGGGGTGACACTCCTGAACACCTCGCCCAACCTTGGACAAAGCCAATGACTGAAGTTTGATTTCAAGTCCATATGGCACAATCCATCTTGATCACCTTGGACTGTTTAAAAAACACGACTGTTTAAAAAAAACACCCGGACCCAGTTTCAGATATATATCTGCATGTCAGCCATCCCGGGTATGTATTTGATTTGCCACCAAATTCACTGGAAGAATCTCTTGGGGCCCAACCCTACCTGCAATTCCACAGGTTCGAAGGTCACGTTTGGAAAACGGACCTCAGCAGAACTCGCTGTCCACGCTCGGTCGATCTTCCCAACTCAGCCAAGGATGCCAAGGTGCATAGTTTGTCATCGGCCGCCTGCCACCTCCCCTGTGCCACAGAGATGTCAGTGAGGTCTCCCTTTCTGCAAGTGCTATGATGCAAAGCTTCTCTGGCCCTTAAAATCAGACCATTCTCAATAAACGGATACCATAAAACAGTTTCGTTGTGTCAGTTGAGGGGAAAGATCATAAATTGAAGCGAAAGAATTACCAGGAACCCCGACATATTTGACCGCCAAATCTATAGATTTCCATAAAATTCCTATCAATTTCCCTCACCAATCCTCCTTTCAACTGGACCCCTCAAACCCAGTCTGGGTCGCCTTCTCTCCAGGCGGCAGGCAGCACTTTCGCACACAGCTTGGAACCGGAAAAATTGCCGCGGGTTGTGTCGGTCAGTCGATGCACCGTGGATGTTTCTGGGTGGTTCTTGTAGTTTTCTGCACTGTTTCTTTGACTCAAATGACTCAAGGATTTGGCATTGCTGCTCCACTTTTGCGTACAAGATCCTACAAGTATCTCAAGATGGCCCTGCTTTGTCTTGCCAAAATGGATGTGGAAAGGTTTCCGGAACAGACTCCCATTCACACCTGCCAGTCCAGCAACTGACGGAAGAAAATCTTCAAATCTGGGGGATCACCATAGTGACCACACCTGCAAGGCAGGCTAAGCCAGGTATCATCGTATCACGCACACAGATCTTCCCTGTCAAGCCAGGAGCTGCTGCCTTGCAAGTTCAGGTCGAGCAACACACTTGCTGCGATAAACACATTGCCTCGGATAGCTTTCATCAGGACTACTTCACATGCGGAGGCTGTTCCAATAAACATTGGTTGTCCAAGATTGTGAGCAAATTTGTGGATTCTTTGGAGGCCCAAGTTTGATTGATTCAGACTTGAACGTATTTTTGGGTGCTCAATGGTGCTCACGTTATTGGACACCCAACAGTTCTTCCAAGTGCTAGCAAAGAGACAGCGTTCGAAGAAGCAGGAACATGGTGGCCACACCTGTTCCAAGGAAAGCAGAACAACGCCTGCGACTATATGTCCAAATTCAAAACATGTGCGCGAGTTTGGCCATGTTGCCATCTTGTACGCCTGTTTGAACGTCACCGCAACATCTATCACTTTTGAGTGTCCGGAGTTGCCAACAGAAAGTGTTTTCCCCTCAGAGGCAGACCCAAAGTGCAATCCAGGGACATGTTGATCCAGTACCTAAGTGCACAGCCGGGCATCCCAGGACTCAACTCGCAGGATGCTGAGGCAAGCACCAATTGCATGGATCAGCATCCACTTCCAGCCATTCTCCAAATCCCTGAAAAGCCATGACAGCCATTTATATCAGAGTTTTGTCTAAGAAAATTCAGAGAAATTTCAACACAAATTGATGATTTATCATTTATCAGAGATTGCCATCTCCCTTTAAAATGGGCATAAATGATTGTGAAATCCCACATGAAATCCACAGCTGGGTCTGTGCTACTTCGCAAGGCTCTGGCCATGGACAGCCCAATGTTGATGATGTGGTTCATCAAGGCCTGTCCCATCGATGATTTCACTGTGCTTCAACATGAGGGGATCACTTAGGGAAGCAGAAAAAATGCCTGGGCTGAATGGAAGGGATTGTCCATTCTTGATGATACGTGGTGGAATTTGGATGGATTTGATTTGGAAACTTAAAGGTAAAATTGACATACAAAAATGGATGGGATAGGGGATCACAAGGGAAAAACAGTCTTAGTCTTGTCTCACCAACATCTTCCTGCATGCTTTCGCAGTTTCAAGGTTAAATTGAGACTGCCTGCGTTCCCTGCTTTGCAGTGTCGAAGAACCAAACCTCGGGCCAGACATTCCAGTTCCTTGCAAGGAAGTACAGTATCTCCTTCGCACTGGGGCCGCCACTTTCCAAGATCTCCTCACTTTATCTGTGAACCTATCAATCCACAAGTCTGAAAGAAATATTTTTCTCCCTGCTCTCTAACATATCGCTATTACCCTCAGGTAATTTAACGTGGCAATGGACAATTCCCTATTTATAGATGATTTTCCCATTCAAACCTCCATTTATGTGGGATTTCCCATTGCCATTCTTGATTACCGGAGGGTATGTCATCACTCAACAGCATCCCTCAGTGGCCTCTTCCCAATCAACGATGCCATGCAAACTGCTCCCAGGAAAACCTGCAACCACCAACCGAAGGAGCCCCACCTCAGTGGATGAAACATGACATGCCATCAATGTGCCATTCATATGCCACCACCTCAGTGGATGTCATCAATATACCTACCATATTTGGGAAACATATGGGAAACTGATGGAAACTGCGATATGATGCGATCAGTCTCCCGTTTTGTCGTCTCAGTGCGGAACTTGCCAAGCAGCTCACACTCCAATCCTGCAGCCTCAGCATCCTCGGCGGCCATGCGGGCCAGCTGCGCCAACTGTAGCACGCCTGGCATGCCATTTTGACGTGACAAAGTCTACCTTACTAGGCATAGCCCAACATTAAGGGATATTAAGGGTCTAACTTTGTTGATTCCCTGGTGAAAATGGACCATAAAGTCATCAAGTAATTATGTGACTTGGGATGACATCTCTACATCCGATTGCCATCACTTTTTGCCGACTCCAGCGCTGGTGTCAGCGAGGTCTTTTTTGCGAGTATACACGTCCATCAGCATGACTTTGGCAAAAGAATCCAACCATTTTCTGACAAAACCAGTGATTGCGAACAAGCTGGATTTTGTTGCTGACTGCATGCTGATGGCATCTAGATGCTCCACGATACACTTGCGATCTGCAGTGCAAGTGGCATTTTGTCAGGGGAGGCACATGTGGCTTCCCGGAGTTTGGAGACCCTGGAAGCAACAAGGAAAAAAGGTCTCCCAGGACCATAAACTGCGGCTGCTGAGGCCACTTCAGCCGACTTCACTCAACAGTGACGCTTTTGGCAAGATTCCGCGGCTGGTCAATGGAGCATCCTCTCATATCCGCGATGTGGTATGACCTGATTCCAGGTTCACAAGCTTTCCTTGCGATTGAAAAGCTCCAGAACCATAATGAAAATCTTGAAGGAATCCAGCGTTTCAAACAGGTTGCCAACTGAATTCTAGGAGCACATCAAGTTTCTGTCATCTTTGCACCAGCAAAATCTGGGTGTCAATCAGGAGCTGCAGTGGAATGCAACTGATCAATGGCCTTGATTCAAAGGCTGCGACGGTGCGACGATCGGTTGATGTCCCTCCATACAAAAAAAACTGCAACACGTCCAATAAAGACGACATATGTCCTTCCCGGTCCACGTTTCTTCATTGCATTTTTCCTCCATTTAAAGTTCATTGATCTTGATCAAGGGTCAACTGGTGGTCTGGGTTTAGACTTCCAGCAGGATATCCCTTTGAGAGAAATAGCGACCATAAAATCCAAAGCATCAACCAACGTATTTGTTAAACATTGGCTGATAGTTGGAGATTGGAGACGTCTCAAAATGTTGACCAAGCCGTAGGTTTGGTTGCCCGCGGCTTCCTGACACTAGCGCATGCTTCTCTTGCTGATCGATCCAATGATATCCCTCCAGTACACTGCAACTGCAACAACTACACTCGCAGATAGACAGAAAATGACAGAAATCACCTGCAAAATCTGATCTGTATGTAGACGAGCATAGGTTAAGTGCTGTAGTCGAACATGTCACCCACCTAGATAGCGGAACTCCCGGGCCCCGGCACTACTTCACTACAGAGCCCCCCCACTGCATTTCCAACTTCGTGGCAGGGCAGAATAAAGTAAAGTGTGCCACCTTGCGGAAAGATTGTAGCAGATTTCGAAAATTGCAAAACTACGCCAACAATCCAGGACTAGGAGGCTCACTTCTGAAATTTGAAGGCTCAGGAGAACAAATCGCTCTATGCTCCGGCAATCAACCATGGCAATGGAAAATCCCCCCTTCTTCTGTGTATTTTCCCTTTAAAACCTCCAGTTAAAAAGGAATTTCCCAGCTAGCCATGTTTGATGACACTGGAGGGTAGATGCCATTGTCTTGGCAAGCCCACGCCGGCGAAATCGGTGTTCCCATCATCCGTGAGGACAAGCAAAGCTGCTCCTTTGTGCCTGCAAGGCATTCCAATGCATGAGGTAAACAATGATTTGAACAGCTATGCATTGATATGCTTCGTATACGAGTTGATATTTGGATATTCTTCACATATTCCTTGGTGTTCTATGGTTATCTATACACCCTTGTTATTTTTGATGCTGAAGCTTCCGAACCTGAAAATGTCCCCAATGAAATTGCTACGCCACCCCTGTTCCATTGGCTATTTGCCCACATCTATTGGCACTGCAGCCCGCATGCAAACGTGGAACCTGAAGTCACGAACCATCTGTTTGATCTGATCATAAGCAGGGTCAGACCTCAGATTGGCAGAAAGTGGGCACAAAGGTGGTTGTGGAACTATCAAGATCCCATCGTTGGATGTTGCATCCAATTACACCCCAGCAAAATATGTATATATATATATACACATTATAGAAATAGAATTAAACAGATATGTTTAAAACATATCATCCCATCGGCCGTCATCTACCACTGGTTAGGACGGTTATACAGATTGAAGGCGTGACGACAGGCAGTCGCCCGCCTCATGGCTATGCACACCACCGGCACGAAGTTTCGGATCAGCGTGATGCCGCCATGCCTGGGCACCCAGGGTTGCTATGTCATATCCCCTTCAGCTCCAGATATCTCATAGTATCTATTCATATATAGTGTGATACTATAGATATTATGAAAACATATTTATCATATGCATATATATATATATTATGTTCTGTATATATATATAATGTTATATATATAATGTTAGATATATTATATATATATTATGTTATATATATATATATTATGTTATATATATATATCATTATATCATATATATTATGTCACATATATATAGATTATATATTCTCTCTATATATTATTATTATTATTATTAATATTAATATTATTATTATTAGTATTATTATTATTATTGTTATTATTATTGTTATTATTATTATTGTTATTATTATTACTATTATTATTATTATTATATATATATTATTATATATACACACACAGGGTGAACTATATAGTAATTCATCAACCTGAAATACCCATCTTTCCTTTGGCCCCCCTTTGGGCCAGAGTGGACCCTCGGGCCTGATCTCTGAGGCCGGAAAGCCCTCAGCATGGATGTAGGAGATTTCCTGCAGGGAACTCCGCTGATTTTAACGTGGTTTTAACCGTTCAATTTCCCGCGAGTGAAGTGTGAGTATTATGAGTCAACTGGGAGAAATCCACTCTTAAATAGGACACGCCTGTTCAGACTCTATATATATAAGTGTGTATATATATATATAGAGGTAAGGTTAACTAAAAATATCTGTAGTATACACAGAGATACAGTAAGTATGATTCCATACTATTCTAGGTATAATATGTGAACACCTTTCCACCACCCTTGTCGATGCCGTAAGTCCCCGCCTTCAACTTGAGGGCACCTTCCAAAGCTACGGGAAGATGGACACCCATGCCACAGAAAAGAGCATTGGTGGCCAGCCGTAGATTCCTCAAATCGCAGCGCTGTGCGCTAGCGACGATTTACGCCCACTGGAAGTAGGATACCCCCAGAATACCCCAAAATGTGGATGATCCATGACGGTGTTCTCCAAAATGGCGAAAATTGCTGGGGATCCCCTATTTTCAGACAAACTGACAAATCTGTACACAAAGGGGGGTTCTTCGTGGAATCGCTATCTGATGATCAGACGATGAAGCTTCAGATCATCCGAAAGTCAAATGAGTTCTGATGTCTCTTGAGATCTGCAAAATATCCTTGATTGCCTCAGGATTCGTGAAAAGATGGTGGAATAAAGATAGTTTGAACCATCTAGATCAAAATAGACCATCTCTATGTAATTATGTATATATATATACATACAATAATAGTTGTTAATAACAATAGTAGTAGTAACTAATAGTACCAATTGTAATGATAATCATAAAAACTAATAATACAGGAGTAGAAGTAATAACAGTCATGATTAATAATAAGAGTAGTAATAATAATAATAAATATATAATAATCATATATAATTCAATTTGCAATATAATGATGGCTGGAAGTCGGGTTATCCCAGGGCAAGATCTGGGTGCTGCGCTTCGAAATCACTCTGGTCTGCTCAGTCAATGAGGAGATCCTGGGTGATCTGTCAATCTCCGAAGCGGCATCTGCTGCGCTGGGAGGTGCTGGGGCGCCCTGGCCATTTCTCGATGCTGTCTGGAACATTATTCAGGGCTGCGCAGTACATGTTGAGCCTCAGAATAAAGGGCTGGGCAGGTGATGTCAGTCATGTGAAAGAAGATGTTGCATAGCCCAAAGAATCCCAACACACATTGCTTTCTCTGCTGTATATGTATAGATATACTATGCACTGCGTGGAATATATATATATAGCACAATATGCACATGGAATCACATATACGTGTGTATACATATTACATAATAATAATAATAGTAATATCACCTAGTATCTCTACCATATGATGCAGCCATAAATCATTATAAATCGATCCTGCAAGGGATCATTATAGGCCAAGCAGCATCTCTTCTGAGAGCACACCACGCTGCTTCCCCAAACGAAGGGCCATCAAAAGGATGGCAATGACCTGGTTACGTCCCATGAAACGACCTGGTCACCTGGTTGATGTTGGTTGAAATTGGGGCTACCATCTGGTTATGACTAACATAGCCATGGAAAATCCTCATTTTTAATAGGTAAACCATCGAACTAAATGGGCCATGTTCCATGGCTATGTTAAATAACCAGAGAGTACCATTTCTGAGAATATCTGATTGCTATCAATTCTAGGGGTACCAGATGTTTGATGAATCAACCAGGCGATTTTATCGCTTGGGGAGTGGCTGGTCACTGATTTCATCTTTCAATTTTGCGGATCAATCAATATCAATCATCTTGATCCATACCCAGCTGGGTTCACTTTCTCTGAACTTGGCATCACAGGGTCAGAAAAAGGGCATCACTTGGTGAACCATCCAATCTTGCTACCTCCTACGCGCCTGGCAAGTGAAAGCCTTTGTTGAAGCCACGCCAATTTCAGGTCCAGCATGAAGATACATGCCAGCATCCGTCCTCAGGCGAAACGTAGCTCTCAACTCTTTGAATCCCATGACCCTAATATCAAACACACCATAAGTACTACACATCATATATAATGGGGTTAAAACAATAATAAACCACCCATTTGGGAATGGTTTATAGCAGCTATTTATGGTGATTTGGGGGATGGTTTATTATTGTTTTAACCACATTAGTGTAAATCCCCTACTAAAACATGCTTCTGTCTGCATGATCTCTGTCAAAGTCCGAGTTGATGGCTCTCGAGCGATGCTGGAACCGACGACATTCACAACTCCAATTGTCAAAGCCTCAGCCATGGCCCGGCTAAAGTGGGTCATCACAAAAAAAACCTGAGTTTCGATTCAAAGCGTGAAATCAGCATTGAACATCATTTCTACTAACATGATTAAGATATATAATCAAGATATTATATCAGATTAACAAAGATATAGTGTGAACATTTACGCCTGAGACATTGAGATGCCGGGCTTTGTGTTCCTTTGCCATTTTGATGGCCTCCAAAGTGTCTGCTGTCTCCCCACTTTGGGAGATCGCAATCAGACAGTCGCTTTGACCTCGTGCCATTCAAAGGCCAGGCGTTGGCGATTTGAAGCGGTTGAATCCCCTAGAAATGGAGGTTTTAAAGGGAACATCATAGGAAAATCATGGGGAAATCATCTATAAATGGTGGCTACTGAGGCTACTGGTTGCTGGCAGGTCCACAGTTTTATCTCACGCTGAGGGCCCCACAAATCAAAGGCTTGCGATATCTAAATTCACTCGCCTTGACAGGGCGTCCCTTCAACAAAAAAACAATAAAGAACACAAACCATAAATACTGCAAAACTTCAACAAACATGACATAACATGATAATTACATATACTTACTATCTATGACGCCAAAATGCCAAGATGACAAGTTTCATGACACAACGATCTAATTTTGAGGTGTGTCTCAAAATAGAGAAATATCCCCCCAAATCATAGTGAAATCCAAGGCGCATATTCCACTTCTGCCCGAACTCCTGCCAGCTTCTCAAAGGCCTTAGCAGTTGACATCGATACATCAATCCTATGCCAGGGTGGTTAATGGATGGTTTATGATGGACAATCCCAACAAAAAATGGATGAGAACTGGGGGTACCCCTATTTAAGGAACCCCCCATACAGTATATATATATAACTAAGCCTGCTTCATAGCCCAGGTGATCATAAGTCTCATAACTGGGTTTATCCAGATGTGTATCCCACTTGTAACTGGATTAGAACCCCAGTTACTAACCAATTCTTAAGCGGAATGATGCGGAATGATCCAAGACAGCAACTGAGGCGATGGCATATTTGCCGATGAGACCAGAATGCCAAGAAGTTCCACATGCAGCGAAAATCAATCGGCAGGCTTTGGCCATTCTCTCCTCGATTTTTTTTGAAGGTCGGCATGGATTGAAAAATCACGGCTTTGATATCTTGTAATCCTTGTGCTTAAATCTCACCCTGCCAGGTATCCTTAGTAGTGCTTCCATATATGATCAGCAGCTGTGGTGGCTAAGTAGCTGGCCAATGGAGGGGTTGTATTTGCAGCCCCCTCTTTTGCCTTCTCTAATCCGCCCAGCTTGATCTCCCATTGAGCTTCCTGCGTCTGAACATGTCAGGCAAAACCAAAAAAAATTGAAGATTCATAAAAATATTTTCGAATAATAATGATAATAATATATAATAATATATAATGATATGGAACTGTTCATGATCTAAAAATACCTAAAACCTCATGTTTTGCTGCATGTTTTCCCCATGCACAGACTGACTGCAATTTCGGGGGACCATCCCCCTCTTGTTCAGTCCGCTGGTTGATAGATTCGGCCACGGAGGCAATTTCTCATGGCATTGGGCTGATCCTGGCCATGCTTCCCAGGCTGTCGATGCTGGGAAGCGAATGGGTTTTATGTGGTAAACCATCCCGAATAGTACCACAAATGGGAGTAAGATCATCCCCAAATAAGTAGATTTTTGGGTTTACCGAATGATGTTTCAGCCTCAATGCTATCAGCCTATCTCGTTTTCCTATAGTCTGCAGGCATTGCTGCCTGAATCTGCTGTTGCGATTCTCACCAGTTCCGAAGAGATATTTTAATCTGACCAACTGCAAAGTGAACATATTGCGCGGGCGTGCCATGATTTCTTTGAGCATGAAGTGCTTGAAGCCACCCTTCTCGATCTGCTCAAGCCTAAGCACAAAGTTTTAGCACCATCTGTCCACAAAAGAATGTCTCTGAAAGTGTCTACACCTTAGGTCCGCACGACAATTCAAGCCTGACAATGGGATTTTCGACCTCAACATATCGTTCACGCATCCCCATTCAGTTTCAGCTTCAAAGTGCCACAATCTGCAGGTTGCGGTCGACTCAGGCTGCCACATCATCAGGTCTGGGACTGATCCTGTTCTTCCCCAATTTGGACACCACTTTCTGGATGTCATGCACCTGTCAGATGCCAAGATGACTTCAAGATGAGCAATCCTCAAAGCCCTTATCTTGTTGGTTAATACGGGTTCCCAGTTCCCATATTGGCTTAATTCTGTGGTAAATTCAAAAGTCATCAAAAATTGGCTTGAAATGATGCTAGCTATATATATATATATATATACATTATTAAGGTTTGGCTGAGAGGTAGTAGGAAACCCCTCGTCTGTGCGATCCAAACCTTAGTGGGCGCACGGTTTGACCTGCCCACGGGCCATTTGCGGCCTTTGGTGCACTGCGCTTTGCGATTTGAGACTGAACTGGTTCCACCCTGGTCTCCTTTTTGCAAGTGCTCTGCCAGAGTGGTCAACTGGCATCACCATTTGCGCCTGACCAAGCGCTCTACCAGGACAAGATCGGGCTCTGTTTCCTGTGGGCATTGCGGTTGACATCGTCCTGCACTTTCACATCAACATCCTGATCATTTCTGAGTATTACATGGTTTTCCGGATTGTCCTCTCCATTGCGATCTTATTGGACTTTCAGAATTACCCCAACACAGAGAAGGCGGCATCGCCGTCACAGGGCATCAGCCCGTTTCCAGTGGCATTTACTAAGCACTGGGCGGCAGTGGCTAACGCGGCATCAGCTGCGAACTATCCACCATCGTCTACAGAAGCATCATTCCAGAGATCTTGGGCATCTTCGCAGACTGAGGGAAGCAATGGCGGAAGCCAGCAAGACCCCTTGGAGGTGCGTGTGGTGCAAGCGTCTCAACAAGAATCAGGCGACACAGTGCGGTTCATGTCACACAGGATGGGAACATTGTGTGGACATATCCTATGTGCACGGGGTCAAATCAGACAGAAGTCCCAGAAGAAGAAAGCAGTGGGAAGACCCACAGTGGAGCACAGCTTCATATCAGAACAAGCCAACAAGAAAAGCCACGCAATCGCCTCGACCCAGAGGGAAAACACCGAAGGGCAAGAAAGGCAAGGCACAGAATTATGGTGCGCCAGCATTGGAACCACCATGGCAAGGTTCGGAGACTGCGCCAGTACAGCAGCAGCCCACCTCAGCCGGATCGGACAATGCGGAGCAGTACCTGACGGAGCTAGTGGCAGCCTTAGAAACGTCGGATCAGCCTATCACTGCGGATGTGCAGAAGGTCATCGACAAGACGAAGCAGCCGCCGGCAACGGCCAAGTCTGTCACTCAGGCCTTCCAGAAGTTGGAGAAGAAGCGCAAGCAGCTTCTGAGTGCGCAACAGGCAAGGCACAATCTACACCAATCGTGGAATGCCTACTTGGAGGAGTCTATCAAGCGATGGAAGCAGTTTGCAGAGGATTTCGCCAAGAAGGACCAGGAATTGGAGAAGCGAGTGTCGGAAGCCAAAGACGCGATGCAGGAGGCAAAAGACAAACACGACGAAGCCAAGGCAGCACTGGACAAACAGGATGCAGCTTTCTTGAAGGATCAAGAAGAGGCACCAGAGGAGATCTCCGACGACAACATGGACGATCCCGCACCAGAGCGGTTGGCGACGGCAGCAGAGATCCAAGAAGGAATCAGTTCTATGCTTCAGACGTTAGAGACCGGCCGGGTACGTCCCACCGAGATCGACGAGGAGCGCAACTCCAAAAAAGCTCGTGTGGATGGAAACGAGCACTCCTTTGGATCTGCAGCCGTGAAGCCTTTTGGCAAGCCCGACAAATAGACCCATATGAGGAGGTTTGTCAAGGGCGACAGCTGGAGCAGCACCCACTCATTTTGCAGTGGACGCACTCCATCTTGGAAGAGGAGAACTTTATGAATGAATTGAAGGCCTCGATCACGGCCCTCGACTTGCAGTATGAGGTCGATCCCATGTGCGGCACACAAGGTGACAGACCAACATCATGCAAGGCCAGCAATGCCTGTGACAAGCTGAATAGACATCCATCTTTTGCGCAGACAGTGGAGCTCTATGTGGGTTTGGAGCACGAGCTGATCTACCAGAAATGGCCCTGTCGCACAGGTCAAGCTGTCCTATTGTCTCCAGTTTTTCAACCACATCATTTGATTAGCACTGACGAGGTTTCATGGATGGCGGCGCCAGTGAGACGCGAAGATCGACTCCAACCTGCCCTTCATAGAGACCAAGACAGGCTCATCGACAATGATGACATAGCGATAAATCCCCATGATCAAATTGCACCAGAACATGCAGATGAGGTACAGATTTTTCCAGAGGAAGACAGTTCCATGTCATCGGAGGCAGAAGATGCAGCACAGGTATCTGATTGGCACACCACGGTGCTTTTTGCCTTAGATTTCATTGAAGTGCCACTTCGATTGGACTGGAATGACTATGAAGGTTTTCATGAGAAGGTTGCAAGGAGATTGGGGATTCCAAGTGACAACCTATATGACACACATCATGTACGACATCAGCCTGAAGATCTTTCACGAGCAAATACTGAAGCCATCATTGCGCATCGACATGGAGATCTTGCGCCAGGATCAGCTCTCAGATTCACGCTCATTGACGTGGAATTTCATCATGCCAGCCCCACATCTCAACCAGAGGTTGTGAGGAAAGTGTACAAACTGCCACCGCACATCGGCAGGGTCACATTGCTGCATTCTCTTGGTTTGGGACATTACTGCAGAGAAGTAGGGCATCAATGTATTGTATGGCACAACCATGACATGCTCAGTCTAAGCAGTGCTGCTCTCATTGAACTCCACGATGGCGACTTCCTGCGCATCGCGGTCCCTCCAACTGCGGAAGAACCCTGCACTTTGAGTACGAGAAATGTGGCAACAGCTCTCCACCAAGGCATTAGCGTTGAGGATCTGCGTCAACAGCATGCACTTTTTCAACTCGGATGGAGAGACACAGTTTTGAGCTTACCCATGGTGCCCATTGTCCCAGACTTTGAAATCCACGATGAGCAGTTTCTATTGCAGACATCACTTGTGCCGGCACTTGAGGCACGATGTAGAGATCATAGGGCATGTTCTCCTCTAAGAGGTCCCTCCATCTCTGCTCAATTTGTGTGTGCCAGTTCCAAAAATCTTGACGTAGATGAATTTCACGATGCCTTTCACATTTCATGACCTGGGGATAGCTGAGGAACCATGTGTAAATGACCATGACATTCTCCTCATTGGCATTCCTGGCAGCACCTTGCAGTCTCCAGTGTCTATGAAGTTGCCGAATAGTCTCATGCTGTTGCTCAACCAATCTTTCACGATCCTGTTGTGGTGGGATTACCCCACTCGAAAGTTCCAGCATCGGTGGTTCACAGAACTGGTTGGACTTGCATTGCATCATGAACTCTTCTACAGAAAGATCAAGGAAAGCCGGTCCTGCAGCCCACTCCAATTGGCAGAACCTTCACGGAAGATGGACCAAAACATGTCATACTGCTCCAAAGGTCAGCAGTTGAGCACAGTGCAACAGTCCTGACCATCCTGAACAATCTGCCATCTACAGGAAGTACGCTGGAGCAAGTGGCAATTTTTGCACCAGCAGAGGCGAGTAGAAGGGAACTCATTCGGCACTTCAACTTGCATGAGCTATGCGGCGAGCACCAAATGGACGTCCAATGCCTGTTTTGGCATGGAGATTTTGAATATGGTGATGATCAACGAAGACCCTTAAGGCATGGCTTTTCCATCCTGCTCATCCTCAACAACAGGCGACCAACGGTCGATAACCTATGGAATGCAGCAGAAGAAGAAGAAGAGCTCACCCTTATGCAGGGATCCACGCTGAATCCAAACGCGCCAGCCTTCCAACCACACAACTACCCCACCAGCTGCCTGTCGGAAGATTTCCGCGACATCTATGAAGCGTGGAATTCAAGAGCTGTCAGCTGGGAGGGAGAAGCACGTTCTACAAGTTTTGACACATGGATGGTCGATCATAGAAGGCAACAGCTCCACTGTGAACGACCCAGAAGAGTCAGACTGTACGACCAAATTGAGAGGTGGGAAGAGGCCATCAAACGAGCGTGGACGGATCAGCTTCACGAAGATGCACCATATGAGATCCATCTTGTACAACCCTACCCACCAGACATGGACCAGAATATTGCAGGCCACATCATCATGATTCAGAACCCGCATGAAGTCTTAGTCACCAACCTCACCACGGTCTACGACTATGATTTGGGCATTGGAAGGCCGACTCTCCAGGTAGCGGGAACCACACATGAACACATCAGAATGAACCATATTGTTGAAGGCATTGGCAGAGCACAACAATGCTTGTCATCGGAGCCTACTCAACATTGTGAGGTATGGTATGCAAATCAAATCATGACAGGGACAACACCAATACCAGGCAGAAGTGGCACGAGCATTCTGGTTCATCTAAGGGCTCAACAACCAAGGGGACCGGTCCTCATACAATTGGCGGTCAGCCTGACAAATACACGCGAGCGCCTAACACAGGGGCAGGTGGCTCACACCCCTGGGCCGCGTGGTCAGGACGAAAACCAATCCCCTTCAGCACACCATTTGGAATCAGGAGATGAACAAACCTTTGCGACAGAAATCATTGCGCTGGATGGCACCATGCAGCTACCCAGCTATCTGGAAGTCTCCCAACCACCTGACACCAGAGTTGTCCAAGAGGAGCTGAGGAAGTGGGGACATCGAGTTCAAGCATGGGACTGCCACCCGCATAACAAATTCTTGTGCATCCCAGAGCAAAAAGTAGAAGATGCTGAAGTAGGATGCATTGGTCACCAGTATCTCTTCTGTCACAAAGACACGGCAGATGCAAAAGGCTGCTTTGTCCACAGTGACGAATCGAACCTTCCAGATGAAAAACTGATGGGGCTTCTATGCAGCCTGGGGTATGAGAGAGCGGTGATCATTGACAGAACAAGCCTGCACCATGGCTGGGAAAAAATCCTATTTTCTCATCAAGAACCACTGCTTGAAACAAGGGTCCGTGACCCGAAGCCTCGAAGCCCATGGCCCCCTTTCCAGACTCCGGAGGTGAATCCAATGGAACCTCTGATTGATCTGAGTCAAGTGGAGGCACTACAGAGTGAATGCGCGCTGATCACGGACTTTCAGGTGAGTGATCTACACCACTTCTTTGAGTCTGCGCAAGATTGTCTTTGCCATCACTTTGAGCTAGATGAATTGCCAGAGTATGTGCGGGAGGCTTTGAAGGTCGAGCAGAAGCCCAACATGGACCTCACGACCTATGATCGTCTGCTGATCTACACTGATGGGTCCTCACGTCCTGAAGGACGCCGCATGCCACCGTTGCAAGCAGACGAACTGGGCCTGCAGGACACATGGGCTTTCCTTGTACTGGGCGAGCGCATTGATGCTGTGAATGCAACCTCCAGAGTTTTTCCATTAGGATGGACGGCGCAGTCAGTGTCCTATCAGGCAGAAGGCACTGCCTTCACGGGGGCGTCACGCATTGGTTCAGATCAAGCAGAGCGCGCAGCGATCACCTTTGCCGGCTTGTGGCGTTTGGCACAAAACGTCAAAGTGCAGACAGTGATTTGCACTGATTCAACCACCGCAGGTGGACAAGCATTTGGAACCCTTGGAGTTGCTGATGCTGATCCATCATACAGATTGATGCGAGGTGTGTACCAAGCTTTGCAGATGGCGTTGACAGACAAGGGCTTGCAACTCCACCACACAAGATCTCATGCGGGCGATCCGTATAACGAGTTCGTTGACCAGGCAGCAAAGCTGGAAGCTGGCCGCTCCTTTCATCATCGAAGACAACGGATTGATCTTCAGAAGTGGAAAAGGCCAATTGAACATTTTTGGATGCTATTTGGTAGAGCAGCAGGTCTACCTGATTGGCAAAATGGAGGCTTTGCAGTACCCGCTCCTGCGTTACCCAATGTTGACAGCACAGACACAAGCCGTGAGCACCAACCTCACAGAGTGCACAAAGAAGTACACCTTGGTATGTGCCTGGCCACTGCAAATGTGCAGTCATTGTACAAAGGACCAGATGGATTTGGAGGCAAACTCCATTTTCTTCAAGCGCAGATGAAGCACTTCAACATCAATTGCATGGCCTTGCAGGAAGCCCGCACGGAGGCTGGCACCAGATGCACCAATGGAATTCTATGCTTTGCATCCGGACATCAACAGGGCCATTTAGGGGTCGAGGTTTGGTTCAATTTGGATCTGCCCATCGGATGGCACAAGAGAGCACGAGGGCATCAGGAGCACAGATTGACCAAAGGCGATTTCTGCATTGTACATCATGATGCACGGAGGCTGCTCATTAGATGTGATCACCCATTGTTGGATTGCTGGTTCTTTGCCGCCCATGCCCCTCAGAGTGGAAGACCATGGACTGAGCGATGCCAATGGTGGCAGGAAACGCAGACCCTACTCCAACAATATTGCGATGAAGCTCCCATGATATGGCTCATCGATGCCAATGCAGCACCAGGCAGCCCAGATGGGACAATTGTGCACAGAGCAGGCTTTCACACATCCAGCAGTACACCTCTCTTTCGGGAAGCTCTTCAAGAAAGAGAACTATGTCTACCAGCCACCACGGCATGCCACATCGGGGACAATGACACCTGGATTGCGCCTGGCGGCAAAACTCAGCACTGCATTGATCACATTGCGGTGCCACAAAAATGGCTTGATCGGTGCACGCTGTCGCAGGTTCTCGATGAATTTGATCTGGCGCAAGGGCATGATGACCACAAGATGGTGGCTCTACAGCTTCAGTGGAGAGCGAGCACTACAGTTCAGATCAAGCGAGCCAATGCAGTCAACACACAGCTCACCGATTTCAAGCATCCAAAGTTGAAACTTGAGCTCAGAGCATATTGCCCACCAGCATGGCATGTGGATGTAGAACAGCAGGCAAACAGCATGATTGAGCACATTCACCAAGCCATCCAGGCGACCCCACAGCAAATTGCCCCGGCAGCCAAAAAGCCGTATGTCACGGCTGAAGTGTGGGAGCTGAGGATTAAGAAGTTGAGGTGCAGACAACAGCTGAAGCACATTAGGCGTCAGCTGGCGCGAGAGATTCTATTTGGCAGCTTTCTGGGATGGAAGAGAAAGGGATCATCTCCACATGCGGATGCAAACTATGCGTACGGTACCATGTTGCGGTGCGCACAGGTGAAACACATGATGGGCTTCTGCAGATTTCGCAGCCAGATGAGACAAGCACTGCGCCAGTCCAAACAGGACTTACTCCAACAGAAGCTCCAGCAGATGGATGACAGATCATCAGCGTCGGACATTCTGCGCACATTGAAGCAGTTCATTGGCCCCACAAATCCCAACAAACAGAGACGTGGAACTTTGCCGATGATCCACAACAAGGAGGGAAAGCCGTGCACGCTGCCCAATGAAGTTTTGGACACGTGGATCGACTTTTTCGGCGACATGGAGGGTGGCGTCAGAATTGCAGAGAAGGAGCTGAGAGAGCAGTGGATCCAGGACATGCAAAGTTTCAGTCAAGAGAGACTCCAACTCCACATGGACGAGATCCCAACATTGACAGACATAGAAATAGCTATGAGAAGAGTGCCCACGAACAAGGCGCGTGGACCGGATGGCATTCCAGGAGAGATCTGCAGATTTCATCCTGAGATCCTGGCACCGGCGTCCTTTGGCCAGATGCTCAAGGCGCTGATCCATGGACATGAGCCACTGGTCTTCAAAGGCGGGATCTTAATCCCAGCCTACAAGGGAAAAGGAGCAACACATGAAGTTAGCGCATTTAGATCGTTGCTGATATCTTCACACCTTGGCAAAGTGGTGCATCGTTGTATCAGGCAACACAAGGCAGATGCATATGAGCACTTTCTACAAGCTCAACAGCTGGGAGGAAGGAGAAAAACGCCAGTGCAACTGGCGCTTCATCAGTCCAGAGCTTTTCTCCGAAGGGCACGAGGGATGCGCCACTCTGTTGGTTTGTTATTCCTCGACTTGACGCAGGCTTTCTATCGCATTCTGCGGGAGATCACTCTCGGCGGCATCCCCACTGATGAGCTTCTGTGCCATGTCTTTCACAAACTGCAACTACCACAGGATGCCATGAGTCGACTCCATGAAATCCTCCAAGAGGGCACCGTTCTTGAAAGAGCAAATTTGAGCTTCACGGCAAGAAACTGCTTCCGTGCGTTACACAGTAACACACACTTCTGGATGAGGGGACAAGCAGATGTGGTGGCTACGAGTTTAGGCACGAGGCCTGGTGACTCATTTGCTGATATCATCTTTGGCTTCACATGGGGGCTGGTTCTACAAAAGCTGCAAAAGTTCTTGGAAGAGCAAAAGCTGATCACCCAGATTCCGAGCCCAACCAGGCCTCCCTTCTTTGTTGTTGAGAAAGAGGTATCGCCACAGAAGCCCTATTTAGGGCCCACTTGGATGGATGACCTGTGCCTATGTCTTCAGCATGAGACGGGAGCAGGCTTGGAGCGAGCCCTCGGCCAGCAATGTGGTATCTCTTGGACTTGTGTGAAAATCACCTCATGTCGCCCAACCTTGGGCGTGGGAAAACGGAGCTCATGTTGTGTTTTCACGGTCCAGGCAGTCGACAACTGCGAGTGAATCACTACGGCCCGAACGCAGCAGGATATTTCACGGTCATCTGCGAGCATCAGACCAAGAAGATCCTGCTTGTGAAATCCTACAGACATTTGGGGGGAAGACTTCATCACACAGGAGATCAAGCCAGTGAAGTTGCCCAGAAGTTAGCAGTGGGACACAATGCTTTTAACCAGCATCGGCGTCTTCTCTATCACAACCAGGATGTCACCGACACCAAAAAGGCAGAACTCTTCACATCTTTGGTGCTGAGCAAAACCATGTATGGGTCAGACAGTTGGATTGCCAATGATAGTCGAACCATGAAGAAGTTTGAGGCGGCGATCCTTCGACTCTACAGAAGATTGAAGCGACTCAGACCGGATGCGGAGATGTCAGACATTGAGGTCCTGCTCACCACTGGATTGCCTTCACCAGTAGTGCTTCTTCGCAGAAACAGGCTTCGATATTTGGCTGTCCTTTTTCGCTGTGGAGTTCCAGATCTATGGCATTTGCTTGGAGAAGATGTGGCGTGGGTCCAGGTGATGGAGGATGACATGATTTGGATGTGGGAACAACTGAAGCGATCGTCCAGTCTGAAAGATCCACGTCAACACATTGAACAATGGTATGACCTGCTCAGCTACCACACTTCCTATTGGAAGAGGCTGGTCAACAGAGCTTGCGCACATGACCACATGCAGATGCAGAAAGAACACATGGTTGTCAAGTTTCATCAATGAGTTTGTGAACGACTACATGAGCATTGTGACCAACATCTTGGAGGAGAAGTATGGGAACACAATGAACAAGGAGAAGATCGATCAGATGAGGTCGTATTTGGGTGTATGCAATGTCAAGAAAGATATCGAACCAAAGCAGGGGAAGCAGCGCATATGTACAAGAGACATGGCCATCAGTCCTTCTACAGATGCCTCTTCGACACTACGCAATGCGCGGCGTGCTTGAAAGAGTACCACTCCTACAGCCGCATGAAAGCGCACCTCTATCATTCAAGCAGATGCCGACAAGTCTTGCTATCGCGTCCGGCAAGATTCCATGGAACCTATGGTGCAGGGTCTTCTCAAGATCAAGTCCTGCTGCATCAGCATGATCGGCTACTGCCACCTCTTCAAGCAGAAGGACCGCAACCACAAGAGCAAGGACACCGAGAATTTCATGACATCGATGATGAGCTGCATATTTTCTTAGTGGACTTTGTTGTGGAGAAGGGTAAACATGCTATCAATGTGGGTAGCTGGCTCGCAGGTTTGCAAACATACTTCGAGTCTCATGCTGCCTCATGGACAAGAACACAGCGGACGTTGCTTTTCTTTGTCCAAAATTTTTCGGAGGAAGACGCGGTGGAATTTGGGATAGCCTTGAAGGATGTCCAGAACATCTTCCAGCAGCTTTGTCAGGCAGATACGTGGAATTTTCTCCGACAGCAGCTGAAAGTGCAGAGACGTGAGCGTACGATCCAACACTACCATCAGGCATGCGGCATGCTGGCCGACCACTTGGAACAGCAGCCACTGCCTCCTATTCAGCGGACCTATGGGCGCCAGCGCATCATCCTACATGCTTTCGCAGGAAGACGAAGGCTGGGGGACATTCAATATTTCCTCGAGCAGCAGTATCCCGCAGAGCAACAGTACATGCTGACTGTGGTATCACTTGATATCGTCATCAACAAGAAGTGGGGAGACGCGATGCGAGAGGAAACGAGGAGCATGTGGATCAGGGCTATCAGGGAAAAGTTCGTGGTTGCCTATGTTGCCGGCCCTCCATGCGAAACCTGGTCACGAGTCCGGGGAGTAGATCAGAAGGAGCAGACGTCGGAGCAGGTCACGGACACCCGCAGTCGACTCCCTCGAGTTCTTCGTGATGAAGCTGATCTGTGGGGGTTCCTGTGCCTGAGTTTGCGCGAGTTGCAGCAGGTCATCACAGGCAATGGGCTCCTATGCTTCTCTTTGGAGGCGCTCCTTGAGATTGCTCTTGCTGGTAGTGTAGGATTGCTGGAACACCCAGCAGAGCCCACGGATCTCCCAGGTGCTGCAGCCATCTGGCGACTTCCGGTTTTAAGGGTTCTGGCTCAATTTCCGGGGGTTTTTCGGCTCCGTTTTGCACAGGGTTTGTTAGGTTCTAAAACCCCAAAACCCACCGAACTCCTTTGTGTGAATCTCCCTTCCATGCTCCATTTTCTCCATTTGTACAGAGTTAGAAAGGAGCTGCCGATAGGACAGGCGGTAGGTCGAGATGCGAGAGGAGACTGGAAGACTACCAGTCTAAAGGAGTACCCTCCGGCTTTTTGCCGCGCCATTGCGGCTGCGATTCGTTCAGTTTTTGATGACTGTGACATCTCTGACGAATCCACGTCAGTGCCCTCAGACTTCATTGAACTTTGCAAGTCCATGCAGGCTACTGAGTATGGAGACTACATAGGACATGATTTTGCAGGGTAAACTGACAGGTACAGATCACAGATGAATTCAGCTGAGACATGCAAAGCCGCTGCGGATGCAACAATGAGCGTCAGCAAAAAAATATACATTATTACATAGTTTTCATCTTGGGTTATACAAGTAAAGTTAAGTAAACCAGAGATCAAAATAATCCCGGGATCAAAATCCAGACCATCAAACTCCCGCCTTGAAGCCGGACCTCCTCACTTCTACAATCTCACCCTCACGCAGGTAGACCACGTCCTCAGTACTACAGTACTGTTGGAAATATGTATATATATAACACAACTATAGATCTACATATAACTATGGATAACTATCTATATAACTATAGATCTATAATGATCTATATACTCTCTATCTATATATAACTTTCGCGAACTCGAAAAACAACTTCCGCGAGGGTTACCAACGCGAGGGTTACCAACGGTCTTCGCAATTGAAACTCTTTACAAGGACCTTTAGATCGATTACCATATATGTAATTTTATGTATGTATACATTGTTAATATCTATAAATTGCATATCTATATTACAGTCAATATCTATAATCTATAGCATTTTCAGAAAACTGATGTTTCTTCAAAAAAATCATGGTGTCGGTGCCCCAGGTGGCCCCAGGTGGCCCCTGCTGGTGGCCCCTGCCTTGGTGTGCTCCACAATGGCAGAGGCATCGCTGGCCAACATGTTCTCTCCATGTCCCACCTTGGAACGACAGATCGCAGATAGAAGTAATGAAGGATGATGTGAAATAGTGGGAATATATATAATATTATAATATATATATATAACATCATATATATATAATATTATAATTATATATATACAACTAATATAGCTATAATGTGCTATGATTGTGCTATAAGACTACAATCTATTTCAATATAATTACATGATATTATATGCTTATATCTTTTGACATGTGGACCAAAAAATATTTAATGATGTGGACCCGAAGAAGCCATGCAAAAGTTGAGTCTTACATGGATGTCTGACTAAGACTACCAGGTGACTATCTCCACTAAGCGTCCCACTCCCAGAATCAAAGGAGATCCTTTTCGAGCTCCAATGATTAGGTCAGGATCGTCCTGCAGATTGGCTTCCAGAAGTTTCAATATGCCCATTGCAACTTCAGAGCTTTTGCCCAGCGCCGGACTTTTTGCTTTCGAGAAGAAGCATCCACATCACTCATAGAAGAACAACGCCTGCAGCTTCAACTGGTGCAGTTTTTGTGAAGCGACCAGCTACCTATCCACTCCTATGCTTCAATGTGAGAGAACTCATCCGCAAACTGTGGCCGTATATGCCATGCACCAGTGACCAGATGTGAATCAAACATAGCGCCACAAACGCGTCACATGTTTTGATCCCGCTGCGGCACAGAATTCGGCTTCCTAGGCTGTGCAGCTGTGGTGAAACAGGTTCCCCACACGGCACTGTGCCGTGATGCGGGGAAGTTGGGGGTGTTTTGATGGGTGTTTGGCATCTATGACAACCAGGCTCAGGCCGGTTTGTTTGAAAATAGGGTACAGACCCCCAAAAATACCAAATACAATTTAGGCTAATCATCATTTTCGCATTAGAATGACCAGATAACCGGGGTAAATTCCCTATTTTCAGACATACCACTGACTTGCCGAACATGCTCACAGCGTCGCCCAACATGTGCAACAAATGCGTGAGACGCTGCAACACTGGATAGCGATGGCATCGGCATTAGCGCAGGTCCACATAGCGCCAGAGGGATTTCTTATCCCACCAGTTCTGTACAGGTATCCTCCCCTCTGTACAAGCTGCATCCAACACAAAGGTTGGGCAAATATGACACTGCATCGACAATCATCAATGCTTCTGCTGCAATCGAATATCATAGTTCCGGACGGCAGACACAATTGTGGACAACTTCTTTTCAACCAAGCAAATCTCTTGTTGCAGTTCCACACAACGAGGCCTTGCCTTGAACTTGATGGTCTTTGTGTACGAGATGTGGTACAGCTTTGCCATGGCATGCAATGCTGCCATTTCTGCAGTGCTGTCCCCAAGAGCCACCAAGTTCGCAATGGTCTGAGAGTTCTCCTTCACTTGACAGAAGGCCTCAACCTTCCATTGTGTTGGATCATCTGGAAAACGTTCCTCAAACTTCGCTCGTGCGCTGATGATTTCCACATCACTCAAGTGCTTCGCAAGCGTTGGCAAGTGCCTGCCACAGCTGTGCTCCACCCAGCCTTCAATCGCATTGGTGATGATGATCACAGTCCCTAAGGTTTTCGCCAATTCCAACAACTTCAAAGCCTCTTTTTCTAATGCCAAAAGTTCTTGGTTGCTGGGCGGCTTTCCGCTTTGCAACGCTGAGGTACACAAAAGCGTGTCATCCCAATCAAAAATGATCAGAGTACAGTGTTGCCGAGGTCTCTCCTCCCTTGGCTTGTAGACAGTATCTGCTGCCGGTGGTGGCATGCCATTTGCGATGCCAAGCTTAAACAAGTACTTCCTGTTGGATGGTTGTGGTTTCTCAAAGTCCTCCTCTGGGGTAGCTTCGCCTTCTGACCCACGAGGGGTCCCTTCCTCAGCAACTTCAAAACGAGGAGTCGAATCTGAAGTCGGTAAGCTGGGGTCTAGTCCTTCATCTGTCGAATCAGCTGTGTCAGCTGATGGTGACATGGGACAGAACACCGCAATGAACGAAAGATACAGCCGTGCTGCCAAAAAGGTTCCCGAAATCTGCTGTGTTTTTTGAGCACGGACTGCAGAGTAATTCACAGCTGCATTTTCAGGGGGAGAACTTGTAGAAAATGGAGCTTTGAATCATGGTACATGTCTATATGTTTCATATAAGTCTGAATCTATATGTGTACATTCATATGCTGTGGAAACATCATTTGGGCCCCGAATTTGATCCAAAGCGAAACTTCCCTACCTTTGCGCATCCACAACTCGGGCCTCCTTCATGGGGTTGTTTCTTTGTTTCCTCGGGTACTCAGGGATACTCCCATCAAGGGCATCCAAACATGTTCATCAACTGCTCAAGTATCAGGTTGTGTTCAAACACCGGGAACATCCTGAGCACTGGGCAATTTGTTTCGCAACAGCAGCATCATGCTGCGGCAAAGATTACACGGCTGAAATTCCCAGCCAAGCATGGCAGCATGGGGGTGTATTTGTGGCCTTGCGGGGGTGCTTGTCAGCTGGTCGTTTTGATGGTGCACACCAAGTTGCCTTGAAAGGCTCGCCACTGAACATGTGATTGATCGTCTGCTGGTGAGTGTTCATAGCAGCCAGGTGTTTCTACTGATTGCTTGAGGCGGTCCAAATCCATCGGTAACATATTCAAGGCACTTCAACCACCACAAAAATGGTGATTGCACTCAAACTACACGATGGACAACAATGGGCCATATGAATTCCATAATCTGCATGCAACTAGGTATATAACGGTATATATATATACAGTACATAGTTTCAGCCCATACATGCTTGATTGATGGTTTAAACCCACGCAGAAATAAGCTTGCAAAGTTGATTGGGATCAGCATCCGTTCTTTGGCTTGAATCTTATGTCTAAAAGCACTGAAACCATCAGCCAAAGGGTCATTCTAAACATCATGCAAAACCTTCACACGTGATTCACCAACGGGCTTTCTCCTCAAGTCCAACATCATTTATCTTCTTTATCATCATCATTCCTTTAAAACGGTTTAGAAAGATCATACTTTCCTACATTATCCCAACATATCCCAACCATGACATAAAATGGCCATAGCTTGCATGTAAATCCCTAAATTGGTTACTGGCTCATGGCACCCTGCTACCCTTCTGCTCAAAACAAATCAGCTTGCGGATGTTCTATGATGTTCATCCACCAAAAATCTGGTGTTCCAAAGGTAACTTACCCTCTGGTAATTTAACATAGCTATTGAAAATGGCCCATAGAAATAGTTGATTTACCTATTAAAGATGGTGATTTTCCATAGTTTTACATTAGTTTTCTAGAGGGTCAGATCCATCTCTTGTCCTGGAAGATGAAGGCCACGCCATAGGCCCCTTCGCAGAGTCGCAAAGCTGTGGCCACCACCTGGTCCGAAGTGTTCCCTCCCAGTGGGTCATTTGAGTGTCAGCATGTGACACTAGTGACATCTAGTGACTATGTATAGTTGGCTATGACATGTTATAAATTCCCATTGATATCATGGCAATTTTATAGTTGGGATTTATCATGATATCCTGGTGAATATCCCTCTATTCCCTGGAAGATAACAGTAAATCTCCATGAAAATCCCATGAAACCATGTTGTATGATCGATACCCGGCCGGTACGGCCAACTGCTGCCTCCAGCCAACTGGCACCATCCATCTGCATTTTCAAGTCCTGAAAAGCGCACTGAAAATAGTCCTCATACCCTCTGGTAATTTAACATAGCTATTGAAAATGGCCATTTATAGCGAATTTTCCCATTAAACATGGTGATGTTCCATAGTTATGTTAGTTTACCAGAGGGCAACTGGCATGTGCCTGTGCACACATTCAACTCATGTCAATTTCATGAATCTGAGACTTGGCCTATCCTGAACCAAGTGCGCCAAGAGTTCAGTGTCAGTCTGGCTGAGGAACTGGTAGCCTTTGCTTGACAGCCTCATGCTGAAGCGCAGGAACTGGCTGGAAGATAATCCCAGAAGTGGTGAATGTGGTGCTTGTCATCCGCCACTAGGATTCAGACTGCTCCTTGAGTGCCCTATGATTCTCAATAACACCGTTGTGCACCACCGCAATGCCTCAAAGATTCAGCCGTGGGAGGTCATCCCTGTTGAAATCAATTGGGGTTGCACCAAATTTGGACCATTCCATCCCATGGTTTACAGTACATATCATCATTTCCCCTTTCAGCCATCAAAAATTGGTGGCAAGACAAATTCCATTGACTCCAGTGAGGAATCAAACATTATTGATACTTAGCAGCTTGGCTCCCCCTTTTTGCTGGTGGACTCGCTATTTTTGCTGCTTAAACCGCCAGTTTTCTGGGTATTTGTAGATCATTTTCCTAGGGAAACCATGGCTTTTAACCACATCTTAAGGCATCCACTGGACTGCGAGGTGGCATGAGGATGCGCATTGATGTCAGACGGCTTTCCATGGGTTGCCCATCTCGTGTGCCTCCATGGCAGGAAAATGGCTGCATATGGCTGCTACTGCTGCCTGAAAATCTAGGAAAAAAAACATAAAATGATGGCTATTTAGTGGTTTGTGATCAACTTAAATTAATGTCACCCAATCTCATGGCTGTAATTGGGCACCCAAATATCAATTCCTGATGAAAAACAACCTCTAGGAATGGAATAGGGAGTTGTCCACTGACAGGCTAGATTGCCACAGGGTGATCTTTCTGCTTCGCAACATTTACAGGACATTGAAGCCGACGACCCTCCAGTTTCGTGTCAACACTACATAATGAATGAATAGCTTGTCAATAACTATAATTAATCATACTTAGTGAAAGCATATGGAGGTTTCTGGAAATGGTGGTACCCCCAAATCATCCATTTTTGTCGGGGTTTTCAATGAAATAAACCATCCAGCTATTGGGGGTACCCCCATGACTTAGGAAACCCCCAGATAATCGACAGTAATCATCATTAATAAACATTAATCAACATTAGTCAACATTCATCAACATTCATCAACACTGAGTCACTGAGTCTCTGAGTCGCTGGCGCAATTCCCAGAGTGCCTTTCACCGTGTCAGATGCTTTGGACACGTCCTCCTCTAAATTGGCAACCTGCAACCGCTGATCCCCAAGATGGACCCATTCTGGGGATTTCTGGGGGTTTTAAGCGGAAGATCATGAACCATGGAATTCTGTTCGGTAACACCCAATGGTCAGAGAAATGATGAGAAATGAAAATGTTTGGAGTCAATTCAGATGATTCAGATCTTCCCGAATCTTCCCCTCAGCACCTTGCCAACCTTCTTTCGCACTTTCAACGGCACTCCATGGATGCCAATGCCAGCTGAGTCATATCCCCGATACCTCTAGGGCTTCGACGCAGCAGATCATGGTTCTCAGGATTTCCAACCCAACTATAGCCTATGGAATAGTGATAGATGTCCGTTTTGGAAAAAAAGAAAAACACTATATCCATGGGCCCATGGGAGATCATGGGAGCATGATGGAGTATGTTGTTCTAAACATCAGAAATGGCTCAACAATGCTCAACAGTGGCGTGTCGCTTTGGACCGACTGGCATGGACAGGCCATACAGGGCAGCTAAGATCTCGACTCCAGGCGCTTGAGGGCAGTGATCAGCAAAGCGGCTGCCTCCTTGTCACCAATGTACGCAAAAATTCCACACATCGGCACCTGTGCAGCGCTGGGAAAGGGGTTGGAAAGCCCTAACTCGGGCTGTCCCCCAAAAAAGTGGAGAAGACTCCAATTTCCAGATGGCCTACCTAGATTTTATGTGGAGATAACCATTGCCTGGTATCCTACTGTTCAGCCCAAAGTAGCTGCTGGTAGGTTTAGATGGTTCTTCATCTCCCTCGAATAAGTGGGAAAATCTTGGAATACATGATATAAATCGGATTGAACTCATTAAAGTGGAAAATCTTCGAATTGAATTGCGGTGAGGATCCAGATTTGACCCAAACCCAAGCCCATTGCTGCGCAGTTCGGTGTACCTCAAGGAGCACATGGTATCCTCCGCCCAAGTGGCGATGTCAACTTGAGCCAGAACAAGTGGGCCAACGTGGCATTGCCAGGAGGAAAACCGACGAAATTTAGGGAAGTCGGGTGATGTCCATGATTTATCATGTTAACATTTTTACATATATATATATATGTGAATTATATGATTCCATGTGCATATGTATATAATTATATATATAATTATATATATATATATGTATATATATATATGTATATAATTGTGTTATATATATATATGTATACAATTATATATATATATGTATATAATTATATATATATATTGTATATAATTATATATATATGGTTGTAGATCAAAACCCTGGTACATCCTGGTACCCTCAGTGAACATCGACATAGCTGAAATATGCATGTTCATTCCCCCCAAAGTCCGGCAATTCAAAGATCTATGTCCCCTCCTTGCAGAGGTTACATCCCAACTTATGGGGTCATCAACCAGTCTGTATCAACAAGTATCAACTATATATATATTATATAATATATATATATATAAGATATATATATATAATATAATGCATATAATTATATATATATAATACATATATATATATATTCGATGGCTGTAACTCAGTTCTATCCCAAAAAAAAGAACTATGTTCCAATGGTATCTCCATGTTTATGCATCTTTGTTGGTTAAACCAGCCATTTTCTGTGGCACATCTCGATTTTCAACGCGCCTTCTGGCCCATGCGTGGGAAATGGGCTGCTTCCAGGCCAGCTGCTGTTGTTTTCCATGGCGAGCGTTCCAAGGGGCAAAAGTAAGATAGATGGGTCGCCTGGCCACTGGTGTGTAAATGATGTGTATGTATATATATATATATATGGTATACATATATTACATTCTGATGTATCATGTAGATCGTACCCAGGAATATGTTTTCTGATGATCAGTCTTGACATTTGGAATGATACATCTATTTCAAAAATATGTTCGTTTGGGTATATTATATGATCTAATATGATCTATTTATTGATAATCTAAATATGATATTATAATAGTTTAATGGTATTTGATATGATATTACAATACCATTTAACATTGATAATAGGATATTATATTGGTATATATTGGTATATCATTAATTATCCTATTATTGATCATTGATCCCAATATGATATTATATGGTATTTGGGATCTATCATGATATATAGATTATCTTATTTGATATACCATATTTATTAGATAATCTATTATTAATATTATTGATAGTCTAAATATGATATGATATTATAATCCTGGGACAACAACACTGGGTTCAAAGTCTTGATCTGCAAGCTGAGGACTTCAAACCCGGCCTTGTCCTGATCGACAAATGGAATTCTTTCTTGGAGGTTTAACTGGGAAAAAACATATTCCACATTTTCACATGTTAAGAAACTACATAAGAATGGATAAGATGTTAAGAAACTGTATAAGAATGTTTAAGAATGGATAAGATGGTTTATAAGATGGTTGTCACGGACTTGTTTTAAACTGGGATGCACATCCAAGTAGTAAAATGCACCAAGTACCAGCAACAGATCGCATGAAAAGGGCTCCAGACTTTTCACTTCACCGGGTGGTCCCTGATCGACGTGAAACATCCACTGGGCTACGGGCTTACCACTTTAGCGGATGCCCTCTCTAGCCGTTTTGCCAGTTTCATTAGCGATGGTATCGTCTGCACCCTGGCCGCGCCCAAGGCACCCAGGGTTGAGTCCAAAATGTCATGTTCCAAAAAATAGGAGTTCGTTGTTGTTTGCAGTCACCGTTTCAATCTATTCCCTCTTTGATACAAAAATAGCCTCAGTCCAGAGATGTCGCAAACTTCGTGGCTTGTTGCGATTGAAAATAGCCTGTTCTGAGTTCAGGGGAAGACCTTATCTTGCTTCAACAGCACTGAGTATGTCAACCATCGTGACCAACCATCAACGTCAAAGAATGGGATCATTACTTTCCACCAAAAAAAATGGCATGGCACCCATAAACTATAAAATTGAGTACTATAACATGTTATAACCGTCAAAAAATGTACTTTCGTTCCATTATGTTTAATTTCTAACTCCGAAGAAACATGGTATGGTAATTAATATAGTGACTAAACTAGACTATGAAAGCAAGCAACCAAAAGCGTCACCGCCAGCAGGGCTTCTCAACTATGGTCGCCTTGGAGATGAAGTACTCCGCGATGTCTGGGTAGCCATAGGCAAAGAGGAAATGAATTCCAGTGTTGCCTCAACTCCGCAATGCGAATCATTGGACTTCAATTGATGATTCATAGGCTGCTATATGGGGGGGTCCTATGTCAATAGCTGGATGGCTTATAATGGAAAGTCCTATTAAAATTGATGATGTGGGGTACCCCCATTTCAGGAAACCTCCATATTCATACCAAGTAAGACGAATATGAATAATTAATTGATATTAATTGTATAGCAAATGCATACAAATGCTTCAAGAAACTTCAGCAGCATCATGTACTTCTTACCAGACATATCAGGCATAACGCGACAATTTTAAGGGCCGGACCTTTCAGGTTCTGCGCGTCCATGTCTCCACCGTATTTGATGGCCTTAAGAGATCAAGTGAAAGCAGCAGTGATCTGACCATTCTTCGAGCACTTTCAACTGACCCATCGGCCCATCATCTGAGTCGTCCACCAGCTTTGCAATCCTTTTGTTCCCATTTTGACACGCAATGTGAAAGAGCGAGTTTCCTTGGCTGTCAGAGGCATCATCAGAGACTCTCTCCATGTCTCGCAGTCACAGCTCCTTTTTTTGCAAAGTCTCCAAAGGAATCGGTGTAGTCCGGATTGAAGCCAGCCTCCAAAGCCGCCTCCACTTCCTTGTGCCTGACAGAGTTGCACCATTTTGCACCGATTCCAATCATGTAATCTCCTGGAGATATGCTGGCAATTCCAACATGTACCAATTGGTTCTTCAGCAAGCCTGGAACCCTGATGTTCATATCTGAGGTGGTCTTCATGGATCCTTCTCGCCATGCCAATGCTATCAGAAAAACAAATTATCAGTCCCCTTTATGAGCAACGGACATTAAATTTAGGTTACTGCAACAGCCTGGGATGGACTCTACCTCGCTTTCCATTCCCTGACCTCGTTTTGATCACTGACATGGTTTTTTTTTAAACGCCGCCGCTGGTTTTCATCTTTTCTAAGTCTTAAATTTGACTCACCTTGTTTTGCACCCAATTCTGGGGTGAAGACGCCAATTCTGGGGTGAAGACGAAAAGTAGTTCCACCCAAAGGTGTGTTTTCCTGCTGTTTAGCACAATGAAACGCCGTTGCTCACGGCCCCACCTCCCATGCCGCGCAGCACTGTACACCTCCGATGACAGGCTCAGGTCCGCAGACGTCAAGAAAATGGCTTTGGTAGTGTTGGGTGAGGTTGGATCCCCAGCATAGATAGATAGAGATAGAGATAGAGATGGAGATGGAGATGGAGATAGAGATGGATAGGAAAGGATAGGAAAGGATAGGATAGGACAGGATAGGATAGGATATATCGATAGATACATAGAGAGAGAGAGAGAGATAGAGAGATAAATAGAGAGAGAAAGAGAGCATATTCATAAACTAATGTTACTAATATGTAATTTGATGTATTTGATGTTGTCATAAGTCCAAGCCCATTATGACTACATAGGATCTACAGTACTGTACGGTTGGCAACACAAAGCTGGGAAGCAAAACCCAGCATGATGCCCTGCCTGACGTGGATCCAGCGAAACTTCTTCCTGACGTGGATCCTCTTCTGGAAGACCTGCAAACATCTGCCCATCTTCAGATCCCGCCTTTTGTCTCACAGACTCCAATATGGATATGGCTCCTTGAAATTGGATCAGTCCAGGGACCCACAAATTGTGTAATGATGTGTAATGTGTAATAGCTTGATGCAGTTTAACCATCCCAAATAGGGAACCCCAGTTTTGAGCCATACTCATGGCTTCAATTCGTTTCATACTCCAGATGTCCCCAAATCGGGAAATCCTGAGCTGGCCATTTTTGCTGTGGAAATCGATGGATTTAGGGATCCCAATTTCAACTCGGCCGTGTGTGAACCCGCCTGCTGGCACTGGTGGAGGGGGAGGTGGCTTTGGCGGTGCTTGTACAAACCTGCAGCCCGAATCCAGGCAATGTAGTAAATCTGAGGAGGTCTATAGCCTATGCATCAGGCTCTCTTCATGCAACTGCAAATCGACCTCTTCCCCAACCAGAGCCCAAGTCTGCGACGCATCAAACGCAGCCGCCATGACCGCCTTCTGTTTGCGGCCAAAGGCCTGCGATGAAAAACTGCTGCAGAATTGTCAGGACACAGCGCAGAGTGCCATGCCATGCCTCGCGCTTGTCCAGGGGCTGACTGAAGGTCAAACCTGCCGATCTCGCTGCTGACAATGTCATCTTGGTTTTTTGCCAATGACAACTGTTGAGTAGCGCACCCTCGTAGTTGCTCAGCTCAGCAATTCGAGCTGAACCAACCTCAGCTGCCGTTGTTGTTCTCATCCAGCGATTTACTGCCTGCAACTTCGGGGGTGTAGTTCCAGCCTGTGATTGAGTATATAACCATACTTATATAATATCCCAACACATCCCAACTTAACGGGGTAGTTACCATTATGTGTATGTATGTGTGTGTGTATATATATATACATATCAATATAAATCCAGACATATTACCATGGTATTACCATGGTTATCTCCATTTTTTCACCGCAACTGCACCTCCACTGACGTCGATTCTCAGCTTCTGACGCTTGAGTCGTACAGGGAGCCGAACTCCGAGGAGCGAACGGACGGCTCGGGACTGTAAAAGTTCGAAGTCCTGGGAGCCCCAGCCATCCGGACGGGGAAGATGTGTATGTGTATATATATACACACAGACGCATAATTATGATTAATTATGCATGAATAATTATGCATATATATATACATATATACATATATATACATATATATATATATACAATATAACCATCAAATATGTTTGGAGAAAACACATTTTGAGTGCAAGTCAAACAGAATTTTACAATTCTATTACACTAGGTAAACGAAGAAGACCCCCGTGCCTGGCACTAAGATCCGGAAAAGGTCCAGTGCCAGCACCACAGACGAAAGCCTCCAAGGTCCGGATGTGGCAACTGCGACATGCCATGGGCAGGACTTTGATCTGCAATGATTACCACGCCAACTCTTGAAACAACACCAAGTCCAGAGTTCAATTCAAGAAGTTATGTCATTCTCAGATCTGCTTTGTTTGGAAAACAAATGACCTTCTTATTCGAAAGTCAAAAAGGAACTCAAAATGTTCAGCTGAACTTTTCAGCCTCTGCTGGCGTCGGAGTGTAACGCCCGGAGCCAACACTCCTTGCAGGAAACGACAACCAAAAATTTAGGCAGCCTTGACAGAAACCATAGGTTTCAATACTAAAATGGTCTAATAAGGGATGATTTGGGGGTACCCCCATGGTAGGAAACGTTCAAATACTTTCAAAATCTTTAGACTCTTCTCCTTACTTTGTTGCCACGTTGCTGTCCTGACAACTAGTACTAGTTGATTGGCCATCCCAATAAATCAACACGTTTCCCCATCATTATCCCAGGTTCTCATGGTTAAATCCATTGTTTTGGCCTGGTCAAGTCCCAATGATCCCAGTCTACCCATCCCGCCTTCCAGAGAGGTTACTACGAGAGCTCCTGGCCGATCCAACAGCAGACCCTGGCGCAGCCATGGGGAGAAGCCAAGGGGAAGCTGTTGGGACCCACCAAAAATGCTGGGTTTTTTTTGGCGCGGAAATGTGCTAAGGCAGTGATTTTGGGTGGTCAATACTTCCATACTTCCAGCATGTTGAGTAACAACACTCAACCTGTTGAGAAGGAATGGTTGCAAGCTACAAATGCCCTGAAGTTCCTGAAGAGCAGATCATTGTGCTGTCTGGTATTTCGTGAGTTCAATGGGTCCAGATGTTGCACTGATTCCTGATGGTATTTTTCTGGATGAAGAATACATAAGTCGATTTACATGCATGGCATAGATAAATTTTATTAATAACAATAAATCGGTACAGTATCTGGGATCTGTGATAAACTGTAGTGTCATTTAATATATATATATATATATCCATCCACAAGTAGGTGGAGTCCAAATGGTGGAGACATTCAGAATTCCAGAGGCAGTACCCACTCACGAGTTCTCGCAGACATTGCAAGTATCCGCTAAGCTTCCTGCGGTAGATGTCAAAGTATAAGGATAGAGACTTGCACACTGAAGTGGAGGATTACTAAAATGGAGGTACCCACAAATCATCCAGTTTAATATGATTTTTCATTATATATATATATACATTTATAAACCATCCGTTTGGGGGTACCCCCATGACTCAGGAAACCCCCAGTGTCGAACACTACCGGTGTTCACCTGGTGCAGGTGACAAGGGTGGCGTTGGAGGATTCCGTGGAGTGCTCGCATTGGATCCTGCGCAAGGGCGTAGTTCCACTCATGTCCAGGATTAAACTTTTAATTCCTTTCGGGGACTAAACGATTAAATGATTAATTTGTTGGGTGAGTACTAGTCTTTTGTTTTTTCTTGGAGGGTACCATTGTAAGTTTCGAACCATTGGTATCGCATATTCACTATTTGGGGGACCTCCCTCATTGGTGAACTGGGATTTTGTTAATCCGGATGGACATTACAGTCACCGAACAGGTCCCACAATTGGTTTGAGTCACTCAAATGGGTCTGTTAATCTCCGTGGGGTATACCTCCATGTCTAATGGCCATTGAAAATGTTAAAACATGGCCAGGTGATGATCAACCGCTGGATGCTGCGCGCCTGCCGCAGAACCAGCTCGAGAGTTTCGAGCAGAGCCCTGAGGAGTCAAAGCCTGGCTAGGGATAGTGGAAGGATTCATCCTGACACAGGACATCAATTTCTGCCATATGATTCATTCATAAGCTTCATTCATAATTCATAAGCTTCAATAAGTTCAATATGAACATGTTTCCAGCGAACTTGGGGATTATATATAATTATATATATATATTATATATATATATATCCCAACTTAGATCCCAACAAAAAGGTTGTAAAAAAAACCATGGTCCCACTTTTTGGTTCACCCCGGGCCTGACCCAGTGCCCCAACGGGCCTCTTTCCAGGCAAAAGGATCCCGGATGCTGCCGCTCGCCTGGAAACCATCCACTGATCCATTGGAAAGGCGATGGAACCCGCTGGTAAACAGCCACATGACAATGGACAATCACCATGTTTAATGGTTAAATCAACTATAAATGGCCATGTTCAATTCAATAGACTTAGATATGTTAAATTACCAGAGGGTATGTAATAATTCAATCATGTCATTCGGATTCATGGGATATGAACGGCATTCGATGGAAGATTCTAAGAGGATATTGCTGGGATATTAATTGGATATCAATGATAATCGAGGATTAGTAAACCCCCAGTTTAAGAATAGACCGGGTATCAATCTTACTAGTGATTTATCGCCATTTGGGGGCCCGGGGGCCACCCCTAATTAATTAATAGTCAGGGTTTACTAATCTGAGGTTGACATTACCTCCACATGATTGTTGAGATATCATACCCCCAATCTGTGGGTGATGTTAAACACCACCCCGGCAAGGTTGGTTGACAACACATCGCCAAGCTCCCACGGCTTACGGTGCCTGTGGTAGGGGCGGGCCATACATGGGAATCCAAGACCCTCGCAGTTGCAAAGATGAGCGAAACAAGTAGAAAGGAAAGGCTTTTGCGGCTTCTGTCAATACTTATCGCAATGCAAGAAACAGCCAAAGCTCAAAGCAACTAAGAAAAAACAAGGCCTCTGAAAATGCAGGCGCTTGGAAAGATCAGTTCAGGTGTCCATCCAAGAGAACTTGTGCTTTGGACGTATACACAGTGGCTGCTCTGAGTAGAGCTAGTCTGATTGGTGTGTGGTGCGCAATGTTTTTGTTGATTGCTTGTTCTGGTTGCTTTCTCTTTTAGTTGAGCATGAGCATGACTTAGCAACTTAGCTTTCAGTGCTCTCATTTACAAAGCTGTTCGTCTAGGGCTACCGAAAAATCAGAGCACTCACCTTAAAAAGAAAACTCCTTGAGAACAATGCGAACAGGTATCACTCACGGCCCTGGGCCCCATGCAGTCATATGCAGGACACAAGCTTTTATAAATACTCCTTGCGAGGGTTATGTACCACCTAAATGTGCTTGTCCCAACTCGAACTGGCACAAGTAGCGGCCCATCATTGCAGGTAGTCTGTTTCCGCAGTGAGACATGCTACCCAGCTGCAGTCTACCTTGCTGTGCGGGACACTCCAATTTCTTTCCCCTCGTGCTCGCAACTTCAAGAAATTCCGGGATTTTGTACATGCAAACGGTCAGGACGGTCAGGACAGGACATCTTCCACAACTCACTGGCAGCTTCGCCTCATGACCGAATTGATCACACCTGGCGTTGGGGACCAGATACCGGCCCAACGACTGTGGGACAAAGTCCGCAGGACCAAAGAACTTTTCCAACAGCCGACCTTGTGACCTTGGCCTTCATCATGGCCACATTAGTCCATGCACTTCGACATCCTTCAGCAGAGTTTTTGCTTCTTGGCTGCACGACCTGCCCATGGCACAGCCCAAGTCACTGACATCTCTTCACTGGAGAAGAGTTCTGCACTTTTACACATGCTCACAGTATCTCACCCTGCGGTCATCAATGCAATGGGAAACCCCCATGGGAAACCCCCTATACATGGAGGTTTAAATCGGAAAATCTTCTATGTCCGTGGGCAAATTGTCCGTTGCCAATGAGCAGGACGGGCTTCAAGTCGCCCCCACGATGGCTCCTCTCCACAACTATACCGATCTTCAAGAACAAATCGCGTCAGAGTTTAAAGTCTCCTTGCAAAGACTTCTTTAACAGTAGTCTGTATTTCTGGGGGTTGGTGTGGAGCCACCACAAAAACACTCAGCTCGGATGAAGAATCAATCCCACAAAAGGAAAAGAAAAATCTTCGAAATCACGTATTGCTGAATGCTTTATTGGCTACTTATCTGATATCCTACCCTCATGTCGTCGATGAATATTATCCAGCCAGGTCTTTCTTGCTTGTTCATATTCCGATTCCACTTGTGAGATCCAACTTTGCTGATTGGTTGTATCATTTTATTTGTCCCATTTTGTTGATTAGTTGTATATGGTTGTATCATGTTAAAAAGTCATGCCCTCCTGGATGGCTCAAGAGTCTCGTGCCCTGCAGTTCACGTCCAAAAAAGAACGGAATGGTCGACACTTTGGGATGTGAATAACAACCCATCTGAATCAACAAACCTACACATACAACCTTGTAATTTGATATTCCCATCCATAAATCATCATAAATCATCATAAATCATCACAAAACATCACAAATCATCAAAAATCATCATAAATCATCATAAATCATCATAAATCATCATAAATCATCATAAATCATCATAAATCATCATAAATCATCATAAATCATCATAGATCATCATAAATCATCATAAATCATCATGATTCGGTGTTTTCTAAGTTTTGACCCACATCCATATCTTTGGGTCTTGCCTCGATACTCCGAAGCGCGGCCCTTGCCAGACTTGACACCTGGCAGGGCCCATTGGCCATGGTCAAAACATGGGATGCTCATCATCCAACTTGCAATCGATACATATATCAGACATGTACATCATATAAATGTAATATGTTTGGATACAAATAGATAGTTGTGACTGGCCCAGGAGCAAAAAACACGGATAAACACGGCATATCATAAACTATATACTTATATATATATATATCATCAAAAATCCAAAACAGGACACGCACTTGCCTATCCAACTGCCTGGCGGAAGCGCCTCCATCATGTCCAAGATCTTGAAGAAATCTGGAAAGATCGACGCCGCGATGCGTGATCTCCTCTCGCAGCCTCGCAACGTTGTCGGGTCGTCTGAAATGCCTCATTTCACATGATGTGTATATAATAGTGTATTGTAGATCTATATATAACTATAGCATGTGTGTCTGTGTATATATATATACAAAAAAATGTGCTGTATGTCTATATGACTATAGTATGTACATATGTGTGTATAATTCTGTAAGAGTACATGTATGTGTATAGTGTATATAATGTCTATGTGTGTGTGATGGTGATACATACATTGTTAGATACATACCTGCTGTTGCAGGACTCATCTTTGCTGTCAGCACTACATGCACTGCATCCAATTTCTCAATCCACAGAGGAGAAATTGGTAAATCTGCTGCATGATCTCTTCCTGTCCTTGAGCGTCGCTGAGCAGTCTCCTCATAAATACTTTGCCAATCCTTAGAATCACATAGTCTGCAGTTTGAAGAGCCCTGTCACTGCCGGTAGCTGGCCAGGCAACGCACCAAAAGGATGGATGTGATGAAGATTCAATGCAGTGCCCAATTGATCAAACAGCGAAAGTTCGATATCACAACGGTGATGCCCCTCAAAGCTTCACCCAAAACAACAAGGCACCACCTCGATGCCCAAGGAGCGGCCTGGATCAGCCACCTATTTTCTCACGCGCCACTCATGTGAAAAATCACTAAGGCCAAAGGGTTCCCTCAGGGAATCAGGGCCCAGACGGCCACGGTATCATGAGTGTGACAACATGTTGTTCATGTCATCAGAAGTGATCATGGGCACATGTGAATCATGCGAAACAACAGAAGGCGGAGGTAACACATCATAAAAGTAGCCAGATTCGCATGCCCCATAATCTTTTGCCGAAGCTTGCTGTTTTTCGCGTAGCTTCAACTTCTTTGAACTGACAAAATTGGGATCGTCTATGAGCGTCCAAAACCCGGTGTTTAAGACTTTCATCAAGGCACTATTAGGAACGGACTTAGTCAAAGCATCAGCTAGCTGAGCATTACTATGAACCCACCTGGTAATCGTCTGACCTTTCTTCAGACGTTGGAAAACTGACATCATGTCTAGGGCTGAATATTTTTCTTTCAGTCCAAACCCACTTGTCATGGTCGGACCCTTGCGAATTACGTCGTAGAGAGACTTGGCATCTGTCACTAGGATTCCTTTACACTGCTGAATTAACGAGCCTGGATCACGGTCAGGAATGTCATAGCCACACATTTCAAGCCATTCCAGTCGAATGAACATTAGTTCCTCCTCCGTGATGGAGTAGGCCTGAATTTCAGCACTCAAAGAGCTCCTCGCTATTCTTGGCAACTTTCCGGACTTCCAACTGATTGGATTCAAAGCGCTAGGTTTCCCTTCAAGCATGCATGGATCTGCTGCAGCAATGAAGTAACCTCCCGAACTAGAGAGATCCTTCCTGTTCCCCACTGCCGCATCACACCACGCCACAAAGACAACATCCCGTATATGCTCCACTGAAAGTTTGTGGTACTTCAGGGAAACATGTCGGTTGTTGTAGACTTCTCGGATCAGTTTGTTGGTCTCCCGGAGAGTTGAGATCGTTGGTTTTGAAATCTGACTCTGCAAAGCGCTGAGCCTTGCAGCGTGCTGGGGAGCGCTTTGGTACACGCGCCATTGCAAGCCACCCAGAGCGCCACGCAGCTGTTGCTTCTCTTCAGGAGAGACATCAGAGTTTTCATGGCGATCCTTGAAGACTATTGGTTCGATGGTTGTGCAGTATTCTGAGTGATTCAAAGTGACAGCACCTCCATGGTCCTGGATCACCTGGACCCCACAGTGCATGTAACTGTCTACTTCCCAGTCTGACCATTTATATGCCTGGAAGATTTCATTCATGGCTTTCTGAAACATCGGGTGTTCTGACGCTCCAGCAAATAAGAAATCATCGACGTGGGCAACGGCCAAACCTATCACAACCGGTTCGTCACCGGAACGATCTACCAGTCTCCAGCAACATGGCTCTGTCTGCAAAGCCTCAAAGCCAGCCTGAATCATGGTTTGGTTCACTGAAAAATGCCATTGGGCAGGTGCGTTCACCAGTCCATAGCAAGCCTTCATGATCTGTCCAATGGAAAACTGATCACCGCCCATTGCTTCGCTAAGCTCTATGACCGGTTTGGTATAAACCTGCCGGTCTTTTTCTGTTTCCAACCCTTGAAGAAACGCTGCACGCACATCGCCCTTGAGGGCTGTCCAGCCATTTACAGCACAAGCTGTGAAGAAAAGTCCACGAGTGCGCCTTGTCATAGTTGGTGAGGTAGGTTGTATTTCAGTGATATCCGGATCTTGAAAACCCACTATGACCAATCGCGCTTTGGCCGTGTCATCATGCTTGATGGTGTAAATCCATCTCATTTTCATGATTCTGTGTTTTGGAACTGCTTTTCTCACAAGCCTGATTGCCTCTTGGCTAATCCAGTTGGAGATTTCTTTAGCTTTTGCTTTCTTGAAGTCCTCAATGCGATCCTGTGGAATGTCGGACCACTTCAGTTCGACACCTTTTCGAATCTTCTGAGACACCCAGGTTTCTGAGTCCCTCAAAAACTTCTTCATCTCCTTCTTGGTATCCGGCAGTGGAACCTCCAAGTGATAAACCGGGGCTACAGGTTCACCCTCAGTCACCACATACGTTCTTTCCTGGTGCAGCAGTTCATGCAGAGTGAGGTGCATTTGTGCATCAGGTGCTCGCACTTGTGCTCTCACAAAAGGTTCGTGTTGCTCCAGCTCAGTTTTCTTTCCATGGCTGCGTGGAAGTTTAACTACTGCGGGAGGCTCAACACTGTTGGGTCTCTTACCCTGTTGGGCCATGTCATCACCCCCAAAAGAACCACTGTTAGAACCACTACTACCCCCAAACTCAACCGATTGTTTACTATGTACAGCCGGTGCCTCCGCCGGAAACCCTTTTGTGGGGCGCCGGTCCCCAGATTGCCCTGGCGCTCTTGCCTCAGGGATCTTATCCGGTCGTTGTGAGGTCTTGTTTTGTTCTTTTGACTCTTTCACTTCAGGTGCACGACTCCTACTCCTAGCTTGAGACCTACCGCGAGCTTCCCGCTCTCTGTACTGTGGTTGCTGCTCATCTTCTATTAGATCATCAAAACGTTGATACTGACCCTTTTCCACTAAGTGCAAAAGAGAGGTAAAACTCCATGGCATGGTAATGGCATCAGAATGTTCTGAAATCAATTTCTCTCTCTCAGATGCATGGCGTAACTGATGAGGTGAGCAACGTTTCAGCTTGCCCGCAGCAATGATCCAAACAACGGATCCTGGCTTCTTTGAAGCCGGCTGAGTTTCAGTTCGTGTTTCAGTTGCTAACACTCTGGCCGGACCATACCACCGTGCAAGACCCACCTTTGGTGTGTCTAGCCCTGGATGAGAGAGTGTCTGCGTCATCGGGGCTTTAAAACGCTTATAATACACGGTGTCCCCTGGTAAAAACACTTGGTGAGGTCTGGCTTGTGAATTCATGGCTCGGGATACTTTCATAGCAGCTTGTGTTTTACGGTACTGTTCTTCAGCCCTAACCCTAAGTTGGAGATTCGACCTAAGATCAGTGCCTAAGGTACCCTCAGCTGAATGAATTGGGATTGAATGACCACCCTCAAAGTACCTATTGTCCAGACTTGGTAGCCTACCATAAGCCCATTGACTAGGTGCAAAACCCCCAACCCTATCCAATTCATTGTGAGCCGAAACAACATGAACGACTGCTGAAAAGGGCTCAGCATCAAATCCACGTAGAACGGCACGAATGTCGCTCTTGACCTTGCCGATAGTGGACTCAATGATGCCGATCTGTCCATGGTCCTCGGCTGGGCATGGATCCAAATCAATGCCTCGTGCCAGAGTCCAGTCTTCCAGATATTTGCCGCGAAAGGCACCTTCTGGGTCACAACGAATTCGATTCGGATAACCGTGGTACTGCACCCAAGAACGCTCCAAGCCATTCACCATCTCTTCGGATGTTGCATTCCGATGGTCACCCTGTCTAGTCCGAAACAGCTCATGCGCAACCAGAAATCTGCTCGCTTCGTCGCACATAAAAAGGACATGCAAGGTGATATCACCCACAGGAATCTGTCCCACATCAATTTGAACCGTGTGCCACAACACCTCGGTGGTGTGGAAAGATACAGACTTGTGTGGAGTTGGCAGCTTGATTTCCATACAGTCATCACATTGGTGCCCTAATGCCAACTCTAACATCCGTGGATCCACACCTCGAGCCTTCAACATGTTATGCAACGCTCGGTTTGTGGGATGTCCAGCTCTGACATGCAATTTCCGAATGAGTTCTTTCTTTTCTTTGACTTCCTTCTCACTCCAAGCTGATTCAACATGTTTCTGATCAACTGCAAATGCAAAGTCATGGCGTGGTATGTCATGTGTCTCCTCTGTTTCATGCGTTTCACGTTTGTGGCCACTGACATGACATGCTTCAGAAACATGAGAGGCTAACCGCTTACCTGACCTGCCTGAGTCTTCCAAAATCACTCGTGCAATTCTCCGACACATGGCAACTGGATAAAATGCTGATGACTTCGCCCTACCATGTCCTAGACACTCAGCATGTTGATGTGATCCATCGCATTGTATGTGGAGTGCACTGTGAAGAGCAGGACTAGTGGTTTTGATGGTCCATGGTTTGTTCATGAGCTCCCCCGTGTCTGGCGCCCTAACATCAACCATACACCCATCAAGTTTGGCAATCCACAACATGCCTTCACGCTCCAACGAATCAAAGAACTCTCGAACTTCCTTGAGAAGCCACCCTCGGTTACTTCTAGGCCATTCCCAACCAAGATCACCACCTTGCGCCAACTGTTGCTGACAAAGCTTGACCACATTGGCAGCAAGTTTCCTAGCTTTTCTGACCTTTTGTTTCAACCGTTTGATTTGTTTTTCGTTTCTTTGATTCATGTTTTGAACTACGCTCGTTGGACCACAATCAGGAGAAACCCATAAGTATCTAGGACGAACAATGTTGATGAAGTGTGAAGCCCTTTGAAATCCAGTTTCAGTGAGAAGATCCATGTTGGTTTCAAAGTTGACTCGGAAAGCTTTACCACCCTTTTCGACAACAACTTTAGTCAAATTGCTTTCGGGGGAACAGCAAACTTCAACCAGATCGCACTTGTGTGTGTCAGCGGTGCACGCCATTAGTACCTCTACAAGTTCACTGTGTGCATTGCCCAAACTCTGAGTCAATTTTTCACGAAGCTCATCGGTCACGGCTCCAGTGCAAAAACATTCATCCTCATATGATGAATGCATCAAGGCATCATCACTCAGTTGAGGTGCGTCATGAGGGATCAAGGACTGACTTGGATCCACTCCCTGGTGGTGCCCTCCTGCTCCTGCTGTTCGGCTGGGAGGGTGTGCTCTCGCTTGACAGTTTTCTTGGGTCCGGTCTCCACTGTCATTGGGCCCTCGGTGAGGTCGATCTGGTCTTGTGAGGTCTTTGGAGGTGTCGAAAGAGCAGGCTTCTGAGCTGATTGCTGCGACACCTTCTTGCCTGTGGCTTCCTTGACCTTGATCTTCTCCTTCTGGATTGCCTCCAACTTGCGAAGGGCTGATGCTTCCGCACCATCCAAGCTGATGCTCTTTGTGCGAAGCTCCTCTGCCGTGGCATTCGGAGTTGTCTCCAGCTTGTCTTTGACGTCCGCCATCAAAGGCCCTGGGCTGCGATAGCAACCCTTGGCTGCCCACGTTGGAACATACATGAGCCTCAGAGCACAACGGCTGCACGTCATCCACAGCGCATGGCCATTCGAGCCGCTCAGGCTGCCCCGGGCAAACGGAGCCAGTTGATGACGGCCCATGCACGGCTCTCCGGCCGATCGGCTGTCCCGAAGATCGCACCCCTGACAGCGACTCCAATCGAATCGGGTCAGGTCCAACTTTGACTTCTTGCCTGAGATCTCGGCCACCATCTGTTTGCCAATCTCTTCCAACTTCTGGGTCGTCACCTGGGAGTCCAGAGTCTCGGAGAAGCGCTCCATGTTGAGAAACACGGAATGCAGGCAGGTCAGATGGCGAGCTTGAGTTTAAGGCTGCAGTGTGAAGAGTCTCCTCGCACTCGGCCATGTCCGCATGTGCTCCACTGGAGTCGCTGTGAACTTCAACTACATGAATGTCGTGCATGGGACTCGCCGGTTCCTGCGGCGAAGTTCCTTTTTGGCCAGGGTTCTCAGTCAGAGTCATGTCCAGCGTCATTGCGCTTTCAGTCCGGTCTGGATTAAACCAGTCTTTACATAAGTCAAGTAAAATGTGGCCATTCTCGCCACGAATCAAAGGAATTTCAACACCCGGAAAATGCTTGGTGAAAATGAGAGAAGGCTTCGCGACATCCACTATAGCTCCTAGTTTGGCCAGTGACTTGATACCCAAAAGAATGGGAACACCTGGAACATCGAGAGTATACACACCTAACTGAGTTGAATGACCCTGGATCATCTGTGGCAACAACAGGTAACTCTCAGCGGCTCTCTCTTGTGCATTACCAAACTTAAAACGTTTCTTTTTGTGAATGTCTACCCCAATCCTCTCCTGACCAAAGACTTTGAAGCGGGTCTCCATGATCCTCTCCACTGCTTCAAGGCTTCCCACCGTCTCAGTCGCTCCCGTGTCAATGACTGCAAACTCCAAGCGGTCTTCGCCACTAGAGCCTGAACTCGCAGCAAGCACCAGGCGCTGAAGATCTTGAGGAAGGGGTCGAGAAATGGGAGATTCTGGTCCGTCAGCTTCTTCCACCATGCCAATCATGTAGGAGCGGCTTCCGGAAGATGCTGACTGCTGACCGCGCTTGGGGCAATTTCTATAGTCATGAGTCTTTTCACCACAAATAAAACAGCCGGAGTATCCAGGTTTTGAAACAGGGTTAGAACCAGATCCCTTCCCCTTCCCGGAAAAACCCTGAGCAGCCATGACCATGGAGGGACTACCCTTCTTACCGGACTTCTTGCCCTTACCTTTGGAACTGGTCTTACTACCTTGAAAGTATCCTCGGTTCTTGCCCTTGGAATGAACAGCTTCCCTAGATTCACGAAACGTACGGACCTTCTGATCGAAAGCAACAAAGAGCTCTTGGAGTTCTTTGCCTGCTGCGGGATCCTGTACAGCTACGTCATCTATTTCCAACCATGGCTTCATGTCAGAGAAAGCTATCCAATGCCCATCCCCGTCCATAGTGTGCCATTCGTCTTCATACCAGTGCCATTCAAAGCCGTCACTGTACATGACATGAGCTTCACTGGAGTCATCTGCAATTGGCGAAGTGGGAAAAGCTTCGGGCTCCACCCAGCACACTTGGTCGTCTGGGGGGACCTCGTGCTCGTCCAAGTCTGTCAAGTAGATGCCCCACTGTCCACCTTGTTCGACCCAAAAGGATCGATGCTTGTTTGGTCCTTTCTGTCTTTCCTGGGCCAACAGCTCCTCATCTTGAAGTCGCATGGCTTGCTCCACATCTTTGAAGCGAAGGCTGTTGCCCGCCGCCGCCTGAATGGACAGGCGAGAGGATGCAGGTAATCCTGCGCGACGAAGCAAAAGCCAGCCGATCACCTCCTCTGGAAGGATGGCTGGAAGGTCATTCTCAGTGTCCTCCCAGGGGTGTTCCTGAGAGGCCTCATCGCGACTCTCAAACCACCTTGAAGATGACCATGACTGTGCATCCCAATCATCACGCCACCCATAGCCCCACCAACCATAGCTGTCCCACCAGTCGCCATAGTAGAACGAGCCAGGACTTCCTGGGTCAGCATCGTCCTCATCACAAGGATCTGCAGGTTCTTGGAACTGGTCATCACGACCTTCCACTTGGATTCCTTCCTGCTGCGGCTCCCCGTGAGGCTCGCTTCCACTAAGTCGTCTTCTCGAGGAAGAGGTAGGAGAAGGTGATGAAGCCATTGTGGTCCTCGGCATGGGATCCGTCTGAACGGAAGCATCTTTCTTGGTCGGCATTGTGCGGTGCAAGGCTCTTTGCACCTTTCGGTATGATTCCCTGAGGAGATTCGCCCAGGAAACCATGTCCATGCCTTGAGGTCGTCGGCATCGTAGAAAGAGCTGCTCGAGATGCTGCCCCAAATCAGGGACAGGGAGTCGGCCCAATCTCTGCCGAAGAAAGCTCAGAAGATACTGAGCTCCATTGTCAGTCTCGAGCTGCTGATGGTCAACCGTTGATGCTATCTCCCAAGCCTTGCCCTTCAGCTTCAGCACCAATCGGGGCCCAAGGGTGTAGCGTTTGCTACATTGGGTCTGTGAGTGAGCCAAGCGAACTCCTCGAGTACTCAGCCCATCCAGCAAGCTCACCGTCCCATGATGGAATGACTGTTTCGTCTCTGCTGTACGACATGCCTTCAATGAATCTGCAAAACTAATTCTGGATCTTGACGTCAAAATGACGAGTGAATTCAGTGAACCAGGGTTGCCGTGGAAGTCTAAGTCAAGCTGTCCACCACAATGCAGAGGATCCACGTATCCTCGAGCCGGGTCGGAACCACGGCTCCGCTACCAATGCCGGTAGCTGGCCAGGCAACGCACCAAAAGGATGGATGTGATGAAGATTCAATGCAGTGCCCAATTGATCAAACAGCGAAAGTTCGATATCACAACGGTGATGCCCCTCAAAGCTTCACCCAAAACAACAAGGCACCACCTCGATGCCCAAGGAGCGGCCTGGATCAGCCACCTATTTTCTCACGCGCCACTCATGTGAAAAATCACTAAGGCCAAAGGGTTCCCTCAGGGAATCAGGGCCCAGACGGCCACGGTATCATGAGTGTGACAACATGTTGTTCATGTCATCAGAAGTGATCATGGGCACAAGTGAATCATGCGAAACAACAGAAGGCGGAGGTAACACATCATAAAAGTAGCCAGATTCGCAGTCACTGCACTTTTTGACAATTTGCACTATCACAGAGTCGCTGCGACACAATGTTGGCTTACAATTACAATCAACTTGCCTGCAGCATGTTTTGACCAACAGCACGCAGAACAAAGTGCCAGGCTCCCTGTGTCCGTGAATCCACAGAAACCGATGAAGCGAGACCTTCAAAAATCGCTTAGCAGCGTCAACTGCGAACCACCAAATTGTTGCGGGCTCTATGTCAGTAATTTGTCTTTCTAAGTAGACCTGACTAGCCCTATGAGCATGGGTCAAATTCTCATAAAATCCTGAGAAATCCTGAGAAGCCACAATGGCAATATGTCGAAATCATCAATTTTTCAGATGTTAGACTGTTAGATCTAGAACATTCATGAACATTCTAGAACCACGCCATCTTTTGTTGGATCTCCAATGACCACTGATGGCTTGGGGCCAGACGCTCTCTCAGCCGACTCATGGCCGACTTCTCAGGGCCTTCTCCCTGACTGGCACGAGCTGCTGACCTCGACCTGCGGCTTGCCATAAGGTGAAAGTGATCTATGTTTACTAGGGAAAGCCACGTGGGTCTGGCCCCATGGATATCCTTCCATATTTGATCAGATCTTCGGTTTGATAGATATTTAATATTATTTGAGCATTTACACTAGTATCACTAGTCAGCAGCAGCCCAGAAATGTCGATTTGGCAACGCCCGGCCTGTTCCAAGCGCCCCATTTCTCCACCGTCCGATTGATGACCCAGGCGACCTCCGCCGCAAACTCCTCAGCATGGATCCCACGGATCGCGTCGCTCGGAATCGCTTTTTGTTGGTGAACAGAACTCCAACAACTGTCTATGATCATTTATCACCTAGTAGTTATTAGTTACTATAGTTAATGGAAAATATCACATGAGTATCTCTAGTTAATGGAAACTATCATGTATCTATATATAATATATATATACATATATAGTTAATGGATGTTAATGGAAAATTGCCATGAAAACATCAACAAAACCTATTGCAGACGTCAATGTAATCTCAGTTGCACACGTCCGCATCCGTTGCAGCTGTAATGGCGACGAGCAACGCCTGCTTGAGCCACTGGCACTTGTGTTGGGGTTACTGGGTTTATCTGTCGGTGTCAGGTCACTTCTCCGTCCTCGGGAAGATTGGCATCTCCAGCAACGGCAGCCGTGCTTTCCTCGGTATCGAAACTCGACTGGAGAAATGCAGCGCAACTCAGCAGACTGCCACCGAGGTCGGAAATTGAGACAAGAGCGAGGCAAACCAAAGCCAATGGCCGCCATAGGCTTTGAAGCCATGGATTCCTTGCTTAGCTGTCATGGTATGTCATGGTGATATCCATGAAACCATCATGGGAAAAGAGATGGAAATCACCAATAACACAGATTTCTTCACGGAATTCTTCCGTTTTGACATATTTTGACCGTGAATTTTGACCATGTTCTTCGGTGTGCCAGTAGCACTAGACTCACGAATGACATGAAGTTGCGGTGTCGTGCTGGGTTCAAAGAAGCCCAGACCTAGTGCGCAGTAAGATCCGTACTCCTCTTCTCCATGTCCTTTGACAATCAAACATGACGAAGGCACCAAAAGATGAGAGGTCTCCCAGAACAGCAAACTATTGCAACTGGGGAAGCCTCCACTGCAGACTGACAACTCGCGGCTCAGAAAACGCACCAAACCTCGAAAAGAGAGCACAAATTGAGGGCGCAGTGGTCATGGCTGACTAATGCCAAGCTGGTTGGTGACTTCAACCCATACCAACATCACATCACATCCTTTTATACTATAGACATCTATAGACATCTATAGACTATATACTGTTTGTTTTTCAGATGTCCATCCATTTACATGAATTATACCATGTGATAACCCCCAATATTGGTTGATAACTCTAGGTCAACGGAGCCCCAGAACTCGCACAAGTTACGAGGCAAGGCCAGGACGGTCGGAAGCTGATTGACCTAGTTGAAGCTAAACTGAGATTGGAATAAACCCCAACTGTTTGTAAAATCATAAAATATATATATATATTATCATCATCAATCCAAGTTTATAAATATCTTAGTTGATAATCATGGGTTCTTTAATGATGGATAAGTTTATAATTCCAAAATCTTTCAGAATCCTATTTTTTTTCGTGATAATCCAACTAATCCAACTATCATATAAAATCCTCATAAAATCCCAGATAGTTGATCAATTACCAAAACAGCCAAGGTACCACTGGAAGCAAATGTCCCAATCTCCACAGGTCGCAAAAGAGAAATCCTTCAGACGCAGCGGCTAGGACCTGCACCATGGATGATAGCTGGTGCAGTTTGTTCGCCAAGAAATGGATAGAAATGCTTGGTTTATGTTGGTTTAATATAGGTTTATAGTGTGGTTTCGAATGGTTTAGTATAGTGTTGTACTGTGGCCAAGCCGAAATTCATCAATGTTCTGGGCCCAAATGGCCCAGTTTAGAGGCGTTTTATCAGATTGTTTGCCAAGACCGTGCTTGCGGATCAACACCAGCCACCATGCCGCAGCCTTCATATGATGGGAAGACAAGCTGCGGAGGGATGCGAAGAAACGCAGCAGTCGTCCACTGAACACCGATGCCTCTGCAGTAGCCAAGAAGGAGGCATCACACATAGACTCTGGGGTCAAAACCAAAGATACCTCAAGATCTGGCCACAAACTTGGAAAGATCTTGATTTTGTTCCATCCCAAACCAATGACTAGCTACATCAATCTGCAACACACTGCTGCAGGCAAAGGATGCCTCCAATGCAAAGTTTCCGGACAATGGGCTTTCAACTTGAGCAAATGCTTGGACCAACAACCAGGTGGCAACCCAGTAGTGTGCCGAGTCCAGCTGAATACCTGGACCGAGAACACAACTGCTGAAGTCTCGAGCATATGAAGTTTAAATCAGCTGCTGGGGCACCATGAAAAACCATCAGTGTGCACATCCGGAAGGCCACAGCTTGGCGCAGCCAGGCACTGATATGACTTCCACCTGGTCAGGACATGCAACGAAGAGCTTGGGAAATCAAAAAGTGTGCCCTGCCTGCAAGCAAGGTGGCCACAGCCTGACAAATGCCCGTGGGGTCCTGTTCTCTTGCTCAGAGTTGTAAAGCACTTCTGTTAATTACATTTAATTTCCACATGATAGGCAACTTCAAAAGGACTCGGCATGTCACAGACTGTCCACTTTCTGTCGCAAAGTTCGGTCCTGACCGTCCTGACCCTCAAATTCAGAGCCGTGCAAGGTCAACGCATCAGTCATGAAGGCCACGCAACTGAAGATGATCTTTTCAGAGGCTGTCGGATCTCCCACACTGTAGCGGAGATTCTGTGTCGACACTTCTGGGATGTGCCGTTCCAAAACCTTGGATTCGCCAACTTCAGGGGCTCAAAAATATTCAACATAATCCCAATAGATTCCCGAGTCATGGTGGATCAACCAATGATTTCAATGGGAAAATCCAGAAACAAATCATCAGCTCAGCAAGGTATGAGTCAGAATAGGGTACCCCAATACTTAGATGGTCAATACTACGTAAGAACAGATTAAAAACTGTGGTCGGGTCTTCTTTCTGGTGACCCATTCCCAGCCATTCCCAGGCACAGATTTGAAGAAGTTCCAGTGTTGCCCCGAAGTCTCCGGGGACAGTGAAGCATAAAGTGCTATGCATCTCACCGCCAGCGCTCGAACAGAGGGCCAGGAACCTACTGGCGGAGCGGAATCTGCAATCATCAGTGCAGGATGTAAAAGATCTTCCATCAGAAGGAACAAATGATAATCTTCACTCAGATCAGCTTGTGTGTGAACCAGGATGGCCTCAGCCACACTCAAGATACGGGACAAGTGTTGTTCCAGTTCTGCGAAAACAGCCTCTGCTGCTGTCTTGGCGGTCTCATATTTCTCTTGGAGACTATCCAAATCCTTTTGCAAACTGCATGCTGAGACATAGTCCTTGGCATTCAGAAAACGACCACGAGCAGAACGGATCCCATCAAGTTGCTCTGCAAGCTGTTTTGCTAAGGAATGCTGCACGCGGCCATGCTCTGCCAATGCAGTGATCCCTTCATCTTTGAAATCCTCAAAACCAGCAGTGGCTTTGGTTTGAAGAACATTCAGCACAGTCACCATTGATTCGGTGAAACGGCCCTCACGTCGACCCACATTCATCTTGGATCCAACTCGAGAGCTTAGACCCAAAGAGTGACGTGCAAGAAGGACCGCCAAATGGAAGGTGCTTCGACAGGATCGTTGCACTGAATCTTGTGGGAACGCCAACATCGTCTGAAATGCATCTAGTAACTTCACCGGGGCCCTCAGCAATGTTGCGGTTGCAATGTGCAGCAGGCTTTTGTCATCGCAACGATCGCAACGTACATCACTGTGTAGCAGAACCAAAAGCAATTGCCGTAGCATAAACTCATCGCCTTTGTCAAGGGCCTTGGATTTTGCGATCAGGGAAAAAATATACAAACATCTATTCGCAGTAGATTTCCCAGTCGTGGTGGATTTACCAATGGGAAAATCCATGACACATCTTCAGTGGAATTGCCACTGGGAAATTACCAATGGGAAAAAAAACAGTCATTCCGAGTCATTCGGCAGTTTTCAGCAAATCCAAGGGGCTTGAAGTGTCTTCCGAAGTAGGCCAGGACATTGCTCCCAGCTGCGCTCCATGCTCCAGACTTCAGCATCAAGGGCAAGAGCCACCCGCCCAACCACAGCTTCTTCTGGGGAGAGCACCGATTCACTGTGCAGCAGCGAAGTCATACCTGATTTCAAGGCAGTAGCCATCCATCAAATGAAAGGTGCATAGGAAATGTATGGAAAAGGGATGAAAAGGGTGTGAAATATGTACCAACAAGAATGATCATACCTGTATGGGCAATAATCCAATCCCCAAAAATATGAGCCAATTCAATTGGGATGATCCCAGGCAAGATCAAAGCACAACATAGGGCGCAACATATTTGAAACCTCCAACAACAAGCTACTCTCTTCGGCAATGACACACCAATCTGCCGATGCCAACAAACTTCGCAAGGCTTTCTCGGCCGAGAGCTCATTGAATACTGGGTCACTGCTGGACACAAGCAGCTGGCCAACAAAGCTCAACAATGATGGCATAGTAGATGAATTGGAATTTCGTGCCAGTCCCTGTAACATCGTCTCACATGTTCTTCGGACTGCCAGGGTTGTGTCTTCTAGGCCCTGTCGCAATGCCAAAGCAAACTTGACATTTGTCGTGGGATGGGCCTTTGACAGCAAGGAAAAGAGTTGCGCACGAACAGCCGCAGACACGTCCATGGAGCGGTCTAGCAGCGCTTCCCAAAGATGGCGTTCAAGTTGAAGGGCATGCTCTGCCTGTAGCTTGGAGGCTATGGCTATGGTCATCCCAACATGATTGGGAATCCTGATATTGGCCAGTATAAATACGTAGGATAAATCCCTAAAAATGATTAAACATGGAGGTATGACGGTATGACCATCTTGGATAATCTGGGTATGGCATATTAAACCAACTCTTGACCATGGCACATCCTTTCCAAAGATGGAGTTGTACAGTACCTACATATTCCAAACCAAAGGGGTCCTTCTGACAGTCCCTTCGGTTGGAGTGGCCTGAAGCATTTCGACCTGCACCAATGCTTCTTGTCGAATCTTGGCGACGGGGTCGCTGCATCCAATCTCCACGAGCGTCGCAATGGTCTGCGCTGTTCCCAAGGCAGCTAAACCAGGGAGGGCCACGAGCCGAATTGGAGCGAACTTGTCCAGAGCCAGTTGCAGAAAAGCTGCTTGTTGACTACGACCAGTGCTGGGAGGAGCCTCTGTCAATAATCTGGCTAAGATCAGAGCACAACAATGTCGAACATGTTTGCTCTTGGGTGCCACACCACTGGCCAGTCCCATGAGGCGCAAAGTGAAGCGGAGCAGTGCCAGGCAGTGTTTGGAGTCCACTGCAAGATCTGCCAATAGCTCTGCTGCATCTACTGATCCACTGGGAGCTTTGTTGCCACCACCATCTACCCCTTCAAGCAAAGCTTGTGCAATTCGGATCACAGCAACATCCATCTCACTTGGAAAGGACTCTGCAATGACCTCAAGACAAACACAACAACTGCCCACAAGTCCCACAAGTCCCACAAGTCCCACAAGTCCCACAAGTCCCACAAGTCCCACAAGTCCCACAAGTCCCACAAGTCCCACAAGCACTAAAGTTTGGTCACTGACGCCACTGAAATGAAGAGCACGAAAGCCTCTGAGAGGAGCACCAAAAGCTTGGGCAAGGCATTGCGCACCGCAAATCTGCTTCCATTCTTGGTGCAGGCTGCGAACGTTCGCATCAGCGTTCGTGCTCCCTCGGAGTCTCCTAAAGCGGGTCATTTTCAAAATGGAACGATGAGTGGCCATAGAAATCCTACAGGCACCTTAGGATTCACCAAAAACATCCAAAAACTATAAGCAAGGAATGGTCCATGGCCAGAATTTGACTTAACAAAAATAGTCAGGGATAGTGACTATGGATAGTCAAGGAATGTTCCATCTCAAAAGAAAAGCCGATGCCTTCCATATCCCATCCCTTCCTTCAGCTGTGCAAGGGCTTCCGGCAGCAGCATCACCCATCCTGCGCCAGAAACCTGATCACTGGAGAGAAGGTTTGAAGGCTGGGTCCAAAATTCAGAGGTCTAGATTTCAGACAGCTGTCCTATAATAAGATGCCATCTGCAAGAGAAATTAATAGATCGGGTGCTCATAAATCCAAAGGGGCATCAAATGTGCAGCCCGCAACAGACCACACCCCCGTCTTGCCGCGCCTCCAGAAATGCCCTCGCTACAGTTGTTGAGATGTTGTGGCTGCAATCAATCCCAACATGATTCCTCAACATGTTATGTGACGTAACAAATTTTTGCAGAGCTGAAAGACCGTAGGACTTGCTGATTCTGTACTACACTGGTCTCTGGACTTTGATAACATGGAAAATAAAAATATGTGATTTCCACCTGCTATGGCCAAATCAACTGCTTGGAGGCCTTTCGCACTGCCTGCTCAAACGACTGTGATTGGTCAATTGAGAGAATGCAATCTCGCGCATTAAAAGTCAAAAGCTCAGCATAAGGTCACAGGTTCTGGCTCTTGGAACCTGTCTCACATTGAATCCGTGAAATATCACCAATTCGCTCTTCCTGCTCCAACTTTCTCAAATGAGATGAGCTCTCAGTCAATGTGCGTAGGCAAAGCACCTGTTCCAAGAGTCTGCAGTGACTTCTCAGGACCTCCTCCGAGGCATTTTGGCAATTCTTCCAGAGATCATCATCTTAAATTTTGGTCAGCTTTGTCCACAGGGTACCTTGAATCTCATATGCTTGTGCTGAATCCAACTGCCCCTGACTTTTCTCGGCGACCATTGGATCGAAGCATCATTCGTCGGGCGGGCTTGGAGATCTAAGGCGCATTGTCTGGTAGCAGCTTGGGTACCATAGGCTACCCCAAAATGTCAAATGGTTTAAAAGTTAAGAACCATTAAGAACCATACTTTATAGGTATACATGTTTAAATAACCATGGTTTTCCTATGAAATATGGTCATATTTTATAGGTATACACTACCCATTCTCAGACACACCGATTTCCAGTGGATCTTCTGGATCTGCCAGGAAATCCATCAGCTTCCGTTCCACTCCCAGGATCCCACAGGCGTGCTGCGCCAGGGTCAAACTCTGTGGGCTGGGTGGAAGATTCTGGAGCTGCAGCTCATCATACAACCTGGGGTGGTGCTATCCAAATATTCCAAGTTGCCCCAAGACACCCACAAAAAATCCTTGGTGATGTGGGGATAATCTTCATCTTCTACAATCTTCCCCAATCTTGTAGAAGGGATGGAAAAAACTTGAAACATGTTGAAACCTCGAGCCAGCAACTGCAAGATCCACTCCCATTCATTGGCAGCCCCACAAGCTTCCATGGCCGAAGCGAAGGTGTCAGAATCAGGCATCAAGTCTTCAGAGTACATCTCATCAAGAAATCTCAGGACTACATCCCAACTCCCAGCTCTAAGGCCGCAAGACCGCATCAAGGCATTGTAGGCTTGCACGGACATACTCCCCGGGCTGGAGCTGGACTGGTGCACTTGAAGAGCCACATTCCAATACGCGCCTCGAGAATACGCCATGATCTTGGTGGGAATGATATCCTGTAGAAATCTCTCAGGTCCACCTTGATCCTGCGACGATTGCTCAGTTGTCTCAAGGAGTTCTGCAGACAGCCTCCAATCAGCCAGTGATGATTCACAGGCTTCTGCAACTGCTGCATGTGAACGAATCAACCTGCTAACTCCTTTCTGCCGCATTCCCGCAAGATGCGTCAGAGCTCCCTGCCATCTCTCCATCATGGCTTCGCACAATCCCAGTGCTGCACCAGTTCCATCATAGGCTCGGATAGACCATCGAAGCATTTTCTCCAAAAATCCCAGTGCCACGGCCCAACTTTTCTCGGCGCCGCCGGATCTGCAGGCGCGCATGGCAGCGGTACATGCGGCAGCACGGGCTTCCAGCTGCACCTTTTGCATGGCCTCTAAGAGTTTCAAGGCCTGGCATCTGGAACATGCTCCATGGGCGTTCACACATGGTTAAATACCACTGGTGGAAATGTAGAAAAATATGGAAAAGTGAAGTTTATCATGAATATGTCTATGTGTATATTTCTTCAACAGCGTTCGACCAAAAAGATGAAGGTATGTAGCTGTCAGCAACTATCGCGGTACATTCCCGGTACATAAAGGAATGCAAACAATCGAACCAATAGTGATAGCACCATCTCATGTCCGATTTTTCCAAAGACTGGGGGCTTTACAAACCCATTGGTTTCCATGGTGATTTCTGGAGGTCCTCAGTTCCCCTTGTGCCTTGTGCCATGGAGGACCTTTGGTCCTGGAGATTGCAATGGCAGTGCTGTAGGTCGCTTCAGTCAGACGTGATCGGAGTCTAAGGTCCAGCAACCAGCGAACCTGCACCGCTGGGATGTGGGAAGACCCAAGCCACAGATCTGGGCCACTACTTGACCATAGATGACCATAGATGACCATGGTCCAAGTTTGGGGGTCTCTAGTCTCTCTAGTGGCTAACCATGGCTAACCATTTTCCAACCAATGCGGCCTGGATACCAAGAGGTCAGTTGAGTCAAAGCCTTCAGGAGGAAATTGAACGAAAGCTGAACCTCGTCGTGCCTCAGTTTGACTTCGGGTCCAAAATGGTCCGCGAATTCGCGCAGCTTCCATTGGACATGGGCAACCTGGCTTGAGCATCATGGCAACCGCAAGTTGGAGAATGCCAAAGGATGCCAAAGGGCACAAGCAATTCCAGTTCCAGCAAATCATAGAAGCATACAGAAGCCGGAAAGCATCACTATCTTGTAGTAGCACTTGAAGGTGGCCAAGTCCTACATTCAACATGTTCAACATGCTCGCAACACCACGGGAATCGCAACTGTTTTTTTGCGCCGCTTTTGGGTCCGCTACTCAACCAGCCGCAGCGGCACAGTGCTCGATGAGGGAGATGTCCATTGTCAGCGCACGGCATAAAGACCCAAAATACTCCCGGGCAAATTGGTAGAAGACCTCGGTGCCATTCTGCATCATTCTGCTACCATCCCAACATGGACACTACCATTTATCCGGCTTTTTTTGTAGACTACTTTCATTATAAAATTGCTGATTCTCAGGATCTTTGTTGGGATGGTAAATCCTCCAGTCATCCAACATTGGCCTGGCACAGACGTTCAACCGAGCCATACCGAGCGGCACCAGCATCCATTGGCCCATCCCACAGATCGTCTGCCTGCAGGAGGCTTCTGTGTTTGGATCACAGGATCCACATTTTTGGTGCTGAAACCAGCCTCCTCTGGCTCAACTGGCTCTATTCCACAATGGTTGCAGATGTAATTCCTGCGAGGTCAAGAATAAGTGGGGATTCAGATGTATCAAGAAGAGTTGGTATTGAGAAACAAATATTGCAGTTCATATCCCAATAAATCCAAAGATATATTCACCAACTCTACATTGGGAGTAAGCAGCAGGCAGAGCGGCGGAGAAGGACTGAACCTGGCACAGGATTCAGAACATTGGTGGGATTTGAGTTCCAAAACTGGTGGAACACTCGAAAACTCTATGCTGTACTGGCTATACTTCAGTAGGCGCAACCCATGGTTGCTGTGGTCTCCTCCACACAGCATCAGCGCAGACTTAGGAAGAGACTGTTGAGAGCTGCAAGATCGTCCCCTGCTCGGACCTTACGAGGGCTTAATGTATGGTCTTCCCCGCGGTGCAGACCCTGTGCACACCTGGAGGTCAGAAAATGGGCACCGGGCGCTGATTTCATCGCTTCGTTGCAAACCTGCCAGGATCATCCGAAATCTACCAGGACCCAGCAGGCACCCTCTATTTATTCTATTTCAAGCACTGGCACCTCAAAAAAGGCAGCATTGTCGCGAAGCAAAGCCTCGCAGGTAAAAAGTCCTTGCAGACATAGGCTACATGCGATGACATAATACTAATATTAATATTAATATTAATATTAATATATATATATATAAATATTGATCACATTTATGTACTGGCCCTACTTCTTTGAGGGGTTCCTAATACAGCGTGTCCAGATGTCGGTTTACAAGGTCTCTTCATGGGGTTTCCATCAGCCGTTAAAAACAAACCCAGGTTCTCAGCATTACACGCCTGCAGCCGCTGCGGGTCGATGCTATCATCTGAATCCCCATCTTTTCCACTAGGCTCTTCGCTTTGGTGCGCTGGATTCAACGGACAGTACGTCGCGGAAGCCGAAGTCTGTGCGGCCACCTCGCTATGTTCAAAGGACTCCGCAGTTGCTGCTTGAGCAGGAGTTGCGCTTGCTCCGCTGGTTACACCCCATCCCTGCAACGTGCCAGCATCGGAGTTCACTTGCCACTGTCGCAGCGAATCTCCACCAGCATCTAAATCTGGCTTTCCGCCAGCCATAGTTGAATGAATTGAAGTATGTGAGTGCAAAAGTACAAATGCTCTTGGTGAAGAACGCCTCACAGGATTGTGCTTTTGTCGGAAAGTCAGCTGCATCCTTCACACTGGTTGATGATTCATTCTGATGGCTGCAGGGCGTGAATGTGATGACTCTTGTCTTGTTGCCATCGTCTTAATCCAGAAAGCTGCGGCAAATAAAATGCTGCCTGTGACCAGTGAGTGTAAAGTAGAAACCCAAAAAGACAAGTTTAAAATGGAATGGACCAACAACATGATCACGGATTGCGAAAGCCCACATTCGACAGGTTTGCACATGATCCACATGTTTGCGAATTTCGGAGCCCTTTTGATGCAAACGAGATTTTCGCAGCTCTTGGCACGGCTTCATGAAACCTCATGGAAGCTTGGATGACTGGTTTAGAGTTGTTCTGATAGGTGACAAAGGGCGTACAATCGTAAGAGCAGGGCCGCAGTCTCGTAAATGATTCCAGGCGCCAGCATGTCAAAAGGTGAGCGTTCCAGCCTTTCCGCTGCAGCCTGCCATTAGTCAAAAAGATTCATCAACCCTGTGACTCAGAGATTGTGTGGTACTAGTACTTACTTTGAACCCAGAGCCATTTTCTCCTTATCCAGTGGAAAATCTCAGATGGGCCTTCGCAGCTGGAGGGAGCTGAAACAATCTTTGAATCTGGCCCTCTGCCCGGTCGCTACCTGCAATGACTGAGACAGAAGATGAGCCCAGCTGATGGTTTTTCGGAGTAACTGACGCTCTGAACATCGGCTGAACATCTCCGCCTTCATAATGGCTGTCCCCATTAGGCACACTGTGTACCTGCTCCTGTTTTGCTAAGGTTGTGTCAGATCGACTCCAACATTTAGGCGGCCATCTCCAAGGAGTTCAGGATCGACCAAACTGAATCCAATTTGCAGCCCTATGAGGTTCTTAGAGAAGATTCAACATTCAAGTCACTTCTGCACTCAGTTGCTGGTCCTGGGGCTGCATTCTTGGCGCAACCTGCTCAGAACTGTGCTTTGAGTCCTGCAGAAGCTGAGTGATCCCAAAGGTTCGACCAGGATCTCGCAAGATCCCGCAGAATTATCAAATCATCCATCCTCATCCATCTTTTGGGTTGAAAAATCACTGAATTTGTTGGTGTCACTAGGCTTTTGAGACACTCAGAGCTGGTGTCCTGAACGCTTTCAGATGGCACCGGATGCGGTGCGGGGTCGTTTTTTGGGCGAGCCGATGGCAGGTGCCCTTGGGTCTGTTGCAACCTAGGCTGGGAAGGGTTTCAGTGGATCCCCTTCTACATCCTTCTACTGGTTGTTGCTAGTTATAAATAGATCATTAAACATCCCAAGAATCAACAGTTGGTATGTTTTTTTTGGTGTTTTTTAATGATCTTAGGTAACGGTAATCTACTGATATTACATAGTTTCCTAACAACCAGCAGAAGTTTTGGGTGTTTTGCTCAGTCCAAGGAGCTGCAAGAGCTGTTGTTGCATGTACATAAACTGCTGGAGGTGTTGCTGCTGCAGCTCTGAAAGCTCTTGCTGAGTCCTCAGTGACACATGCGAGCGAGGTCTGATCAGGGGATATCAGGGGAAGCATCTTATCTTTTTTGGAGATCCCGGTCCCCTGGGCGTTGAACCGTGGCTTTGCTTTGGACGTGTCTTTTGATTGGAACTGCAATCTTTATTCTTCTGGTGACACTGGCCGATGTTCAAAGAAAACATCATGTGTTCAAATCCTGAGAGTTTGCCACTGCATGCCATTGCCCAATGCCAGGGTTCAGCAATGGATCGTGCCTGTGTACTACATTAACTTGGCCAGAATGAGATGTGTGTATAAAACATTGGAAAACAATCTATCCCCCACATCGTTACTTATAGCAGTTCAGCCCTTCACTTAAGCTCCAGACTGTAGCTTCTGCAGCAGCGAAAGTTCATGCTGGACTTGGGAGAGCAGCTCATTCACTTGTTGAGGGTCCTGTGGCAACTTGTTATAAAATGACAGCAAAGACTAGCAAGATGGAATTGGGTTGATTTGTATCTCTACCCCCATTATTAAATAAGGACTCCAAAGTGAAACTGATTGTTTAGATGGAATTTTGTATCAATTTGATGCAAGTCAAATCCTCTGATTTCATATTTCATAGTGATTTCCCCGACATTTTCCATGCAAGTCACCACACCCCACGATCCACGAGCCCCAGCAGTCCAGCTGACGCGGAACAGCAACTTGAGGACCCGGTGCAGCGTCGGAGCCTGGCCCTGAGAATGACCCATGCAGAAAGCCAACTGGGTCAACTTTAAAAAAAGTGTGCCATAATGGCAACAATGATAGTAGTATAATAGTAATAATAAAATAATGACAATAATCATAACGATTAAAAACACAAAAATGATAATAATAATCATCATAATAATAATAATGATCATCATCATCATCATCATCGTGTTGTTGGTTGTGAACCCCCGACTGTTGATGAAATCAAGTGTATCAGTGTCATGGTGCTTCGGTATGTAAAAGCAACCATCAATTGTGTCCCTCACACTATTATAACCTGGATTAACCTGGGTTATCTAGCAAACTATATAACCGCGGATAGTGAAGGTTAGGGTACCAATCTCAAAAATATGTTCTGATCCTGGTGGTGGCTGTTAGATACTGCTAGCTGGGGGATAACCCAAGGATCTAAACTGAGACTCCAAACTCACTTTGATTCATAGAAATTGTGAGGTTGTCTTTACATTGGGTATTTTTTTGAAATTTAAGCAGCTTGTCTTGAATTGTTTGGATTGTTGAATGCCTATGTTTCATGTCTGAATTCCATCTTCACTGGTTGAAACAACAGAAATCTGCTGAGTCGGCTGCCCTGCGGTATCTCCGGTTCCAGCAAAGGATCATCGCCGCCGAAGGCACGCCTTTAGAAGTTGAGGTCAGGTGGTAAAGCTACAAATTCTGACAAGAAAAAAAACTGGTAAATAAAATACTTGCACCATTTGTTGCTTGTTTTCAACTATCTTCAGTTGTCAGAAAACAACTTCAAAAGTTTTAGATGAATTGCACCCAATCATCTTCAATAGCTAAGGATCTCATCAAATAATCATATAGAATCATATTCCAAAGTGATACAAGTCATGGATCCTGTGATTTGATTACTGTATCAAAGCTATAAAAAAACAAATCCAGTTAGTTATGTACGTTGTATCATAAGATATCATAAGTTCTTGTAATTTCCTATCATTACCATGCTTTTCCAAGTTGTCCAAGGATCTTCATCTGATTTTTTCTGGAAAGCATGGCACCTCGGTGCAGGAATCCGATGGAGGAGGCCCGTTCGGATGTCCGCGCCAATGGCACCTTCACCTTGGGTACCCCCCTTGGAACGTTGCAAGATATGGAGCTTTCGTGAAATGAGGGGTACCCCCAGTTCTCATCCGTTTATAGATGGATTTTCCATGAACTAAACCCAGCATTTTTGGGGATCCCCCATTTACGGACACCCCAAAAAATAGTACAACTATGGGAAAATCGGAAAATCTGAGGAAAAAAAGACTGCTTTTTCCTATGAATGTGAGGAAGTTCCATGAGGTTTCCTGTAAATTTACCCCCTGAAAGCAATTGCCGGACCAGTGTTTTCGGCAGCAAGACTGACTACAAATCAAAATTCACAGTACTCTGTTGGTTCATATTCAACATTTTATTACAGTAAATTTGATTAAGAACTGATTATAATTGATTGTAACTTTATGTTCATCCCCAACTCAAATAGATTAAATAGGGTAAATAGACAAAAACTCATAGGTTTCCACCATGTTTCGAGCCCATCCCCTGTCTCCTGGGCTTCTCGGACCACCCCAATCTGTCCTGGGGACCAGGATGATTTCTCGGATGCTCTCCGAATCCAGGTTGTACACCTCGGCTTCACGCATCGATGCCATCCCTGGCCATAAATCCTATGTTTTGGGTCCATCGAGGTTTCTACCTCCGGAGGATTCCCTTGAATTTCATTGCTACAGTGATAATAAATGATAATTCTTTAGTTCCTCAGGTGATCACATAGACCTTGAGCTCCTTTCCCATGTAGAGATTCACCACTTCCGCCAGCTCATCCATATCTCGGAACATCACCTCCGTGGTGCCCAAGAGGAAGTCCTCCAGGAGTGGCGCTGACCCCGCTGACCCATCAATTCCGATGTCGCTGGTTGCCCGGCCTTGTTGGGCACCAATCCCGCAGCTTCCGCTGGAGAGTCGGGGAAAATGCTCAGCACGCGCATTCCCTGCAATTCACGAGTCGCGTCACTCGGACATTTGAAAGATTGCACCAAGAATTGTACAAGTGGATGACAGTGGATGCATTTGGGTGGTGCAAAAAGTCTAGGACACACTTATTATAGTAGGCATTACAGTATAGTGGATGCATTCCAAAATTGCCGAAAACATCCACCAACTAAGAACGTTGATTTGGTCGGGTCAGTCTCCAGGCCTGTCCCTCTGCACTTTCCAAGGAATCGTATCTCACCTGAGTGTCACTATCCGTCCTGGTGCAGTGGCCAAAACCCTCAACAAAATCCTTGATTAATCAAGTACGGTGTATCGATTTATCTGTACATATGTTGCAACTATAATAAATAGATAATCTCTATCACGTCTGGGCATATAGTATTATATAATGGTGTATATATATATACATATATCAGGATGTGTTTGATGTATCACCATTCTTACATCCAATGATCTATCTGATGTAATTATGATGTATGTGTTTGTGCTTGTGAAAAAAAAAGTGAAAACCACATTCATCTTCTATATATACAATATATATATATATACATGTATATATGTATGTAAGATCGTGTCGATCTAGAGGTCAAATATAGATATTATATATAATTTATATAATATGCAAATGTAGATAAATATAGATAAATATAGATAAATATAGATCATATAGGCTATATACGGCTATATCATGCTGTAATATGCTGTATAGGTGTTTTTTTTTTTAAAAACATTATATACATTTTTTAAACATATCTCAGATCTCTAGTATGAATGATATGTTGATTAAAGTTTATGGTTGTTATTTAGGTCACCATATCAGCCATTGCCGAGGTGCCACAGCACCCAGAAGTCCAGCACCGCCCCAGCGCCGGGGAGTCACATAGACGTCGCGGGACCTCGGGTCCAGTCGGTCGAGGGAGAAAAAAACCAGGGAAATCCGGGATAAAAATGGAGAAATAGTTTTCCAATATTGTTTTCAATAGAGTTTCCTACACTTTTATACGATCCAGGATATCTGTGTATAATATTGTATAATATTGTAGATGTTGAGTTCTTGATTATGATGGAGTAAAACAAACAAAAACACGGCGCGTTGATTTATAAGCCAACGAATCAAGCAAAAATGGTTCATTGATTGATCCACTAGCCAATATTACCGAAGGTGAAGAACCCAAAGATCTCAATCCGTTAGTATTCATGTGTTGATTTTCTGAACGGGTTGGTTTTGGTAACCCCCATTTCTGAAAGCACTCGTGGGTAGCTGTACTGAGTGGCCGGGCGTGTGGGTTCGAATATTCTGCACCACCAGCTTGGTCCGCTGATTCTCGGCATCTTGAATGGCTTTGGCGAAGGTTGTCTGGTCTGCATCCATCAAAACTCCGTTGATTTCCACGATGAAATCAAAGAAGACCTCCAGCCCCGCTTCTGCTGCAGGGCTGCCATCGTTCACCTTGAAGATGCGAAATCCACCAATCTCGCTGGACCTGACTGAAGGAATGGCAACGGGTCCTAGAACTCGGTGTTTTTCCGCATTTCCCGCACACTTTCTATGGGTTATACCATGTTATACCATGTTATACCCATGACAAAATGCAGAATGCTAGGAATCAAACTGGCTTCCTCCCATGGCTCTCAATCGATCAACGCATTCCCCATGGCATGAAATGTGCAGCTGTAGTTTGGTTGGTACAATACTGGCTTTTAGACGTAGAATGACGTAGATGTCTCTGGCACCTGCAGAGATCTAGTGCAGTTCAGGGAATGAAAGGAATAAAGACGCAAGTGGACCGGGCTGGAAGCATGAACCGTTTTTCTCCACCATTGGCTGGAAGTATTGAGTTCTGGACTTTGGTTTCAAATGTAGATCTCTCGTCTTATCTTGTTTGAGCAGAATGCTGGCAATTCACATTGCTGAACCCTCAGATCCACATGGTCCCCCCACATCACTAGCTGAATGTCATTCAACTTCTGCATCTTTTTCAGGCCATGAGAGGTTGAGGCTTCACCTGCCGTCCTAGGGCACTTGAGACCTCGGTTCTATGCCTATCGCTGGTGTCTCTTGTAGTGCTGGTGCCTTGACTCTTTGCTTGCAGAGCTTGAGATCCTACTACTAATGATCATGAAATTATCACATGATCAATGAAATTCTTGTCACTTCTTCCGGTACAACTTGCATCCCCGCTCACTCTGGAGAGCTAGTCAAGCCGGGGCTTCTTTTCTGATTCGGCCTGACCAGCGGCCAGGCTTTAAAGACATGGCATAGGTCCAGGTGGTATCCCCACCTTGTCCTCCGCACTCCAGGCAAGCACCACAGCAGTCAGATTGTCATCGCTCCCCAGCTCAAAGGCTCGCCTCAGAAATGTTGCTATGTCCAAAAGGATGTTAGTTGCACCAACAAAAAGTGAATTCCTTCACAATGGTTCCGTCATTGGAAACTATGACACTCTGAGCACTAAACCGGACAAGAGCATGAGCAGCCAAATCAGCAGTTTTATGCTCTGAGCACACGCTGATTGCCTTGCAGGGCCATGTGCCATGTTCCGACTCCATGGGATTACCCAAGTAACCTCAGATGCTTCAGACTCCAATCCACGTCCAATTCAATATCCAAAACCTTCAAGCCAAACTCGGGAAAAAAAACAGTGATTGGACTCATCTGCATTTGTCTGAACATAAGGTACCCTGAAGATCCCTGAAGAATCCTTTACGGTCAATTAAAATCATAAGTTCCCTCCTTAAAATGGCCATATATCATGGGGTAAATTCACCCATTCTCAGAGCCTCCTCATCGCTCAGCACGTCCCAAATACCATCGCACGCCAGGACCAGAAACCTGTCCTGGGCCAATCTTAGATATCCATAGAATTCCACAGATATATCTTGCATTTTGTTGTTTAGCCGGTTGGGCTAAATATGCCCACATGCCCATTTATAGCAGAATGTTGAAGGAATTGTTTTTACTAAAGTAGGCGTCCAAAAGTGACCTAGTGTGGAGACCTATCTCTACCGCTGGTATTGTTCTTTCTTGTGAAAGAAGACTAAGTGCTGTTGGATCATGTGAAAGAGAACAAGTGCATCCCCTGCCTCGCTGACGTTCAGGCCGCAGGTGGTGATTTCGGGCATGGCACTGACTAAAGCTCCAGAGCAGTTTGTGCAGCCATATCTCTGGGGCTCCTGTCAACCGCAGCTCCCCTCAATCGCATCCCACATTCAAGCAACTTCAACAAACGAGACTGTGTTGGAGGCAATCCTTAGACCCATTCGGATGAGTGACCACAAACACAAACGCAACAGAAACCTGAATATCTTCAATTCTGGAGTTCAGGGGGGAACGTGAAACAAACGATGCTTCACATTGCTCTCCTTCATGAGCAAGTCACCGAAGGCTCGCGACACTGCAAGGCCCCAAAGCAAGCTGCGTCCACCAAAGGTGGCAGGACCAGGCGTGAAAACACGCCACACGCCCTGCACTGGGGCGAATTGCCAGCCCAAAAAATTGCCTTCAATGCTTTCCTCAAACTAGTCCAAAGCTAGTGGCAGCTTCCTGTTCACCGAACCATCATCCCCTGTGTTAAAAGCAACAAAATCCAGGAACTCAATGTCTATCGAAAATCACCACTAACTCAATGGGCCATAAATTCCATAGCTCTTTACCAGAGGCTCCCTAAAAGTCGCCGGGTTTTTGTCATCTGCCGGTCCATCCCGCAGGTGATGGAACGAAACGCGCCTGCATGTCCACGACCCCTCCATTTCCTTCGATGCGTTGTTGCTCATCCGGTCGTCCGGGCTTGTGATCTTCCGAAAGCCGAAAGGATCCAAGGTGCTGCCCCTGCGAAAAAGCACCATGATGGAGAAAAAAAGGTCCCTTTGTAGGGCATCAAATCATCTGAAATAATCCATCATTAATCCATCATTAATCAATCATAATCCATCATTAATCCATCATTAATCCATCATTAATCCATCATTAATCCATCATTAATCCATCATTAATCAATCATAATCCCCATTAACTCAGATAGTACAACTGAACCAGGGTCACTCATAAGTCCCTCGTCAGATCCGGCCTGCTGTCGACAGATCACAGCACGAGAGTCACCCAAATTGGCCACCAAGAGCCTGCGCCAAAACAAGATGCGTCAACTCAAATTGGAACCAAAAAAGTGTTGAACATCCTGAAATTGTTGTTAAAGCATAATTACATGTTGTTACTGGCCTGTAAGTTACACAAACTGAACAGTAGCGGTAGCGAAGCTTTGTCGAAGCTTGGGTACTGTTTCACAAACCAGCAAGATCATATCTGAATGGTTCCATGCGTTTCTGATTGGTTTTGTACATTCTTGTGCTGCCACCACAACATCCATAACTGCGCAGGGGCATGCCATGGGTTGATGTCCTGCCTGCACCGACTCTTGCCTTGTGCCCGACCCACATCTTCAGGCCAGAGCAAGCACAAGATCATGGTGGTGCCATCCAGCGCATCCTTTTCTCGAGCCTTCAACCGGAATTCCATGTAGGTCGAAGAATGTGAATGATCCTTTTCTGTTGTTTCCTGTGAAATTCTTATATATGTTTTCTTTGTTGAATTATGTTTTCTTTGTTGAATTTCCTAAATATGAATTTCCTATGAATCATGAATCAACATGTCAGCTTTCCACCAAAATATTCAACGACCTTGGCTTTTCCGAAGTCTGGGGAACAAGATCCTCCAACTGTCATCCGTGCCTTCGCCAGGAACTCATCATCCGTCAAAACGCAAGCCTCTGTGACCTGCTCATCTTTCAAGCTTTGGAAAGCTAAGCTGATATCTCTTACGGTCTTGAAAGCTCATCTACTATTAGCATATAGTATCTGATATGTATAAGTAAGAGATCTGAAATTTCATCTTATTAGTATCTTATGTAATATATGTCAACTCCATATAGTATCTAATTCACACTATATAAGTATAAGTTGTATATAAATATGGCTCAAAAGTCATGGTAGGTACCTCTGGTCTCCTTCCAGGTCTCCAGGCCGCATTTTTCAAGTGTTCCTCCGTGAGCGCCGGCTTCGCCGAGAGACACTTCTGGAGGTTCCTGCACGGCATGGTGGGCGGCTGTGCCGGCTTAGGGAAAAGCGGTGAAAACAACGGGGCGCCTGGGAAGCCAGTCCATCATGATATCCACCTGGGAGCCATGACACCAATGGAATCCAATGGAACAAACTGGACCACTAGACCAACTGGAGCCTAGAAGGATACGAATTGGGAGAAATTCGGAGTCTCGGAGCCACTTTGGGGGTTTTCTGGTTGAGTCTCCAGCACAGAGACTTCCAGAGTGGCCATCGAAAACAATGACACCTGCAAGCACAGAAAAGCAAGGCTAAAGCAGAAGAGCAGAAGCACACTTTGAACACTTTGATCATTGAATCATGCGAGCAGCTGAGAGCGTTGTCCATGATACTCTGGGGGACCCAACCCACTATTCGCTGACCCCCTGGTGCTTGAAGTTCAACGTCAGTGACTGGCAAGGTGCGATGTGTAGGCGAACCAACAGAGGGGGGTTCACATGTTGGCTCATGGTCAACCTGTGGAGATTCGCTGGAACTGAAAAAGTGCAAGGCTGTAAGGTCCGCACGGAAACGATCTTCTTGCACTTCCTGCTATGCCCAATTCGGGCATGCCAGGCGACCATACAACCCTTGAGCGTTTCAATTACCCTCTGTTAATTAATCAAACGTTGCAGTTAAAAGTTTCCCATTTATAGAGGATTTTCCATTTGAAGCCTCCATTTACAGAGCATTTTCCAGCCAGCCACAGTTGATAAAGATTCCGGTCAGGCTCCTTGTTCCCCTGCCAGGATGCAGCACCTGCTGACATCAGCAAACGGCCCACGGTCGTCTCGTGCGCCTCACTCGGCTGATCTGGGTATACGATGGATGGTCGCTGATCAATATTGCTCAATCAAAACTGCTCAACATTATCTCAGCATCCATAGTGACTGCCACAGTGCCATACCCCAAGCCATCCGTCTCGGTGTTCCTCGGTGTCCCTCGGTGTCCCTGGGTGTCCCGGCTCCATTCAGCGACCAGGGCGGATTGCCTTCACCGCCCTGACGCTCGCAGAGCTGCTGGTGCCGACTCACCTCCAGGCGTTCCTGCACCTCGACGTGGAAGGTCGGCAATCCCCAGATGAAAAATTCGGGACTTGAAATATCTTGAAATCATCCATTCAGAAAAGTGGTCAGGTCACTTTTTCCATACTTTTTTCTATATTAACTTGTTGGGGCTTCCTGTATATAATGCTTGGACTTCGGCAGAAACGAATGAGAATCTCGCCTGGCCATATTCGGTCATGGCCTGCAGACAAAGATAGACAAAGGGCAAAAGCATGGAATTGATGAAATGTAAAGGAAATTCCGGTGAGACCACTCAAAGACATTTGCCTTGCCTGTCGGCACTTCATTTCCAAGCTGGTCCGCTGGCCTATCAGCCCCTGCAGGCGAAAAGAAATGGATCAGAGCGGCAGTGCCGCTCTGCAACTCTCTTGCAAGAATTGACCGTTTCTTCAGTAATTTTTCCAGGTTTCAGCAGGCCTCATCTGCTACCTCCAGTTTACTCAAGGAAACTTCGATTTCCTGGCTAAGGGCGTCTCTGGGCTACTGAGGGCTACTGAGGGCTACTGAGGGCTACTGAGGGCTAGTGAGGGCTACTGAGGGCTGCAGCTGTTGCATCTGTCCTGAAGTTGTCTCTTCACTGCAGCAACAGCTTGGCGCAGTTCCTGCATGACACGTTTCACCTTGTTTCAGGATACTGCCGGGGAGCCTGTGCTGATGCAGGGATCCCGAAAATAGACAAGGAGTGAGAAGGAAAAGTGAATCAGAATGCCTAGATGAAGTATTCTCAAATGATGTAGTTTCCCCATGGTTTCCAATGTTTTCCTTCTCTTCCTGCGCTTCCGCTTGTCCAGTATGGAACTTCACAGTCCTCCTTTCGCTGCTGGTTTTCCTCTTCCTGCTTGGTGAGATTCCGTCGGTGCAGCTCGGACAACTGCTTGTGCTTTGTGAGCAAAGCGGCACTCGCAAATTTCCTTTTGCAAAGGAAGCAAATGTACCTGGAAATTGCTGGAAATAGCTGGGAAATGGCCAGAAACTGTAAGGAATCCAAACTCCGAAACTCATCTTTGATATCTTGGTGGAAAGATGAGAGGAATTGTGCGGACTGTGCAAACCATCCTAAAACCAGCCAAAACCAATCTTGAATATCTTGGGAGTCAACCCATCTGTACAGCCGCGCACCGGGGAGCTACGTTGTCCGTCATCTTTGGAAAACGGAAATCCACTCAAGCCAACGCACTGCCATTGGGATTGGCCTTCCCATCACAGAACAGGCTCTGTCCAGAACTGCCAAGAGGACTGTCAGATTTTCGCTGAACACTTGAAATGAGTTGCTGATATTAGCTGAAGATTGTCAAGCTGAGTCAGGTTTGAATTCCATGGGAAGAAAATCAGCTGCTATCTGGTGCTATTTTAGCTTCCAAAGTCTTATAGGATATCTAATTCTGCAATTCCGGAGCCAGGAAGCAGAGGCACAGCGAGAACATCCCTTTGTGAAA